CTCTCCTGCCAGAGTGTAATACCGATACTGGTCTCTGCATTGAGTCCATTGTCGGTGGTGTCACCTGCGATACGGACGCCGACTGTACCAACCCCCTTCTCCCATCCTGCGATACTGACGCTGGTCTTTGTATCGCTGCTGTTGGGGGCGTTACCTGCACCGATGATTCAGACTGCACCAACCCTCTGCTTCCTGAGTGTGATACAGATAAAGGTCTTTGTATTGCTGCCGTCGGGGGTGTTACCTGTGATGATGACTCAGACTGTATAAACCCTCTCCTCCCAAGCTGTGATACCGATACTGGTCTCTGTATCGCTGCTGTCGGAGGTGTCACTTGTGATGAGGACGAGGACTGCATTAACCCTCTTCTACCATTCTGCGATATCGACAAAGGTCTTTGCATCGCTGCTGAATCTTCTGAGACCACAACTGCTGCTGAGGCTGGTGTTGTTACAACAACCGCAGAAGCTGATGCTGATACCACTACGGAAGCTGCTGTTGTCGATACGACTACTGCTGATGAGGTTGTTGACACTACAACTGACGCGCTCGCCGATACTACCACAGCCGATGTCATTGCTGATACCACGACTGAAGCCATTATTGAGCCTACCACGACCGATGAGGCTATTGTCGATACCACTACCGCAGACGTGATCGCTGACACAACCACTGAGGCCATTGACGAGGCTACTACCACGGACGATGCTGTCGCTGATACAACCACTGCGGATGATGTTGCCGACACTACAACGACTGATGCTCTCGCTGACACTGCAACTGACTCTACCGACACACCCACCGAGACTACCACTGCTGAAGACGCCGAGAACACAGACGCCAGCTCTACCTCAGCCGTCGATACCACCGCTACCCAAACCAATGACGTTGCTTCTACTGGTACAACCGCTGCGACTGACGACGACACGGCTACTCAGACCACCGACTCGACCGCCACAACTGGAGATCAAACCAGCGACACGACCTCTGCCGCAGCTTCAGAGACAACAGCGGCTGGCAAAAACCCCGACACAGTTGGTAGCTTCCGTCTACTCGGCTGCTTTAGCTCCAACGCTGGCTTCCCCTCCTTCAGCCTGTCCTTGACCAGTGGAGACATGGACCAAGAACTTTGTGCTCAACAATGTAACGGAAGAGCCTTCTTCGGTACATACACCGGGTAAGTAAACATTCCGTTATTAGTATTTAAACGCTGACTGACCATTACTAGAAACTGCTACTGCGGTGACATCCTGGACGACGATAATACCTCCAGAGTTGATGATGCGCAGTGCGACATCATCTGCCCTGGCGACGAGGAACAACGCTGCGGTGGAGATACTTCTCCTGCTCGACGTGGTCGACTCGCTAGACGTCAGAATGTCGCTGCCAACATCCTCCTCATCATCTACATCGACGTCGGAGCTGCTGCTGCTACTGGAACTGACGCTACGGGAGTTGATGGAGCCACTGTCACTATTCCCGGTGCTACCGTTACACTTCCTGGTTCTGTTGTCACTCTGTCTGGCGATGTCATTACTCAATCCGGTTCTGTTATCACCCAAGATGCTTCTGTCATCACTGAGGATGGCGTTACGGTTACTGCACCAGGTGCCACCGTCACTGACGTCTCTACTGTAACGACTACCTTCATCTCCACTGTCACCGAAGCTTCCGCAACCTTTGCCACCACTGTCACGGCCACAGTTATCTGCTCCAACGGTCTATGCAACCTCCCCAACGGCAAGCCCATCAAGCCTGAGATCGTCTACGTCTTCCACCCTTACCCAGGTGAGGACTGCGCTGATCAGCTGGTCTACCTCCCCAGCCCCTGCTCTTGCCCCGGTGGTGTTGAGTACATTCCTCACTACTGTGACGCCACATCCTGCACTGGCAAGACTGTGTACAAGCCTGAGAAGACTGAGTACAGCGATGATAGCATTTGCTACTATCCTTCTGAGTGTACTCATGATCAGTGTGATACTACTGGTCAGCTCTTCAAGCCTTATGATGGCAGTAAGAATGATCAGCAGGGTTACCCCGGGTCTAAGCAACATGAGGGTTCCAACGGTAGCCACAGCGGATCTCAAGGCAGCCACGCGGGCTCTGGCAGTGGATCTCACGGCTCCAACGGCAGCAAGTATGGTTCTGAGTCTGGCCACGACGCTACAAACGGCAGCCAAGGTTCCAGTGGTCAGAAGGGTGGTAACCAGGGATCGAACAATGGCTACGAGGGCTCTGGCAGTGAGGGCAAGGGTTCCAACGACGACGGTAGCCAGGGAACCAGCGGTCAGCATGATGCCGAGGGCAAGAACAACGGTTCTGACAGCGGCAACACTGGCTCTCAAGGTGACAGTGGCAGCTCCGGTAGCGGAAACCAAGGCTCTGGAAGTGATGGTGCAGGATCTGGTAGCAATGATCAGGGCTCTGACAACGGCTCCAAGGGTTCCAACAGTGGTTCTCACGATGGTGCTCAGGCACCTGCTGGTGGCTCCCAAGGCTCTGACAACAAGCCCGTTACTGGGGACAAGCATGATATGCCTGCACCTGGAGACAACAAGCCTGTCGTCGTCTCCCTTGCAAGCACCAAGACCATCACGAGCATCGCACTCGTCATGTTCGCTCCTCTTCTTGCTGCCATGGTTTAAGAAAAGCATTAATCGGAGGCAATAATTGGAAGCGCTAAGCACGTGATAATATCCAAATTGGATAAAAGTTTACATTCTTGAAGGATCTGTCTTGTTTTTTTCAATGCTTAGTTTTATTAATAAAATCACTTATAATATATGAAATGTACTTGCGCAAACTTTTACATCATGACCTTCATGCCCATCGCTGTCTTGCCTGCCATGCCTTCAAGCTCGAAGTGCTGGACCATCTTCGCTGAACCAGATCCACCAGATACATCAAGGACAGTGACAGCAGCGCTGGTAGTTCCGTTACCTGGAGAAAGCGCGTAGAGGAAGTTTCCTGCGGCAGCAATGTCAATCAGGCCAGGGTCACCGTTGCAGGTGAGGTCAAGCTCAGAAACAACGCTAGCATCCTCAAGACTCATCTCAACAACACGGTTGCGTCCGACATCTGTGACGAAAGCCGTCTTGGTCATCTCGGAGATGGCTACCCAGCAAGTCGCCATCTGACCCTCAACTTCTCCAGTGGCGACGGTTGTAGCTTCGCATGTCTGACCATCAACCTCGAGAATCGCAGCTCCGAATGAAGCGTCCGTGGCAAAGACCTTGGAAGTACCAGGAATAACCTGCGATCCGAAAAGAACAGCAGTTCCCTCAGGCGAGCTTCGCGCCTCCTGCATGCTAACAGCCATACCCTGTCCAGCCTGCTCAACATTGAACGAAGCCATGAATCCAGTGTTGTTCACAGCAGGATCACCCTTGACCATGGTGAAGAGCATACTCTCGTCGTCAGAGAAGAGGACTTGGGAGACTGTGTTTGTAGGTCCGGCAGGAGGTGTAGTCTGCTTAAGATCGAACGGTCGCAGGTCATCCATGGCGCTGAGACCCTTCTCGGAGAAGCTGCTGCAGGAAACACCGGCTTTGGCGCCGGTCATACCAACGCAGACGATGTTGCTCTTTGCGGAGGCGGCGACGGTGTTGGGGAACTCGCCGGGGACTTTGACGGGCTCGCCGACCATTGTGAGTTTCGTGGGGTCGTCTTTCGATACTGTGAGCATGCTGAGGGTGTTTGATCCTGCATTGACAGCAAAGATCATCTAAGAACATATTAGTCAAAGTTTAATAGTAATAAATATTCACAACTCACGTTTCCAGCAATAGTCAAAGCAGATTGGCTGACCAAAGCGTCGGGTGTAGCAGGGTTACCATCAGCATCGACAGCAATAGATCCAGCGCCACCAGTCATCGCAACTTGACCCTTGGCAAGAGTACCATCCTTCTTGATTGGGAGGGCAAGAACGCCGTTCTGATCATCATTGGTGAGGACGTAAATGGCCTTGCCGTTGGCAGCTGCCATGTTCATTTCTGGACGGCATGCTGGGTGGCTGTTGACTTGCTGAGTCAAGCATAGTAGGGCTGGAAGGATGAAAGACGCTGGTGTGGAGAACATTTTGAGTGTTGTGAAGAGTATGTTGTGGAAAAGGAATTAAAAGCACACTTGATGAGGCAGACCGGCTGCTAGAATGAAAGACTTAGTGTGATAAAATGAAGTGAATTGAATCGAGCTGGAATGAAGATCGAAATAAACAGCAGAACATTTACATTTTTATAGAACCATTCACAACATCTAGAATATCATATCAACCCCAGATTGAAGTAATCCAGATTTCTCTTTTGGGAAATGCATTCAACGGCATTCGGCTCAACCCCTGACCCAAACAATGTTCGTTCCTCGGAGTAATCACGCTTTCCTGATGGAGCCGCTGATGCAACGTCGTCTCCAAGGTTGACCCTAGAATAGTGAGTAGGGTCCACTGCGAGTTGAGCGATTGATGAAACGCTGCAGGGATGAGGGTTGGTGATGAGAAATAACGTTAGGGATAACCATAACTTGGTAAATTGCGAAATAATTATAGCAAGGTTCGCCCGTGCTTGAGGGAAGCTCTGATTGCGGTATTGCCTTGGTTCAATTGATATGCCAACCTTTTGCCGGACCATCGCCAGAGTCACCTCGAATGACCTACCCAGAATACGTAGGGGCACGAACAATCTCAATTATCCCCTCAATCACAACACACGTGCAGAGATGCTGACTCAATTTAATCCTCAGTATGTTTCAATCAGTCTCATCCAATCCCTTACCAAAACCGTTAACCATCATCATACCCTACCATCAAATGAGAAGATCTTGACCAAACAAGGCCAAGACTCAACGGCACAGGCCGAGCCGTTCTGTCCTCTCGCTAAACAACCACTGTTTCTGTCTGAAGAGTGCGTGAGAGTAAGCCGAAACCATTCCCAATCCGGTAATTTTGATCTTTCATCACCCCAGTCCAGCCTCGAAACTCAACTGAAACTTGGTTCAATCTAGCGCCGTGTGGTGCCGCGCCCGAACAAATAATACCTTGACTAATCTCACCAGCTGAGTTCTCGTCTCATCTGATCTCTCATCTTTTATTCCTTTTTTGTTCAGTTCAGTACCGCCTGCGTAGTATCAGCTTTCGCGATGAGTAAAAACATTTTTCGCATCTTCAACCCTGGCGGTATGTCTCATTTTGTCTTGTCTGATCCTTGTTCATTCCACTGACGGTCTTCAACAGAACCGAAGGAAAATCCCGTGGAGAAAAGACGGGCCCAGCTGCGTCGTGCACAACAGTAAGCTTACTTTCGCGTATGGTCTTGTCTCATATTAACGCACCTAGGACATATCGCAATCGCAAAGACAGATATACGAGGACTTTAGAAGAAGAACTCGCCAAATCCCGCTCAAAAGAAGCTGAGTTGATGCGCGAGAACCAACAGCTACGCAATGCTCTCCAACAATTATCCCAGCAGCAAGGCATCGGTATGGCCATTGACAACACGCCTGACTATGCACCCTCCGATAGTATCGCCTTGTCCAGAACAGCAGGTTCATCAAATGGCACATCACCATTTTACTTCAGCGACATGAGTTCCCAACCCCAGAACACAATGCCGTCTCCGCAGTTAATATCTCCGGAATTCTACGGTACATTTCCTGTACCCGATAATCATGATAGGGCGCCTATTTTGTTTGGACAGGGAGGAGTCGCGTATAATTGCCGGGTAAGCGATGTGGATCAAGTAGTCGCAGGCATGGAGTTTGTCCTAAAGTAAGTTTGCCTTCTTCGGGTAGGAAAAACCCCTGCTAATACGCTCAGGATTGAAGAGCCTTGTCTGGACCATTTACATGGTGACTTGGATAAACCTTTTGAGCCGAGTAATCATGCTTTGAGTGCCTCTTCTCAACTCATGGCAGCGTGCGATTATCCATCGCCTACTATCAGCTCGCCTCCGCCTATATCTGCGACGTTCAACAGTTTACCCACGCAGATGCTCGAGAGGCTGTTGAGTCTTGCGCCGGATTTGTCGAGTGAGGGTGAGATGACGCCGATTCAAGCGTGGAATACTATTCGATTACGACCGGACTTTGGAGGGTTTGATACGAGGAGTTTGGGTGCTCTTGCGAGGAAGTTGAAGAAGGCGGTCAAATGCCATGGGTGAGTAAATCACACGTAGTGGTATGGGAGCGTACATGCTAACGGACGATAGATTTGGTGCAGTTGTAAAAGAGGCTGTTTTCGAAGGATTGGTATACGAGACACTCATCACAGGGAAGCTGACATGAGTCGGATCTATCGGAGTTGGGGTAAACAATTAATATGGGAGGCGTTCTCGATATTCCGCTTTTCCATCTCTTTATAATGATTGTGTTATTTACATCGATGTTGCTATACTTATTGAGTATAAAGTCTATCAATGACTGTGTGACGAATTCATGCCCTCATCGTGCATCTCGGGCTCCAGGGTAGTTTTAAGTAGTGTATGTCGACATAAACATGATGTAGAAGGGGAATGAAGTGGTGGGATTGACAGTCGTCCGAGTTGCTGTCAATTCGTTATCCAGCATTGAACCGCACCGTCATAGGATGTCTATTTGTAAAAGATGACTCTTGAACAAGAGTCACTGCGATATCGGCTTTGTATCCTGCATCTACCACGTCAACGACAGGGTATGTTAGATCGGGTGGATACGCTGTCGATATCGTGACGGGTATCATGCAGCCATGCCCGTCAGGTCAGGCACAATCACATCTCCAATTTCCCCTCTCGTTAGCTGCATAGAGATGAGATGAAACGTGGAAGACGGGACATGGTTGTTCTTTGATGCTTCAGGTGCCGGTATCTTCCATCGCGGCGACTCTCACCACGGGGACAGATAACGAATATCTCAAGTTGCTCAGAACTACGTAATTGTTCATAGAATTCATCACGAATTTACTCTGTAAAATCTGCAGAGCACAGACTTGAATGATCCTCGGCTCAATCGCGCGACTCCATCACCTGCATCTTCCGACGCGACCGAGACAAGCGACTAGACTCAAAAATTGACGCGTACCTGAATTCGACCCCGCGCTGACGCAATGCTCTTCAGGTACCAAAATAGACCCAGAGATAAAAAAATGACAGAACCAAGAACTATCGTCTTGGAACCAGATGTTCATGTTTGTCATGTCATCTTTTGGGCAACAACTGCGGGGAAGAACAATATTGGGCTGTGCCACGAGGAAAAAGGATGAGGTGGCAGGTGAAGTGTTCACAAAAAAAGCCTAAAGGCGGTGAAGCCTTCGCCACATCATGTGTTGTCTTGGAAGGAGAGAGAAAACAGAAGAGGAACGAAAAGGGACTGACCAGCGTAGCATACTATTATGGTGTAAAACTACTCATGTTAATTTGTCATGACCCGTTTATTTTCCTCACCGCCCTAGTCAGCTTCTCTCTAGAAATTCTAATTGGCTCAACATGCTTAGCTAATGGTGATACCGGGTCACTGGATGATTTCTTAGCTTTGAATCTACCGAGATACCTTTAAACCCGCGATCTGCAAACGAACCACTCAAGCTCGCCAAAGCAAAACACAACTGATTCAAGTACCTGTCTAACTAGGTTCGTTTCGCTTCCTGGTCCTTGAGACGTATCCCGGCGACATCCATCTAACTGTTCCCAGCAACGCCTGATCACAAGCACCGGGCTCTCACCCCGCATCTCATCCATCATCATGGGTAAAGCCTCTCGCAGCGGACAATCGTCACGACGGTCCAGAGTCACAGAGGCAGCAGCTCGTCTCCTCAGCCCCTCAGGCGGAAGCAGTCCTGCGCAGCAGCTCTACGAGATTCCCTTTGACGCTGAGGCATTTTCACAGGCCAAGGAAGCTCGAGCCAAGCTTCTAGACGCTGACAGCGACGACGATGCCGAGGTTGAGAACACTGTCATCAGCCCCAACATCCCGACTGTTCACGCCCATGTCAAGGGTCTGGACAAGGCTTGCCGTGGCGCTGAGTGGGAAAAGCCTCTTCAACGGTTCCTGACTAGACTTCAACTTGGTAGAAGCAACGTCAGCGTCATCTATGACTCAGCTCTTAAGAAAGTGGGGATCGAACCTCCTGAGGAGACGGATTCTTGGGTTGAGCAGAGTGAACCTGCCAAGTTCGCTGGACATGTCTACAGATTTGTAGGTCGTCAGTGCAGATCTGCTTCCTCAGATCGACATCTGTACATCCTCTACCACCCCGATGCGGAGTGGCACGCCGAGTTCTATGACCTGCTCCAGGACAAGCCTCTTCCCAGTAACTTCCTCGGCTTTTCCGATAATCTCGATGCTCTTGTCGCTTATATTCGATTCATCCGAAAGCGTCTTGGCCGACGTGCCAGCTCGGCCATGTTCCACATTCTCATCCCCAGCTCTCGACCCATCGCCATTCGAGACGCCATCGACTTTCCCGACATTGGCGACTTGGCTATTCACGGCGAGACTCACAATGGCAACAACTATGTGTGGATGAACTTGCCCAACCAGGAAGACTACCCATCTACCCTTGTTCTCCGCCACGTTGAGAACGCTATTCGTCGAGATAGCCCTTGGAAGACAACAGCGACAGTCAGCACATCCCTCATCGGTCTGACAGCATCACTAGCTGGAGCAGCCTTCAACCTTCGCGTCAAGGGCGCTCCCTTCCCCTCCATCAAGACCTTCGGTGTTGCTGCTGTTGCAACTACCATTGCCAGAAGAGTACGAGGTGCAGAGTACTTCCCTCTCGCCATCCTCGGCGCCGGAACCTTCGCCACCACAATAGCAGCATTCGGCCTAAACCGCATCCTCAGCAACCGCAACCCCCGCGTCATCGGCGGTCTCGACACCCCCAAGGAACCCAGGGAACAAGAGAAGGAGAAGGAGGAGTCAACCAGCGAGCAAGAGGAAAACGAGCCCGAAGAAGTCATCCCCGAGCCCGAGCCCCCAGCTCCAGTAGAGGAGCCAGCGCCCAAGGTCAAGGACGACTCCGACGCTCACTCCCTGCTGAGCCAAACGTCTGGCAGCACCAAGAAGTCGAGCAAGAAGCACCGCCGAAGCGAGCGGGGAGAGCGCAGTGAGCGCAGCGAGCGAAAGCGTAGGGATAAGTAAGATTTATGAGGATGTTTGGCAAGACAGAACAAGCAAAGTACACAAATGATGGGGCTGGAACTTTTTTTTGATGTGTATTTCACGATTTTCTCGTTTTAAAGTCTTAGTGCAGTTCTTTTGCTTGCTTTAAAGAAAGAAAAAAGAAGGGGAAAAAAGAAGATGCACAAAGTAGAACTATAAATTGAGTACCTCTACAGAAGGAGGCAGTTTTGAACTTATAACCTGGCTAGTGTGTAAAGTATCTATCTTAAATCTGACTAGAGTAAGGACCGTGTAGAAGAATAATCGTCAATCTCAACCTTTCCTCCCTCCATCCACAATCCATCTACCAAAGCTCACAGGTAGGCTTCTGGCGAGGACAATTGAAAGCCTTCTGGAAGTCAACACTATTCTCGACCGTCAAAGCTACCCTCGCTGCGTTCGGAGCGTGGGTATCTTCCACATCGTGCTGGCCGTTTGCACCGAGATTCTCACACCAGTTCTGTCCATATTTGATGAAGAACAACTGTTCGTGGGTGTAACTTGCCAGTCCAGGGAGATCCATACTTCTGCCGTGCTGGGCTTCGTATTGCTTCCAAGCTGCGTAGGCTGCGAGAATACCACCAGCGTCAGCAATATTTTCATCCATGGTTAACTCTCCATCCACCTTCTTTTCTTCACCATCCGGATCGGTCACTGTAAAGTTGCTGTATTGCTTGATGAAGCACTGAGAAGCCTGTGCAAAGCCCTCAGAAGACTCTTCGTCGAACCAACTGCTGTGGTTACCGTTCTTGTCGAATGTGTGGCCAGTGCCGTCGAACCCGTGGGTGATCTCATGCCCAACAATACTGCCCATACCGCCAAAGGCAAGGTAAGCTGGGTGCTCAGGGCTAAACAGTGGAGCTTGCATGATGCCGGATTGGATAACCATTGCGTTCTCCTGAGGGCTGTGATATGCGTTGGCTGCGAGATTGGGGCGAAAGATTTGGCCTTTATCAAAGGGCCTTCCTAGTGACTCCCAATTCTTGTGGATTCGAGACCTTGCAAACGTCAAAGCATTGAGTACGTGCGACTTGGTAATGGTCACATCGGAATAGAATTCCTTCAAGGCTTTCGGATCAGTTGCCAGAGGGCTTGTTGGCAAGCCAATCTTTATGCCCATAGCACGGACTTTCTCAATGGCAGCTTGTTTAACCGCATCTGTTGCCCATTCCCTGGTTTGAACGCGAGAGATGAAGGCTTCTTCCAGACTTGCAATGATTTCCGAAGTGAAAATTTTCATCTCGGGCGTGACATTCTTATCCGCAAAGAATCGGCCTAGGATCCATGACAGACCTGTAAGACCAATGCCCTCGACGTCGGCTGCCCATTTAACACCGGAATCAAGGAACGTAACACACTTGGACCATCGAGGTGCAGGGCTTGCGTGATCTGTATTCATCTGCTTTAATTGGAACCTATACCAGGCCTCTGTTTCGGGGGACTCGACATAGTCTGAAAGAGCAGTGATGGATCTCCATACAAAAAATGCTTGAAGGACCTCTGGCGATGTCTTTGAGATGGTCTTTGAAATACGAGGCCAGATGGCTACGGATTCCATATATACCATTGGAGTGTCGATGCTCTTGGGGGCCAGTTGCTCGATGACATACTTGAAATTGAGCTGTGGAGCCAGTTTCTGAAGTTCTGACAAGGACAAGAAGATATCGGTCGCATTCGTTGCTGTATCCGGTTGCTCGCCTTCTTTGAGAGATAGTTGGGCTTGAAAAGACACGACTGACTCCATCAAAGAAAACGACTTTGACTTGGTCAAGTTGGCTGGGTGAACAGCACGAAGTAGGTCACTTGCATGAAGCAACCACTCTGGCAAGACCTCCACATCGGTAGGGTTACCATTCTTAGCGGGGTTCAATAACCCGATAATCACCTTGCTGGGATCTGAGGGTTGCTGCTTGTGCACGAATCTTTGTGTGGTCTCGATACCAAGGCTCTCAAAGAAAGTCAAAGTCTCGCCCATGGACGCGGCATGATCATAAGTCATGTTTACACCACGACCATACATCGGAGTAGCAGGGAACTTCTCAGCGACAGTCTTGGCCACATTGCGAAGCTGAGCCAAGCCCTGCTCCTCAAGTGCAGTGAAGTTCATACAAACATCATAAGCACCCTGAAGCTTGGCAAAGTTCTCTTTGTCAATGGCAGTTTCCTCCTTGGTGAAGTTGACGGTGATCCAACTTTCGGACGGGTATGGCTTCTCCAGAATGTTGCGTACAGTTGCATAGGTGCTAGCCTCAACGACACTGAGGCTATTTACTGACGGCATGCCTGGTCCGATTGGGTTCTGTGATGCGAAGCTACCGCAGACCACTGAACGGAAGTTAGTAGATGCTAACACTAAGTCGTGGAGGATGCTTACAATCACCGAAGTTAGTGCATGGATCGATGGCTTGGTGATTCAAAGCCATGCCTCCCAGGATGTTGTCTGCGACATTGATACATGCTGGGGTGGTACAAAGACCGTTGGCTCCACCTGTGACAGCTGTACGGGGAATCAAACCCATCTTTCAAAAGAGTCTCGGAGGAAGCTGATCTAAATAATTGGCAAGATTGGAAGACGATGGAACTTATTGCAGGCTTAGAGTGATGGCTAATGGATTTGACAGCGAGGTCTACCTATACATTTATATCATGTTGCACTTCACATTTTGAGGCTGTGTAAAAGTCCTTTGCTTACAGTGATGACTTCAACAATACAGATCTCACCCGGTAGGGTTATTCCCCGCGACCGCGCTGACAGTGCCTCACGGAAAAGCAATAATCAAGACCCGCCCAGTAAGCTTAATATTATAAAGACGGTAAGCGCTTTAGTCTGTACGCCTTGATTGATGGACAGCCAAAAACCTCACAAGCCAGTAAGCATAATATAGTGCCCGAGAAATACTTCTACAAAGAGTCGACAGCCACGTATGTTTGGTCGAAAATAGAGTCTTGAACAGGAAAGGTGGAAAGTGATCAGCGGGCGCGGCGTTCTTCTCAACTGGGACTTCCGTCTCCAAGCTCCCTCTCCCGGCCCCCAACAAATTTCTATTTTAGACCCCAACTCGAAATAGTGCAAGTCAGCGGTGATTGAAGGTGGAATCATATACTGATCTATTGCGCCCTACAATCTCCTGCTGAAACCAGTGCTGTGAGAAGAACGGCAGCTGATTGGTGCAGAAGTCAATAAGCCTTGCAACGCGGTGCTGCACGGATAGCGCCACTCTGACAGACAGGAAAGACGTTACGCGTTTCCGAGAGGTCAACATAATCTTTAAAGCACTGGTCCTTTGGTCGCCTACTGATAGCATGATTGAAGCTCCATCTAAATTTAGCCCTGAACTCCATGGCGTCGCACAGGTAGAAAGTTCTACCATATTAGATGATAGATGACAGAAGATAATCGTTCTCTACTCGTGCAAGGTGACGCTTTGTCAGGGTAAAGTGGATTATAGAAGTACATCGTCGTTAGACAAGGAGAAGGGTACTGCGCTACAGGCTTATGTGGATAGAGGTGTTAGAGACCTCGGTATCAAGATCAACTCGACGAGATGTATAAGAGCTTTGTTTGATTGGCTTACTCTGGCTGAAATCAAATGCAGAGACTGTTATGTCAAGAATTGTAAGTATTATTGATTGCTCACCTGGATTAATTTTCACTCGGTGCTGGCTTGTTCTTGTTAATCCGACCCGACTGTGCCACAATGGCCTTATTCGAAATCACTTTACGACGCAGTCAGCGATCTGTCGGTCAATGAGACGTCCAATGTCAGTACATGAATCATGCAATTGACTACCTCACATACTGCAATGATACAGCTAAACAAATAAAATCATGTTTAACATTGAACCGTTCTATAGTCTATTATCTATCCTTTAAAAGCTACTACAAATCTAATGTCATCTCCTTACCAGGCAGGCTTGGGCACATTCGTCTTAGCTCTACCACCGAAACCCCAGGCGATCTGATGAGCAATCTGAATTTCCGTGTTCAGATCATCAGCCCATGACCAGACAAGTCCGGTATTCTTTTGGAACGGTCGACCCACCGCCACTAGGTCCAAAGGAGTATCGTCATCCTTGCCTTGGATGATCTCCTCGGCCAGAGTGCCGGTCTTGATATTACCGACAGTGCTAACGAGTAACTTATCTCCAACAGACCTCTTAATGGCCTTGGCAAATGGAGCCTGGTAGCCGGGACCACCAGCAATCTTTTGCATCTCGTGGATACCACCGCTGGAAACATCAATGACATCAACACCTCGCTCCGCCAAGAGATGTGCAAGCTTGATGCTCTGCTCGTTGGTCCAGTTCTCTCCCTCCCACTCAGGGTTGTTGTCGAGCCAGTCGGTACAGCTGATGCGGGTGAACAAGGGCATGTCGGCGGGCATCACAGCCCTGGTAGCCTCCACAATTTCGAGAGCGAGTCGGACTCGGTTCTCGAAGCTTCCGCCGTACTTGTCTGTGCGCTTGTTGGTAGCAGGGGACAAAAAGCTGGAGACGAGGTAACCGTGGGCGAAATGCAAGTCAATAACGTCAAAGCCAGCCTCAATAGCTCGACGGACTCCAGAGACAAAGTCCTGCTTGAGCTGCTCGATCTCTTCCAGAGTAATGGCGCGAGGAGTGGGGTAGCCCGGAGCAAATGGCTCATCGCCAGGACCCACAACATCATCAGGCCACCCGCCAGCAGCCTTCTCAGCTGCAAGTCCAGCGTCTAACCAAGGAGCAACACAAGAGGCTTTGCGACCAGCATGCGCAATCTGGATGCCAATGAGGGAGTTGTTGGCATGCGCAAATTCAACGTGCTTTCGAAGTCCTTCGACGTGCGAGTCCAGCCAGATACCCGAGTCTTCGGGTGTGATACGGCCTCGGGCCTGCACAGCTGAGGCTTCAAGCATGATGAGACCAGGTCCGCGCTGGGCCAGTCCACCGTAGTGAGCAAAGTGCCAGGGCTGTTGGAAGCCATCACGGGCGCTGTATTGACACATGGGGCTGACCCAAATGCGATTGGGCATGGTGACGCCCCGGATCTTGATGGGTGTGAAGATCTTGGGAAGAGAGTCGTTGGGACCAGTCAGGCCTAGACCAGGAGCGGGAATCTGCTCGGGGTTGAAGTATTCAACTCCTTTGGTAGCAATGTTCTTGACGACTTGGTGGTTTGCATCGTGAACTTCTGTGCCGTTTTGGGTGGTGATAACAGGTAGAGCCTGAGAATGTTGTTGGACTGTCATTGTAATACTTGGTCAACGGCTGATGTTTAGATGAAGGTAGTGGAAAATTTAATCTTAACGATAGATTGACGTGATACCCTTTTCCTTTAAGTAGACAGCTTCGTGCAGGAACTAACGTTATAGCTAACAAGCTTGACTAATTATACCTTAATTACTAATTCTGACCCACTGTCTTTTAAATTCGCTAATAGCATCTGTGCGTGTTGTCTTGGGGCTTTACAGTTCGGAGTTATTTTCGCATTGATCCTGCATTGACCAGTGAAAACCACACCTTAACTTGTTCGTGTCCCCACTCAGCCGTGAAACTCGGTAGTATTAACTGCCATGTGCGGGAATAGGCTTCGGATATAGGACCTAGCCACCTATTATTCCACTAACAAGGCTAGTTCTTTTTATCCTTCTGAAGGCTTCTGTTGTAGTGTTGATCGAGATCATATGCGCAACGTTCAAAGAAATAAGACAATCAATTAAAATGGAAATAAAAGAAACTTATGCCGAGCCAAAGGTACAGTAAATGCTTCTTCCTGCCGTAACTCATGACTGAGCACCTTGACATACGTTCGTATAGTAAGTCAGTCAGTTGATCCCTGATTCATGCATAGCCGCGATACCAAACTATCTTTCATCCTTCTACACCCACCTGGCCCATTCTCACTTCAGCCTTCTCTAGCTGTTCAACTTTCCCAAACCCGAGATAACAGACTCCCGCCAATACGAGACTGCTGCTATAGCAGCACTCGGTCCTGCAAGACCCAGGGCAGCGAGCAAAGCTAACACCCTGATAAGAGCCTCTCTTGTCTTCACAAACCCAAACGATCGCAAATGCCATGCTGAGTAAAGACAGTATATAAGACTTGATGATGCTTTGATGATGCACTGATCATCGGGACGGAACCAAGCATGGGCATGATCAAGTCGAATCGGCTTTCGGGGGCATGTGCGCCAACAGTTGATGCAAGCTTCATGGCAAGGGGCAAAAGGATACAAGCAGCAAAAGCAGAGCCATGTAAGATCGGTACTCGGCGGTTTGAAACTTAGAAGTATTTTCTAATAAAAACATATTGATACATGAGATGCTAGAAGGTAAGCATCTAAATAAAATGCCCCTCCGCAATCGTGCGCTGATAACATTTAGATAGAGAACCACATTGTACTGACTGTTCTGAGATACGCCAATCTTACTCTCAGCTCAACTACACATCTGACCACATATACTCAGCTAATTACCCATACCGAAGTTTCCCTTTTCAGTTGTGAAGGGTTCCCCCCAGATGATTTAGTAATTGCCCCATGTATCTCACGTTATCGGGTACCGTTAATAGTCAAGTCCTATGTATATGAAACCACAATGGTAGAGCAATAGACTGCTTCTAAATTAATAACGAGCTATTTCAATTGAACGTCATCTCCAGCGACACCGGCGCACCCTGTAGATCCAGGTACCTGAACAGTTAGACCAGTTTTGGAGTTAGCTGCCAGGATGTGACTAAGTGGAGTAGCATCGCGGAGACTTGCGATCTTTCGGGGTAAATCTTAGCGAAGGTGCCATAGCCGGAGTCGGATCACGTATCCGAAGTAGGCTAATCCTTCTTCCCCAATTCCCATTCTTTTCTCTCTAAGCTTCGTTTCTATCGAAACATTGTTCCTGAATTTAGTGGTTACATTGAGCCTTTATACCTGGTCCATGGCTTGGAGACTGCTCACGAACGATGTCAGCAACGGAAAAGTCACCCGAACGTGCCGGGGATGAGTCTTATCAGCAACAATCCCCAACGCTAGACACAGAAGTCGCAGAGCGTGACGATGGCTCATCAACTATCGACATTGAGTCAAGTTTGGCAGCATGGATATGTGTACTAGGAAGCTTTCTCTTCTTGATGCCTACATTCGGTAGATTCCCCCATCCTAATCACCAAACCGCTTATCTAACCTTCCAGGGATGATGCAATCTGTTGGGACGTACCAATCCTACCTAGAACTCAATCAACTCAGCGACTACACCGCCGGAGAAATCGGTTGGATCTCTGGAATGTACGTCTTCCTCTCCATGCTCGCCGCCATCCAGGTCGGTCCCGTTCTCGATCAACATGGACCATTCGCAGTCGGCATCATCGGCGGAGGCGGTGTCGTCATCATGTTCATCCTTCTCGCTGAGTGTAAAGAGTATTGGCATTTTATGCTTTGCTTTGGGATACTTGGTGGCCTTGCGACGGCTATTGCAGGTACTATCGGCGTCACTGTCGCTGCGAAGCTCTTTACGAGGAGGCGAGGGCTTGCTATTGGGATAGCCCTCACTGGCTCGTCTATTGGAACTGTCATCTTTCCCATCATGCTTCGGTCATTACTACCAAAACTTGGATGGGCCTGGTCTATGCGAGTCGTGGCTTTTGTTTCACTTGCCATCTTCATATTTGGTACCTTGTGTCTTATTCCCTACACACGACTCACCAAACTCGTCGCATTGCCGACTCCAAAGAAAGGAGGCATAGCGCTTCCCAACTTATCTGCTTTCTCATCTGTGCCATTCTCATTAGTATCCGTTATGGCGTTCGCCATTCAATTCGTCCTTTATGGCATTGGAGGTCTATTACCAACATTTGCTATTGAGGCCGGGCTAAAGCCCGAGGCAGGCTACACGCTACTCTCTATCGTCGGTGCAGCTTCGGCTTTCGGTCGCATCATTCCTGGGCTAGTAGGCGACAAGCTGGGCCACTGCAACGTTTTCATATTTATGATGATCATGACACTCATCTTCATGGGGTCTTTGTTTGTACCTTTTGGTAACAGGAGCGTTGTTCTCTATGTCTTCAGTGGTCTATGGGGATTTTGTTCTGGGGGATTCTTGTCTATCACTCCAGGTAAGCATCATCATTCTCATTGTGAGACACCGTCTAACGCTATCCAGTATGTGTCGGAAAGACGTGTGATCCAAAAGACTATGGCCGATACTATGGCACTCTCAACTTTTTCATCAGTTTCTCTCTGCTAATCGCCATTCCAACAAGTGGCACGATGGTAGAGAAAATGGGCACTCAAGCTTTGAGTGGATTGTTGACGGGCATCATCGCACTCGGGCTGTGTTGTCTGGTTGCAGCTCGGGCTTTCTTGATCGGGGAATGGTTTGCAATCAAGACCAAGATCTGAGTCTATGGTTCTCTCAGCGAAATGAACAAAAGTGATGAACTGCAATCTGAGACTAGACTGATATAGAAAGAGGATTTATAAGAGGGTGTAATTGTCGTTTTCTGTACAATGTGGTCTCGCTGTAAAGTGAAATGTAACAAGAATAAATGACATCCAGCCTACAGCTGATAAAGTTGACGCCACGCCCGACGGGTAAGCTTGTTAGGCGGGAGATTACAGCGCCACGTCCCCTAGATAAGCGCTAAAATTAGCTTCTTGGTCACTACCCGCCCAGCCATCCAAACGCAGTCTTGACTTGTGTTGATAGAGTGTTCTCTAGTCTGGGCTCTTGTCGCGCTTTAATAATTTGAAGTTCTCGGACAGAAAAACAGACGGTGGTTTGATCTCAGGAGTAGTATTTAAGTGTATGATTGTCTTTCGCTTTACGGGGTGGCCGTTCTAGACTCAGCAGGCAATATTATTCCACGGCCACAGCCAACACAGTGGTCCCATTTTCAGGTCTCGCCCATGATCCGCCGGGATGTTTTCAGAGACTAATGGAAATAAATTGGTTCGTTTAAGTCAAATCCATGCACTGTCCGGACTCCCCAGAAGTTTGCAGTGCTAACCCCCCTGTCATTATGGGAATAAAGGTCCACCAGCCAGGGTTTATGGTGCTAGCTCAATCAATAGCTTGGACACATCACAGACATTATTGAATGGAGAGGCATCGAGACTCATCGAGACTGTTGCTTTGTTTTCACGGCGGTTGTATTGTAGGATGCTTCTCATAGTTTAAAGCTGGACTGGTACCAGTTTCGTCCTGAAGGAGCATCTTGATTTCTCCTCAATGTCAAGTCACCATGGTCGCCCTCAAGCCTCTTCTGTTACTTTTCGCACTTGGTGCTGAGGTCCTTGCTGGCCCTGCCAAGCCTGCGTCCTGCACTACCGTCCTCGGAACCAAGACCGTCAAGAACGTTCCCACTTCGACTACCACCGCCATCAAGAAGATCGACATCATCAAAAAAGTTATTAGAAAGGTCAATGTTGTTGTTGTGCCCGTGGCGAAGACTACTACTATTCGCACCACGCATGTAGCTACAGTCACGTCCATTGACCAGAAGACTGACACTGCTTGGGTGACTCTTACCTGTGAGTACATACCTAGCAATTGTATGTACCATGTCTGATCTGTCTTTTAGCTCCATCTACCTCTTGGATCACTCGAACTGCTGTGATAGTTAGCACGACCGTCTCGCCGACTTACACCACTAAAGACGTCACCATCACTATTCCGAGGCCTGCAGACTTCACACCTATTGGCGATAGTGATCCGCCTATTTTACCTACATTCGCAAAGCGGGATATCACAACCCAGACCATTTTACCTGATGATCAGCAGCCTCAGAGTGTTCGTTGCGTTGTTGATAAACCCCAGTACTCCACAAAGATCGTTAGCACGACAGTTCAAGGACCTCGACGTACCCTGAAGGCTGTGACCAAGACCAAGATATCTACCATTTCTACTACTGTTACACAGACAGAGTACCCTCCCAATGTCAAGACAACGTTGACTACCGTCACCTGGCCTGTGACCACCTTGGTTACTGATATTTCATCTACTTCGATTGTTACTGAGACTGGTAAGTGTTACAATTCTTGGTCACTAATACCAAATTAACATGCTTCTTCCAGTAACCATTGAAAGCCAGATTCCCCGCGCTACTGTCTACGATATATGCCAGGACGATAACATCCTAAGCGAAGCTAACAGTGGCTACTTTGCTGGCTACATTTACGAGGATAACGTCGTAACCCAAGAAATCAACGGCATCCAAACTGCTAAGCAGTGTTGTCAAGCGTGTGCAGCTGTTCCTAGCTGCAAGGCATCTCTGTTCAGTCTCTTTTCTTCCCAACCTGGATGCACCATTTTTACCGCAATAGACCCGGGCGTATGCACCAACAACGCACAGCCTAAGTTCGGTTTCTATCAGACCAATATCGACCAGCAGTGGGACCTAAAATGGCATTTGAGCAATGGAGGTTGCGGTCATTGGGAGAACGGTGGTGAATGGGAACCTTAAATAGGCCGAGCTGGTATTATTGGGAAGCACAATCAGTAGCATCCACAAGTTTATTTTGGACACCTTCCCAGTCCTATTCCTCTTATTCCCTGCTTTATCTACCCATCAATAGTATCAATAACTTAATCTCGATTCTAAATCTACAATCTATAGATGGCACTGCGTTCTCCAGTAACTCTATCTCTGTATTGGGCTGAAACAGCGGCAGGCATAGCGTAAGATGGTATTATACAGTGACCGCCTCGCCTAATTGAGTCACCCTGCTACTCAGTGTCATTTGCAACGTACGATGTACATTTTGATAGGGACTACTGGAAATAAACCAATGGATGCTCCACTCAATTTCTCTCAACGATCCAGGGTCTATACGCCAAGGGCCTTGATTGCTTTGTCTGTCGTTATGACCGGGGTTATTGCCTTAGTCTAACCAATAGCTCAAAGACATCACGGACTCTATTGATTCAGCGATGCATCTAGACTTGTTGAAAAGTTCGCTTATTCCAGTCCTTGATCCTACCGTCCAGTTTTAGAGTTTCTAATATTGAGGGGACTGTCTTGCTACCAGTATTTTATCTCTCCTTTCTCCCTTGTTTTTCTATATCAGCTTGATTCAACAGTGCCTTCTCATACACACCATGGTCGCTTTCAAATCCCTCATCGTGCTCCTTGCACTAGGCGTTAAGGCTCTCGCTGGTCCTGTGAAACCCGAGTCGCTATTATGCACCACGTTCCTCAGCACCAAGACCGTTAAGACTGTCCCTACAGCCACCACCAGTGTAGTCGAGAACAAAACCATTATTAAGAAGATTTTTCGCCGGGTTAACGTCATCGTCGTGCCCAGACCTGTAACGACTACTGCCCGTACAACTAAGACGGACACAATCACCTTCACCGACGACAGTGAAATTGCTACTGTAACGATCACATGTAAGTTATCCACAGCCCTTGTCTACTGATAACAGAGCTGACTTTTCTTTGGCCGACAAGTCCACCAAGACCAACTATAGAACCTCTTGGGTAACTAGAAGCTCTATGACTTCGACTACCACCACCAAATCTTTTACGTCCACTGTAACTACTACACCTGTGGCCTTCACGGCTATCCTGGATAATACCAAGTATGTCGCGAGGCGGGACCTACCTCTTGGAAGTGTTACGGCCGATTATGTTTCCCCTGTCCTTCCTGTTTCTCCTCTAGATGGGCAGCTCCCGCAGAGTGTTCGATGCGTCAAGGCTGTCCCCAAGTACACCACCAAGGTCGTCACTACTCAGGTCCAAGGTCCACGACGCACTCTCAAGGCTGTTACCAAAACTTCGACTTTGACATCTTCAACGAGTGTGGTTTCTACATTCTATCCGGAAGCTACTTCTACTTCTTACACCACTGAGTATCATGAAGTTGTCACAACGGATGTTGATGTCACGTCCACTACCGTCGTAAGCGAGACAGGTAAGAGCTACCCGGACCATCCATGAGAAGTTATCTGACTAGAGCCCAAACAGTGACTGTTGAAAGCTGGATCCCGCAAGCGACCTTTTACAATATCTGTTCTAGCAGAAACATGATGCGGAGTGCCAATGGAGGGTCTGTTATCACATACACAGATGCCGGTGGAGTGAACTTTGCAGAGTTTGGAAAAGGATTCACGGAGGTCTCTTGCTGCAATGCATGCGCGGCTGATCCCTATCGTAGGGGAACAACGTACCGCGCATCCGATACGAACTGCTTCGCGTATATCAGTCGCGACAAGTCAGTGTGTGGCACGTCTCGCAATCTGCTCGCAAGATACATCACGCTAAGACCTTCTACCGATAAGTCGGTATACTCCAACGGTCCTTGCGGATATTGGGAAAATGGTGGAGAGTATGCGAGACCCCAAGCGGCATGATGGCCTGTACCTGCCTCTGAGGGAAGACTGGGAACCTAGGTTCTTATCACCACGGACTCAGATCAGTATCAGAGAGTCATTATCATTCTAGTCAGCTTTATCAGACATATATCTAGCCTTCTTCCAAGCGGTCTAAACGTCAGGATGCTCATTGAGCCACTGTTCAAACCCGATGGGCGTAATCTTTCCCTCCCATCTCTTATTATCACTCGGATCGCAAACAGCCACGCCCTTCAAAATTGCAAGTCCATATGCCAATTCAACATACTGATTAACCTGCAAAGGACCCATAAACTGTCTCGCCTGAGCCAGCATTCCTTCAAGCTCAGCTTGCCCACCAACGCATTGTTTCTGTATCTCCATACCCCGCACCTTACCATAAATATCAGCCAACTCAGGAAACGTGCACCTGAACGATTCGACATAGTAAACACCGCGTTGAATGATCTCTTCATCAGTAACGGCTGCAAGAGTATACTTCGCAAGATCGTCGACGCTGGTCAGGGACATTTTCTCCTCGCCACTACCGGCGTACATGGCCATCTTATTCTCAACATCAATGGCAGCACGACGACCATCTTTCTTGTAGTTGATGAACATGTATTCGAGAATTGTTCCACAAAACGCGAAGATAGGCTTCAATCCGCTTGAAAGCTCAGCGAGACGCTTAAATGACATGTAAGCATCGTACGTCTCGTGATCACCCAAGCTAAGCCTAGTCCAGTCAAAATTCCACGACGCAGCGTGGAAAACCTGGAAATTAGCATCATGTCATGCAGGTCGAATTTGGGGGCCGAACCTTGACACCTGCTTTTTCTGCTTCTAACAACAGAGCTAGCTGGCCTGCGCCGACAATGCTTGGCACAGTTGGCAAAGCAGCAATGACGACATCGACACCCTTGGCGGCTTTTGCGTAAGCCTCGGTATCGAAATAGTCGCGGCAAGTGACGAAAGACTCGAGTTTGGAGGATATTTCGGTGGAGAGATTGTCGGGGTTGCGGCTTAGACCGCGGACTGAGTGGCCTTCGGCTAGGGCTGTTTGGGCGACCGGCTGCCCGACCATTCCAGTTATACCAGCAATGAGGATAAGCATGATTGTAATACGATATGATATATTGGTAACGATTGACCAGTCCTCACGCTTTGAGGTGAGGGGAAGGTCCTTTTATACGGCGGGTATCATACCCACAGAAGGATCGGATCCGGGTTCGCACAGATTACTCGATTCGGCTTATTGCGGCGCAATACAACTTGGCGTCCCTAACTAGGTAGTATTTGGGACCTTGATATCCTGTTTTCTCCTCTATTCGGGGACTTCTACATGTAGGAGGAGGTCCATAATCCAGTACCTCGGTCGAATACACTGCTATTTGTGCTAACTATTGCGATCGACGTACCACGTGGTGGACCGAAACATAGACCAAGAGACTTGAGTTATACCTATTACAGGTTAAAGCAGAGGCTTGCGACTCATCTTTTACTTATTAAAGAATGGTTTCAGCCAGACTTGAGTCAAGCATCCGAGCATTTGATACCGTGCTGTCGGAACGTACCGAGAACGGAGTGCCGAGGACAAGACACTTATTAAGCCTATCAAATTGATTATAGGGACCTTTAACCTTGCTATATATCTTACACTAACAAGTATAGAAAGGCGTCGCTTTCTTTGTGATCCAAAACTGTTAAAGAAATTCCGATTCAAACAGGATGAATAATTCTACTATCTAAACAACGTGTTCGATCCAAGATTAGTTGTCAGTAAACCCACCATGGCCAGCCACTTAGATACATATGTCTGCTACTGCTCTTCCAATCTCGCCATGACATGCGTCTTTCTTGTTTTAAAATTGTACCAAGCTTATTCCCGCAGTTCAGTATTCAAGCGCTGCGCCGCACCCATCATCCTCGACCCTTGCAAGGAGGAGTTGCATTAGAAAGTCAAGACTTCAAGATCGGTCAAGATTTCACAGTCTTGCAGAGTTATATAAAGTCCTACGTCTCAGCTGAAACATTTCAACCGAATTGACCCTCATTCACAGGGCAGTATGCTTTTTCTCGGTGGCATTTTTCATCTCATCGGCCTCCTAACGGCCATGATATAGCTAAACAAAGCCTTCTGCTTCATCAACATCTATTTCCTCCAATCCAGTAAATTCCGCCGTTGCCAACGGAACCATTCAGATGACGCCAACCAATGGACTCTCGTGACAGAGGTCACAAGTACAATCGGGCTTACCTTTACTCATGAGATTGCGAGTCGAGGATTCAAGGTCGTTCTGCAAGGCAGTGATAAGGAGGATCTAGAGTTTCTCAAGGTCGAGTATGAGAAGCGACATCCTTCTTGCTCGTTTATGACACTCCTTGCCGACTCTTCTGCGGCGGAGGGAGTAGACTTTGAGGCGATTCACAATCATTGGAGCCCTTGAAACCGACATTTCTTGTCAACAACGCTGGCAGACGACTTGAAGAGATCCCCTTTGGCCTTCTCACATCCTTCTCGCACACACGCACAGCCCAAGATATAAGCGCAAACATCACATTTCCACTCCTCCTAATGAAAACCGTCCTCCCAATCCTCGGCCGGAATACTCCATCCCTCATCATCGCCGTGGGCTCCACGCAAGACAAAGGCCTACCGCTCATAGCCACGCACGCAGCAGGTATGTCATTCCTGCAAACCATGACCGATTCATTGGCTATAGAGACGAAGCTTGGAAACTATGATCTCGAGCTGATATATGTGAACCTGGGCACCACTGCTGGCGTTGGAGGGCCGAGCTTTTCGAGGTGGTCACTCGATGATGCAGTCAAGGCTGCGCTTGCGAGAGCTTGGTGTGGGAGGAGGAGTCTGCATGTTCAATGGGCTCAGGGTTTGGCAGAAAGAATGGCTGATTTTGTGCCAAGGAGGATTTGAGAGGAGGGTATTGTGCTCAGTATGCGTAATGCGGCGGAGGATGCGATCAGGCGACGTGATATTACCTCTACGTAGACTATACGTCGTCGGGAATTGCGAGGGATCAGATAGAAGCGGGCTCAGAACGTCGAGGACGAGAGATCTTGATACCTTGAGACATATTTAGCAACTCTGTTTAAATAAATATACCGTGTTAGTAGTCAGCAATCTATCAGCATTGAGGCAGTTTCACATCGTTTGCTTCCTATTATTTTTCATTCAAGATTACCTCCATTGATAGCATCCCATAACACTCAACGCCTGTTTTTCTGGTACTGCTTAAATCTCAGTTGCATCCACAAAAAACAGGGACTGTAAGGGTGCTCGAGAAAGGGTGGTTCAATTGCCTAATTAGGAGAAATCAATTCTTCGCAATTATCTTCACGTTTTCTTGATGTTTAGGGCTCGTATGTCGGTAGCCAAATGGGGAAAAATGGCTGACGGTGTGTTGTCATGCATTTGCAACTGCATGACTGAGACATGAAACTCGGTGAAGCAAACAATGGGCCTCTTCACGATGGGGCTTGTACTGGATCAATTGGTGCGGGGTTAAACGAATAGTGGTATAATTGTTCTCAGCTCGTAAAATCGTAGATAGTTGGAATTATAGCGATAAAAAAGAAATACATGTAAGAAAATGCCCCCATCTATAAAGAGACATTTCTAAGCGTGAGACTTCCTGCGGGTATCTTCGTCAACGCCGTTGGGAGTCTTGGGCCCAAATCCAAACATGTCAAGGAACGAGCTCCGCCTCTCCTGCTGCGCACCAGCAGCATCTTGGTCATACGACTCGCGTCGACTACCAGCGGGCGACATCTTCTTGACACCGCCGCCAAGATAATCCATAATGGAGCTGCGTCGCTGCTCGAGAGGCTTGGGAGGCTGGCAAACCATGATCTGGAGCTCAAGGTTCTCAATGTCGTTGTCGGTCTCGACCTTCTTGCGGCCGCAGTTGGAGAAGGCGGTGCCCGAGTAGAAGACGTAGCCGCTGAAGGGGCTGGCCAGGGCAACGACTACAGCGCTCTTTTGGCGGGCGACCTGCAGGGTTTGCTTGGAGAGCGTCTTGGCAAAGCCTTGGCGAATCCAGTGTGGGTGCGTGATGACGGCATGGAGGAAGATGATGTGTTCATGGCGAGCAAGGTAAGTTTGCTGAGTTTCCGTGATACCTAGCTGAAGAGCATTGAGTCTCTTTATCGTCTTGGTCTGGTTGTCATCTGCATCTAAGCCAAAGACTGCAATTTCATTAGCATTTGTTACTGAGACAATAAGGTTCAAAATAAAATCTTGCACGATTGTGGGTGAAGTGGAGGTGAGTGAGGGGCAGCTAATTTCATGTTACGTACCTTGCTCAGCCTGCTCGGCAACACCCTTTTGCCCATCGGCATTCTGGTGAAGAGTTTGGCAGATGGCCAAGGCGACAGGGTCGTGAGTCTTGGGGGCATCAACCACGAAGCAGAGCCAGTTCTGGTTCTCTGCGTCGATGACTCTTCTGAGGACGGTTTCGACGTGATTTGTTGCCGTTTCTGAGCGTGTAGAGGGGAAACAGTATTTGAAGACGGAATCTTCTGACAATCCCTTGAGGATGATCTCCTTCAAGACAGGAATGTCTTCTTTGGTAGCGACACGGACGCCCATGCTGTGTATAGTGTGTGATGTGTTGTTTGTTTCTGTGAGGTGAGGTGAGGTGAATGAGTTGAGTGAATATGAATCAGGTCTTTGAGTCAAAGATATTTCAGGGCTCAAGACTCATAATATCGCCTTCAAGGGCACACAAAAAAACAAGAAGTGGGCTCTTTTTTCGGGCTCAGGCGTTTGGGTGCGAAAACGTCACACGTGAAGAAGATTCTGATCATGAGCCGACGCCAAGCCAAGCAAAATGAGATCATAGCGAAGGCCAAGACCAGGGCATTGGTCCCGTCGTAACTTTTTTCACCTCTGTAAGAGGCGCTGGCAGTGAGGAGTAACAGTGCCAACAGTGGCTAGAGTGGCCAGACACCAGAGCAGGGACTCTAGCGCTGGCGGCCTCTTTCAAACACTAAAACTTCCCCCACAAACGATCGACTCATAGCTGCCAAGACTGGCTGATTCCGCCTTAACCGTCCCCGTCGGGTCCTGTTTTTTCAATCGCTGGGGGTATAATTTAAGCTTAACATGCAAGGTTAATTGAAGCAAGAGCTATCGTCCGATGTATGATTGTCAGGTTGTTATCGTATGAGTTTGAGATTTAAGCATAATTTATATGAGAATAACATTCTATTGCTGGGACGGGCGCAGAGCAAAAATTGCTGAGATTTAGAGCTGGGTACCCGCGCCGAGATACCAAGAGTCGGATAAGAGATGGTACATCGGTATAATTTTCGGAAAAGGTTGCAACCATTTTACCCTCTCGCTACTGCAGTAATCTGCATATAATCAGTTCCTGGTTTTTTTAAATCCGTTAGAGACTTTAATTATGTATCACAAGTCAGCTCTGCCAGCACATACAGATACTGCTGATAATCCCGCAAATTACCGAGTCCTTCTTGTCATGCGTCGCCGCAACAATCGCTCAGACAGGTTCCGATCGTCCTTTATTCTGGGCAGTGCTCTGCGATCATGTGATGATACGTAATGCTAGTTTCACCCACAGCATCCAAGTCGAGTCATGCGCAGGTACTGTGGTATATCATACTACCTCTACTGTCTTTGTACTGTAGAGTGAGACTTTCATGGATCAGATTGTCTCTTATGAACGGGAATGCACCCCACAAACAATATTGCGGGGGCAGAGGTTAGCAACGCGCTATCCGCACCTGCAAGATCTAGAGATAGATACCCGACGAATACTATCTAAAGCTTGCGGGGTTTATACCCGTTCAGCCCTATCTCGGACGATGAAGACGATGACACTGAGTGTGATTGGTTCGTGATGGCTGGGCGTTACGGAGATTGCGGCATTTCGAGATAAAATGTGAAATTTGGGGCGTCTAACAACCGTTGAGATGATCAGCGACAGGAGCTATATGGGTTTCATTTTCGCGAAAGAATAAGTCGATTATATCTGTCGACTTTGGTATGGCGATGAAACGCGGTCGGGTAGAGATATCATGTTTCGGATCAGCCCATTTTCAGCTGGTGCCATTCGCCTCGCCTCACCGAGACCGACCGGGAATAATCACACCACCTTGAATAAGAGATTACGAACAGGGGCAGATTAAAGCATTCTCACCCGATAATATCAAACTCTCACCGACTTGCAGTTTGATGGTTGACCGATGCCTCTTTCTTTGTGTTTTACACAGTACCTAATCTTATTTTGGCGCTGGTTCCCTATCTCTCATCTCCCCATCGATCAAGGCACTGTTTCTCCATATTGTGAACCTCCAAAGAGGCTATATCTTGGCAGTACTAGACTATCGGGACAGGAGTTTCCAAGAGCCACGTTCATGTCACTGCCAAGGCGGGAGTAAGTATGACGTATCGATGGTGGTAAGCTCTGTTGCGGCGTCAACCTCCACATCCACCGTGCCGCTCTTGGCACATCGAAGATCAAGGTTGGCAATGACTATCCAGATTGCTGTATTAGTAAATAGATTGTCTTCTCAATTATTGTTTGAGAAAGAAAATCCTCCATCACATCATACCGAATCATCGAGGCTATGGCAACCAAGAGGATGTAATATAGATAAAGTACACAGCGTTGCGATATCAGTCGCTGTTTCTCTGCGCTCTGCTTCACGATAGCTAAGACTATCCCAGCAACAGTCTTATGAAACTGGGTAGCGTAGAGATGATGGCTTTATACTAATCCTTCTTCTCCATCCATGGTAAACAAGCTTCATAAATCCTTCTGAACCCAGCAAACCCAACACACCTCTCAAAAGCACCTTCATCAACAGTCTTCGCTGACTGGAGCGAAGCAGCAATGAAAAAGTCCGTATAACTCGGCATCTCCCCCATAATAAATGGCCCGCCATTCATCATCATCAATGCGTTGAGCTCCTCCATTTTCTCTCTCACACCTTCCCAGGTCTTCTCCTCTGTATCAAGAAGATCTTCCAGCTTACAGCCGAACTTGGCTTCGTTCTTGGCGCGAAAGTACTCTTGGGATCGGGGTGAGAGGATGAGGTTTTCGCGAGGTACGATTGAGATGGCAAATGCTGGGCCAATGGTGCTGCGACCTTTGGACTCTATCTCGAGACCCAGGTCGGAAAGTAAAGACACTGAAGGGTTGGGGTGAGTAGATTCTAGGAATTCAGCGATGCGCAAAGAATCCATGATGAAAACGCCTGTAGGAACATGCTGGATCGTAGGAACTGTGTATTTCTTATCAGACCCGGGTTCATGGGGAGCTACGTCGCTAATATATAGGTCAATATATGCTACAGGTAGAGTTGGAAATGACTTGCAGCTCTTTCAGGGTCAGCTCGATGTCGGGAAGCTCCAAAAAGACGGTCTTGTATGGGATTTTCTTGTAGTTGAGCATTAGGCGGACCTTCCACACGACTGGGGAGAAGCAGACATTCTTGGTACAAGCCAAGTCGTAGAGAACAATCTCGGGTTGGTCAACTTTTGTCATGGCTCCGATAATGATTACAATGAGTTGGGCGGTAGTTGGAACAGCTCCAAGTTGTGGTCTTCGCAGTCGTGGTCAGATCCGCAATGCTCACGGATGGAATGGCGCGGAGTAATTCCCCTCCGATTGGCTGCAACAGCATTGTTGCCTGGATTTTGTGTCACGACACGATGCCTACACTTCGCTATATGATCCTTAGATCAGTAATCACCTTGAAATGATAAGTGAATTGACTGCTGAGTCTGGAATATTGTTATCTGCCGAAAATTGATGTCTATCCACCCTATACTCAGGGGAAGCTAAATAGAGAAACCCCGACGGCGTTTAATGACGTACCCACACGTCATCTAATCTTATCAGATCTTCGGAACAACATTATCCCCCAACCATCAACCGGTGTCGGAAGGGTTCTGTGCCGCTGTCAAAGTATCAGAAGTTATCGAAACAGTTATCAGATCAGAGTCGATAACATGTGTAGCCGTCTAATTAAACTTTTGATCGCTTTCTGGTGATATCGATACTGGCTCATCAACATGCCTCGGCACCGCTAAGATAAACGCCGTCGTCATGACCCACACTAAACAAACAGCCGAGGTTTGGAAGTCTTAGTCTCATCGATTTTCCGACATCGCTCAGCCGAACAATGCCCCATAAAGTCCACCTCCTATCCTCCCCCTTCTCTCCGCCATCAAACTAAATTCTGGGGAATCTGATCCGGGGTAAACAACTTCACAATCCATCATGCCTCCTCCTAATCCAGACTGGGTCAAGGCCCTCACTCCCTCGGGCCCCCAGGGCTCTGAGCTCATCGCGCAAGAACGCGCTCAGTCCGACATCAACGTCGATCAACTCGCGACATTCCTCTTCACAAAAGAAATTCTTGAGCGCAATGATCGCATTCTCAAGATTCTTCAGGCAGACCCCGTGTTTGATAAGTCGCAGAATTACTTCCGCGGACGCACAGATCGTCTCGAAGCTGCTCTTCAAAGGGCGAAGCACCTTAAGCGTCTTCGCGATCAGCACCAGTGGAGCGAGGAGGAGTACCACGCGGCAAATGATCTCATCAGCGAACCTACGCCCTACGGTCTTCACGCGTCAATGTTCTTGAAGACGCTCGAGGAACAGGGCTCTCCCGTGCAACACAAACTTTTCCTTGAGAAGGCCAGAAATTATGAGATTATTGGCTGCTACGCGCAGACTGAGCTGGGTCACGGTTCTAATGTTAGAGGTCTGGAGACCACTGCTACTTGGAACCCTGAGGATAAGACATTCACTCTTCACTCGCCTCACCTTACCGCGTCAAAGTGGTGGATCGGTTCTCTCGGCAAGGCAGCCAACCATGCTGTTGTCGTCGCCCAACTTATCGTCAATGGCAAGACCTACGGTCCTCACCCCTTCGTCGTGCCTATTCGCGACATGAAGACCCACGAGCCCCTCGAGAACATCCATGTGGGCGACATCGGTCCCAAGTTCGGCTACAACACCATGGACAACGGTTTCCTTCTTTTCAACCACGTCAAGATTCCCCACGCCAACATGCTGAACCGCTTCTCTGGCATTGACCCCGAGACATCCAAGTACATCCGCCCCTCCAACCCAGCTCTCATCTACGGAACTTTGACCTTTATCCGATCCTCCATCGTCTTCCAGTCTGGCTCTGTTCTTGCTCGAGGTGTCACTATCGCTACAAGATACTGTGCTGTGCGACGCCAGTTCCAGGACCGAGATGCCGATGCTGGTGAGACGGGCGAGAACCAGGTTCTTAACTACACCATGGTTCAGCACCGTCTTCTCCCTCTGCTTGCGTCTGCTTACGCTCTTCACTTCACTGGTCGTGCAATGATCAACCTTTACAACGCGAACCAGAAGCGCATGGCTCAAAGCCGTGACGGCAAGGCCTCCAACCGCGCCCCTGGACCTGAGGAGCTTAACCCTGGCAGCGATCACTTGGCTGATCTGCACGCCATCTCCTGCTCTCTCAAGGCTTTTGCCTCTACTACCGCTGCTGAGGGTCTTGAGGTCTGCCGTCGCGCTTGCGGTGGTCACGGTTACTCTGCCTTTTCTGGTATTGGTAGCTGGTATGCTGATTATCTTCCTACTGTTACATGGGAAGGTGACAACTACATGCTTACCCAGCAAGTTGCACGATACCTCCTCAAGTCCGCCCGCGCCGTCCTGGCCGGTAAGGCTCCTAACAACGGCATTTCCAAGATCTTCAAGGAGTTTATCCGAAGACAAGATATGGGCGCTGCCTTTGATGTCCTCGGTGATGACCAAGACCTTGTTGATGCATTCGCATGGCGCGTATCGTTCCTCACCTTTGAAGCTCTCAAGCACAGAGATGAGGAGAAGCAATCCTGGAACAGTCTATTGATCGACTTCTGGCGTCTGTCTACTGCCTACGCTCAATACCAAGTCGTCAAGAACTTCCACGAAGCTCTCAAGGACGAAGCCACCAAATCCTCCCTCGACCCCAACACCCTCGCTCTCCTCCACAAGCTCTTCGAGCTCTTCGCCCTACACCACCTCCAAAGCTCCGCCTCTGAGTTCTTCACTAGCGCCGCTACCACCGTGCGACAAATCCAACTCGCGCGAACCAAGCGCACCCTCTCTCTTCTCGAGGAGGTCCGTCCCCACGCTGTTCGTCTCGTGGATGCCTGGTCCTTCCCCGATTGGCAGCTTGACAGTGCGTTGGGCCGATATGACGGAAAGGTGTATGAGGATCTGTTTAAGCGCGCGTCGGAGGATAACCCTGTGAACGATATTGTGTTTGATCCTTATCCTGAGTCTGATGTTTTGTTCCGAAAGAACAACATCAAGGCTAAGTTGTAATCACGTTTTTTGTTTTGTACTAGTATTATTTACTCATAGATGCATCCAATACACACAAGCCTGTTGGTGTTTTGTTATTACGCTGCCTGCCTGAACATAGCGTACTTCTTTTTGTGAATTGTAGCTGCCTGAACGCCTAGCTACGAACAGCAACCAAGGCATCTTATGCATCAGCCTGATCCTTGTTTTACAGTAGACATGGGAAATAGCATGCCCGTACGTTGCTTACCCGACTGCTTTCTGTCGATCAAAGGCGACATTACTCGGGCATTCCCTCTTTCGTCTCGTAGGAAGCATAAGGTTCGGGCTACTGCACAAGATGCGTTGTTTGCTCATCTTTTTCTCTTTCCGCCGACATCATTTTGTAATTTACAATTTACAATGCTTATCAGACCGTTTGCTATCGATGAAAGACAACGTTGCTTGGGTATTGCCTTTTTCGTATTGCTTCCGAAGGCATAATGTTCTAGCTGCTGCACAAAACGCTTGTTTGCTTGTCTTTTCCTCTTCTCTCCACTGAGATCGTTTGTTATTGCGCTGCCTACTCCAATCTCTGCGTTTGTGATAACCCTTACTCAATACGAGAAGGATCATGGCTTCAATGCTTGCATGGGGCGATCCTCTGCCCAACGCCAACATAAGGTTCAGGCTGATGCATAAAATGCCTTGCTTGCTTCCTTTCGGCATCTATGTCTTCGTTCCACCAGCATCGTTTTGTAATTTACAATTGACAATGCTTACCCGACTGTCTGCTGTCGCTGTTGCTCGGATATTCCCTTTTTCGTATTACTTCCGGAGGCAGAACAATAATTGACAGTCCAGACTGATGCAGGGACAGGGCACAGACCGTTGACACTTGGCAGAAGTCAAAAAATTCCTTCAACGAGTTAGTCAATTCCAAGCCCCTGCTCCTTCCCGATCTAGACCCTTACCCACCTGTAGAACCCTTCAGAGCTCACTTGACCAAGTCAACAAGGAAAATGATTCCATGCCTCGAAATTTGCATCTCGTTTGAGAAAATTTACTTGCGTAATCATTTACGGTTTCATGAATCAAATTCGTCAGATTATAATTCGTGGCTATGAAGAATCTCCCCGAACAACGTTTGTGTACGCTAGACCCTGATTGGCCAAGGCGTAAACGCCTACGCCGCGTTGCCCAATGCAGCCACTGATCCTTCGCGAAAAAAAAGGTCCCACGGTATTAACTCGGTTGCATGAGTCGAGAGTCTAGAACTTCCGTTGGCGCCTTCCGTCGTATAATTGAGCAAATTCCCCTCTTTATCGTAACGGCTCTGCTGTCTAACATTGTTGAACTGTTGGGATTCCAAAATGGCTTCAGTTTACAAGGAGAGTAGTTCTTGTGAGGATTGTAGGGTCGATGAGAGGGTTAGACCGAGTAAAAGGATGCTGGTACGATATCACTGTCGGAGAAATTGGCTACGATACATCGTTGGCGTCCTATTCAGCCTGTAAGTCCATCCCCAAATGCCTCATCTCACTATAGCTCACGATTGTTAGGTGTATCGTCCAACTTGGCTACATCCAACATCTCAACAAAGGCTTCAGAAGAGTTCCAAATGACCCGTACGACCTCCGCTTCGGCCATCTCAGCTACAAGAGCCCCGAAATCTGGGACGACAGTCATCAAACGTTCCTTCGCAATGCTAATCCCGTCCCCGTCCACTCGCACAATGATTACGAGCGCAACATTCCTCTCTTCGAAGCTCTTGGCTCAGGCTGCATCAGCGTTGAGGCTGATATCCACCTACGCGGGTCCAAGCTACTCGTCGGTCATTCAAGACTGAATCTCAAAGCTGCGAGGACGCTGGAGGCATTGTACCTCGATCCTCTGCAGCGTATGATCAGTGCGCAGAATGATGGACTCAATGACACATGGAGAGGGCTGTTCGACAAAGCACCAAAGCAGACATTGGCTCTACTCATCGACTTCAAGACCAAAGGAGCTCCGACTTTCGATGAGTTGAATCGACACTTACAACCACTACGAGATCTAGACTACCTCACATACTGGAACGGCACAGCAAGAATTACCCGCCCCCTTACCATCGTACTATCGGGCAACGCACCCTTCGAATCGGTCCTGTCCATGAACTCCACCCACCGAGACATCTTCTGGGATGCCAAACTCGAGCGCCTAGTCTCCGCAGAGGACGACTTCAACACCAGCCCACCAACATACCGCTTCAACACTTCCAACTCATACTTCGCATCCACGCGCTTTCAAAATGCCAAGTTTTTCCGATCTAATGACGACAGTGGCTTGGATGTTTTGCCCGAGAAAGAGAGAGATATGACAGCGACGCAGATCGAGCAAGCTAAGTCTAGAGGGTTGTTGGCTAGATACTGGGATACACCCAAACAACCACCGAATGTGAGGGATATTGCGTGGCGGGTGTTGATTGACAATGAGATTGGGATGTTGAATATGGATGATATGGGAATTGTGAGGGAGCGGGCAAAGGGATGGGGCTCTATAAGGATTGAAGACTTATAAGCCTTTTTGGCAAGGGAATCTGTTGATATTTATCGTACTGTACAGCGTTTGATTTGAATTGATTTTATGGTAACATTCTGGGTCTGCTCGTTGTGAACTGTGCGGGGCCATGTCGCCTGTAAGACAGGGCTGTTGGGTGGCTGCAGTGCACTGCCTCGGGCTGACTCACCGAGTCTAAAGAATTTCTTACCTGTAGAATAACCTCACCGACCATTTTAACATCTTATCCCAAAGAAATAAAACAACACTTTTGCTCCACAGAGCCTTTTGTCTTTACTTGGGCTGGCTATAAAAACATAAGTCTGAATCATTTCTTTCATATTATATGCCCTCTAAGCCTTCTCACTTGGACCGTGGACACAGAACCAGATATGTCGCCAATCTACAACCAAGGCCAAAATAGCCTTACCAACTTACCCAACGAGATACAGCTTCAAGTCCTTTATCGGTGCGCCGAGTCGTTTTCGCTCCACGAAATGATGCAAGTCTGCTTCGCCAACAAAACATTCTATCAGATGGGAATGGAGGCTATTTATGAATCCGACATTTTACAAGACGCTGTATATTGGGACCCGGTGCGTGGAACGAAAGTATTCTACGAGAAGATTGTGGAAGATGAGGGCTACACGTATCCATGCCTTCTTGATGAAATGATCGACACAGACAATGAAGATGATTACGACTATCTGCCACGATATTTTAGAGCGCAGGCACAGGCTGATGACGATGAGGCAGAGCTCCTCACCAACACAAACAAGATGCAATTCGTTCCTAGCAACGAATTTTGGATCAGGTTTCTGACAGCCCGAACTTTGGGAAAGATCAGAACTAAGCCACCTACCGAAGATCACCTTGTGTTAAAAGCAATTGCAGAACAGATGATGCACTATGTGCAGCTCCTAAAATCACCTTGTATCGCAACACAACAAGATGCGATCCGCATTGTTTGCGAGGTGGCTGTTAAGCACGGATTTATCTACGACCGAAGAGATTTCTTCATCGGCAAGAAGTCTCTAGAGAAGACTTCGACGCCGTCAGATGAGACATGCTGTGTTATTCGCGATGGCCTACTCGGAGTTGCAGTCTACATCAACGAGCCTGATATCTTCAAAGCGATTATCTCGAAAGAGCAGGTGGTGAAATGCCCAGAACACAGTCAGGACAGCAACCAACCGTCCGATAGAGAAAGCAGCCGTGTATCCAATTTCACGTATCCGTGGACCCGGATAGATAACGAATGGATCCCGAAATCTGGATTCCAACCTCCAGAGTGCGGCCGCTCTCTTATTCGTCTGTCCAATACAGTCACATTAGCTGTGCAGACCGACAACATGACGTGCGCGTCTCTTGTGAAGGACAGCCTGCCCGAGATAAGCCGTGACCGAGATTATGTCATATCTGATATAATCAAAGTGTCAAGAACACCAGACAAATTAAAATGGCTGCAATATGCTATCAATTCATGCCCAACGCTGACAAAGTTCAATATCGTTACGCCAAATCTCCGATTTCATCTTGACCATTTTGGGCGCACGGGCTGGGGCACTAGAAAACATGGTGCTAAAGACCTGAGCGAGATTCTCGACACGACAACGAGCTTGGAAGTATTTGATGTTGCTTACAACGCTATCATGGAAGGATACAATGAGGAAGAGGGTGTGTGGTGGACCAAGATGACGTATAAGCACGAGTACGCTGCGCATAATATTCGCTCTTGGGGCACGGCACGAATCCACCGTGCCGTATTTGATGATTGTATGCCAATAGTCAAGAGACTTGTGGAATTAGGCTACCATCTTGGTCCAAATTTCTCTTCCGAAGATCTAGAGGACGAGACGGTCCAGACCTTGGTCGACAGTGAGAAACCGAGGGATATTTCATTACCTCTTGCTGTGAGTAGAGGAGATATGGACATGGTTCAACTTCTATTCCAGATTGGTGCAGAGAGGAATAGGAAGAATGTGCGAAAGGCTATATGGATTGCTATGGAGAAGGATAGGCGCGATATGCTGGAGGTTTTGATGGAGAAGGGACACCCGGACGGGTTGTTGAATCACAGGCTTAAGAAGATATGGATACAAAAGCTGAAAGCTCAAGGCAAAGAGGATATGCTTCCTTGGGTAGATAAGATATCGGGCAGGCAGGATGAGCTGATATCTGTATATAATTAGTGAGGAGAGTAGTGGGCACCGAATCTTGACTTTCTGTAACGTAACTTGTCAAGAGAAGGTCCACAGTTTCTGTCCATTTGAGTTTCTAAAGGTCATAGCGTATCAAACGTGTATGTTGTAAATGTTCGCGGGGTATTAACTGACGCTTTATTATCTGCCTCGGGCTGGGTGGCTGAGCAGGGGTGCTGTGCTATTATTACTTCAATCTACCTATATCTAATATCTGGATATACATTTCAATAATAAGACTTATTTAGAAGATCTTATATTATCTTTTGTGAATAACATGGTTCTTTCATACTACTTTCATAATCAAGACCCCACATCTCCAACCCGCGGAGGATCGACATCGGTGGCCTGATACTTAGACCTCACCAGATCATCTCATCTCAACTTCCCCGCGTTCTTCGATAGGCAAGTCGGGCTAACGGGCATTTGTAATGTCAAAGACCTGCATACTTACTCTAAATGACTGACAAGCCGTCCTCTTACCCGATTTCCGGCCTCAAATCTGTTTGTTGGACTGGTGCTAAGGCCGAGGCTCAGATCCACCTCGGATCACCTCACTTGCCCCTCCCCAATCGCGCCGACTCGAATCTCCTCATTCGGTATGCTGTGTTTTGCGGACGATATTCCGCATTGTGGACTGTTCGACTATGCTTGTGTCAGGTACTTTCTGTTGCGCCACTTGTGAGTCTGTATATAAGGATGCCTGTGTCTTCTCCAGACGAAGTTTTCCATTTCTTTCTGTTAATCTATCAATTTGAGATTGTCATAAAGCCCCCCTGAACCATGTCAGTACATGTGCCCGCCCAACAACGCGCAGCCGTTCGCGGCTCTGACTTCAAGACCTCCATCCAAACTATCCCCGTCCCCTCACCTGGCCCAGGTCAAATCCTCGTCAAGATCAACTGGACCGGCCTCTGCGGCTCCGACAAATCTCTCATCCGCGATGAATGGGCAGATTTCGGTCTCACCATGAAAGACGTGACCAATGGCATCGCAGGCCACGAGGGAGCTGGTATCGTCGTAGCTGTAGGTGAAGGCATGGAGAAGCGATGGAAGCTTGGTGATCGCGCTGGCGTCAAGTGGATCGCTAGTACATGTGGTGATTGTGACTTTTGTAGAGTTGGGTCTGATGAGGTCCATTGTCCGGAGCAGACGAATAGTGGTTTTTCAGCGGCGGGGACGTTTCAGGAGTATGTTGTTGCGGATGGGAGATATACTTCTAGAATTCCGGAGGGTGTTTCTGATGAAGAGGCTGGACCCATCATGTGTGGTGGTGTTACAGCATACACTGCTTGCAGACGGTAAGTCACCTCTCACTACAGCCACCAAGGGATACTGACCTGCCCAGATCCGGAGTGGCTCCTGGTCAATGGCTCGTCATCCCTGGCGCAGGCGGCGGCCTCGGCCACTTCGCAATCCAGTATGCCAAAGCAATGGGCATGCGCGTCATAGCCATTGACGGCGGCGACTCAAAGCGCGAACTATGCTTATCCCTCGGCGCCGAAATCTACATCGACTTCAAGACGACGAAGGACATTGCTACTCAAGTCCTTAAGATCACGGGACACGGCGCCCACGGCATCATCGTAACAGCAGCAACGCGCGCAGCATACGAAACCGCTCCCAATTATCTCCGACCCAATGGGACAGTGGTGGCAGTGGGACTTCCGACGGATCCTACTATCATGGCTGGGGCACCGCCAATGGCTGTTGCGTTGAGGAGGTTGAAGATCGTGGGGAGTGTGACGGGGAGTTTGCAAGATGTGGAGGAAGCGCTTGATTTTACAGCTAGGGGACTTGTTAAGGTAAGTTCTTTTTGGTAGGAGGTGGTGACGAATGTTTGCTGACGTATTATAGCCGATTTTGTCAAAGGGTAAGCTTGAGGATCTTAACGAGTGGATCGAGAAGCTGGCAACAGGGCAGGTTGCTGGTCGTTGTGTTCTCCAGGTTTCGGCATGAGTGATAGTCCATCAGAGATGTATGGACGGTAGATAATCAGATCATGTCATGGCAGAAGGTAGATGAGAATACACGATGGGCGCATAACCTGTAGTCTGCCTAGTCCTGGGCATCCCAAGTGGCATGTATCTAACCCTGCACTCCAAGCAACGGCTCCTATTTCCACATTGGTTGTACCTCGTAATCATATCAGCCGAGAACCGTAACTCGAACTGTCGCCCTCTTCGCCTGTCGTGTCGTAGGCCCTGCGATAACTACTTGAGCTATGATTGGCTTTGCAAGTTCTTATAGTCCAGGGCATGATATTGAGTTTATGACTATCATCTATGCGAACAGCTAATACCGCCGTCAAGAAGACACTACTTGCATCCCAGTCCTTTGTATTGGCTATTGATTGAACTGCCGAAATGATGATTAGCGCTGCCACTCCATTTCGCTCTGTGATCTGCATCTTGACGGCGATCTCTCGTCCCAGCATAGTGACGATTACAACTATAATATCCGAATTATCCTTAGTGACGTTACCGTGAAATCCATTATCGCAACTTTTCCTGTTTTTATCTTCATCTCAATTATCAACCCATGCATTTTCCAGACCGTTTCAACCCCAGATTCTGTCAAGTACCCGCCTCCTCATTCTCAGCATAAAAGGGCCGTTAAGGGCCCGCAGAGTATCGCCAACTCTATTTCCCCTCAATGTCGCAGAAGAAGGGCCGAATAAATTCCCCTTCCACTACCACACGTCATTTTTCTAATTCTTTAGCGATTGACAGCGAAATCTGGGGTTCTGGGGTTGAATTTTGACGTGCATTCAATTCGACGCCTGTCAACCGACGACATTCGACAGCGCGTATTGGATGAAAAGGTTGCGCGTCAGTGAATTCAGTAGTTGAATACTGTTTCAATTCGGCGAATATCTCTGAGATGCAGGTTACCTATCATTTATTGCTCTCGCTGAATTGTTTGACGCGTTTCTAGCTTGTCGCGGCCGAGGGATGTACAAAGTCACCAATTGAAGCTATTCACACCGCGTCCATGACATCTACAGACGCAAACAGGATACCGCGTACGTTTGGTGCAAGGACGCTTGATCTAACATCGATAGGCGCAAGAGCAAAAAGCAAAATTGATTTATGCCTTCCGGTTAATGATTCCCTTCTTCATTACTTGGATTGCGCGATTGTATTAAATAATTAATTAATATCGCGAGACCACAGGGTATCTACGCCAATGAAGACATCCCATCCAGGCTGAGCATCATTCTAGAAGGATGACTAACAAAGGCTGTCCCTCATTAAACATAAATCCGAAGGCGTGCCGACGAAACACATGGCGCAAGGCGTCCGTTGAAGACACCATAACGGATTTGGCAGTTATCGAGGCCAAGCCCAAACCTAGCCAGGTCCCTGTCATGAAGAACACGCGTAGAAAACCAGACGAAGGATTTAGAACATGCGCCTCATATGCAGCTGTTGCACATCACGCTTGGCTGATGCCATTAACCTACCCACTCAATTGATTCTAGCAAAGCGACACAGCTGAAGCAATCTCGTGACTCAAAGCCGATGGGATCCGAGCGTAGTCTCGGGTATATCGTCCCCTGATGGTTAGCACAGAGATGTCAGATCAGGTCTCAGATAATTATCAAGTAAAAACCGGTGGACCAAAGATGTCAGACGGGGTTCATGACTCAATTTGGTTTTTGTAGCTCAGGAGATCCGGGTCGCTCTTCCGCAGATGCTAAAAACGGGCAGTGTCTAGACTTCGGAAAACCAACCATCTTTTTAATAAGGGGGACTGCTACTGTGGATCGTTAGCGGGCGTTGGTGTCAGATGTAACCTCGGATAAGAGAAGCGACGGGGGAGAGGATACGATCCTGGAATTGTACGTCGAATGGCGTTTAGTTCACGTAGAGAATAACAGGGAAACAAGGACATGCCTTGATACTCTTGAAAAGAGACAAGTTTGGTCAGCCTTATGATTTCCATTCAAGCGAGACATTCTTTTCAATCAAGGCGTAAATGATGCAAGCCATCAAATCCTTCGACTAACCTCGGTAGGGTAGTCTCAAATTGCACGATTCAGGTAAAGATCACCAGTCGCGGCTGATCTCCCCAATTAGACATCAAGCGTACCTCACAACGCCGGTTAGAACCCGCGGGAGAAAAAAAACAAGAGACAACGCCACAAGAAGTCTGCTGACGCTGCCTCGGAGCTGAAGATCCATCGAAGCATTCCATCGCGTCTGTACGTAATAGGGGGACTGGAGCTAAACTAGACTCATCGAAGCTCCTACTTGCGAGCCAATCCCCGCACGATATTCCCCATGGGCTGAATTAGTGGAGACACAAATCTGATGGTGAGACGTGCTCACGAGAATTATTCGCACCAACGGACAGAACGGAGGGATGTAGGCTACTGGACGGGGTTTTAATGAGGCTCTGTATTGGTTTACATAAATAATTGGTATTGGTATTTCCGGATACAGCAGGTAGGATGGGCACACTAGACTACATGAGTCTATACTATCGACTGTGACAAGCCGCGAAGGATTTAGATGGTGATCCGGATCCCCGGTAGCAAGACAGACCAGGCAAGGAATTTACGAGACCTTCCAATCCTGTTCACATCCACGTGTCATTTCCCAGGGAGTATCGTTTGGCGTCCAATCGACGCGAGAGAAGACACCAAAAGTGCATCTGATAAAAAGAGCCGCATTTGACTCTACAATGATCGTCGTCGTCCAAGCTTCTGGAATTCCACGTGGAAAAAAGCCTCATCCTCACATCCTGCAACAGTAACATCGTAGCAATGTCTCCTCTTCTCGCTTCTGTTCCGAGTCTCCATCTGCATCGGAAGAACCAAGCCAATTAGGGTAAATGTCCAGCTAGCTCACGACACTCACTCTTTTCTTCTCCAGTTTCTAGATCCACTTCTGCCCATGGAGAAAATGTGCCACGCCGAAGAACCGCCGTGATAGTTACAAGCTACTGTGTAGAACCTGGGGTGCATGGGTCAATTTACCCCAGCTCCTTGTCCACAGTAAAAAGATGATGTTCTAACCGAGGGGGTTGCTGCTCCATCTTTGCCGATCCTATATATGCAGGCCACAATGCAAAGAAAAAACCATGTCTGACATTCCTGATGCACGCGCCGCAAGGCATTCCATTCCTTTTTAATTAATTGTACTTCCACTCGTTTTCCACCATGTTCGGCAAAGGAAAAACTTCCTCGTCAGATAACGGTAGCAAAGACGAGATAGTTTTGTTACCAGTCCAATCCAAAGCCGGTATTCTCCGCGTCACAGAAATCGAGACAAAAGTCCACGATCCAGAAGGCCACCAGATCCCCGTCGTGCAAGATGCCTCTACCACCTTCGACCTCCCCGATAACCATCCCAACAAGAACGCCATCGAGGTATTATGGCTTCCCCGAGGCTCGCACAGCTCCGACGATACCGGCGAGAAAGTGCGTCGTGCGCTGAATAATGAAAAGGATATGACCATCTTGGGATGCTGCAAGCAATTCCCCAAAGCCATCTTTTGGTCGTTACTTCTGTTCTTGACTGTTGTTATGGAGGGGTATGATAAGAGTCTTGTTGCCGGGTTTGTAGCGTTTCCTGCTTTCAGAAGACGTTATGGTGAAGTCTTTGAGACACCCGATGGACCGATTTACGAGATATCACCGCTGTGGCAGACTGCGCTACAGGTCTCTGCTATTGCTTGTGAGGTTCTCGGACTGTTGCTGCATGGTTGGATCACGTATAGTATTGGCTACAAGAAGATGATGCTTATCAGTCTGGCTTGGATGTGCATTGCTGTCTTTCCGGCTTTCTTTGCGCATAACATTGGTGTATTGGTTGCTTCTCAGGCTCTATGTGGTAAGTAATACACCTTCACTACTTAAGATACTCCTACTAACTATCATCAGGTATCTCATGGGGTGTCATTCAGACTTTGGCTGCTACATACGCCGCTGAAGTCGTACCCTCAGCCATCCGAGCCTGTCTTCTCAGCAACGTCAACATGTGCTGGGTCATCGGTCAGCTCCTCGGTACCGGTATCCTCCGTTCTCTCGTCCACAACGACTCAGAATGGTCCTACCGTATCCCCTTCGCTCTTCAATGGGCCTTTGCCATCCCTCTTCTCATCGGTATCTGTTTTGCTCCCGAGAGTCCCTGGTGGCTTATCCGTCGTGAGCGCAAGGTCGAAGCTAGACATGCCCTTCAACGCCTTACCAAGCAATCCCAGCTTGACATTGACGACACCATCGCTGTTATGGAACATACCAACCGCATTGAGCGCAAGCTCAACTATGGTGGTTCATCATACATGGATCTCTTTAAGGGCGCGAACCTTCGTCGTACTGAAATTTCATGCATGGTTTGGTCTGTTCAGGCTCTTTGTGGTTGGATTTTGACTGGTTATGCCCCGTACTTCCTTGAACAGGCTGGCTTTGACTCTTCTCACTCATTCAGCTTGTCCACTGGCATGTACGGTATGGCTCTAGTCGGAGGCATTATCTCTTGGTTCTTGCTCTCTCACATCGGCCGTCGAAAGCTGTACCTTATTGGTCTTGCTGCCGCTGTGGTCATGCTTACTCTTGGTGGTATTCTCTCTGTTGTCCTCGATGGCAAGAAGGGTCTCAACTGGTCCCTCGGCGCGATCCTCATCACAACAACCTTCCTCTACAACCTCAGCATCGGTCCAACATGCTACGTCATCGTCGCCGAGATCCCCTCTACACGCCTCCGCGTCAAGACCATCGCTCTGGCCCGTGTTGTCTACAACGTTTTCATGATCATCAACAACGTGATCGTTCCTCAAATGCTCAACCCCACGGCGTGGAACATGCAGGGAAAGTCCTGTTTTATCTACGCTGCCACCGCTCTCCTTTGTTTCTTGTACTGTTATTTCCGTCTGCCTGAGACCCAGGGTCTTTCATACCTGGAACTGGACATGTTGTTTGAGAAGGGGGCGCCGACGGCCAAGTTTAAGGAGTTGCAACAGAGATTGGCTAACTCGGCTTACTTGACTGTGGACAGGGCGGAGCGTATGAGGAATGCTTGGCATGGATGGCTCACCTATTCTTAACATTCTTTACTGTTGATAGTTACTTTCCTGCAACGGATCATAATGTCTATCTCATTCATTCATTCTACAATCAATCTCAATTTCGTCTGAATTGCCCGTGATGTCAGATATAGTGCAACGTGAAGTGATTCAATTACCAATAAGTATAAGTAGTAGTCTAGCTACGATCCTGGGCCTGCCCGTCGGTGCCCAGCACCCGTTCTGAACAGTGAAGCCAATCCGGTACCAGCAGACTGACCTAGTCACTGCTCAGAGGATCCAATACCATCTACTAAGATATTACAGCAACCGTCTAGTTGTCGCACTCAGCAGCTGCATCATCCTGACCAGCCCCGGCAGCACCTCCCGCCAAGCTTCCCAGGAGGCTGTCCAAGAGACCACGCTTGGCCTTGGCTTTAGCCTGGCACGCAGCGTTGTCGTTCGCGTTTCCACCAGCCTTGGCACCATCCTGAGCATTGTTGCCGTCTTGAGCAGCGTCATCCTCAGCATTGTCACCTGCTGCATCGTCTCCATTGCCAGCGCCAGCATCTGCGTTGTTGTTGTCCTTTCCTGCGTTGCCTGCCGCATCCTCGCCGTTGTTGGCATTACCACCATCAGCAGCATTGTCATTACCAGCAGCGTTATCATCACCTGCGGCGTTATCGTTGCCAGCAGCATCATCATTGTTTGCAGCGTCGTCCTTGTTACCGCCTGCATTGTCGTTACCATTGTTGGCGTTATCATTACCGGCGTCTTCATTGTTGTCTGCGTTATCGTTCTCGGCATTGTCGTTGCCGTTGTCGTTACCGTTACCTCCCTGGTTGTCATTTCCATTGCCATTGTTCTGATCGTTGTTGTTTCCATTTCCGTTTCCGTTGTTGTTGTTGTTTCCATTGTTGTTACCAGCATTGCAACCCTGAGGAGCCTCAGTCGCCGCAGCATCGGCAGTAGTAGTAGCAGCCGCCGTCCCGTTGGCAGCACCAGTCTCCACAACAGCGGTAGTCTCGGCAGCACCAGCATCCTCAGTGGCGTTGGCAGCATCAGTCTGAGCCTCAGTGGCAGCGGCATCGGTCTGGGTTTCAGTGGCAAGAGTCTCGGTAGCGGTTTGGTCAGCGCCGCCGTTCTGGTTGCCATTGTTGTCTCCCATGTTCTGGTCGTTGCCGTTATTATTATTCTGCTCGTCTTCATTCTGATTGCCGCCCTGGTTATCGCCCTGGTTGTCGTTCTGAGCGTCGTCCTGGTTATCATTCTGGTCGTCATTCTGGTCGTTTTCTTGGTTTCCATTGTTCTGGTTTCCCTGACCGTTGCCCTGACCATCCTGGCCTTGGGCATTGTCTTGTTCTGCCTCGTCATCTTCATTATTCTGGTTGTCTTGACCTTGATCTTCCTGATCTTGGGCGTCGTCTTGGTCGTCCTGATCATCATTGTTCTGGCCGCCTTGCTGACCGCCTTGAGCGTTCTGGCCTCGTTTGTGATGGGGCTACACCATTAGTATCGAGGGTTGACAAAGGGCAACCGGTTGTGACTTACCATGCGAGGTTCTATCAGACCCATCAAGGGTGCACCAGAAACTGGAAGGGCTGCAGCAGCCATCAAGGCCTTCTGCAATTAGTAATCGTGAAAGGAGGAACTGGGAAAGATCACTTACTGCGTACTTGCCAGCTTGAGCTGGGCTTGGCCTTCTGTCATTTGACATGGCCTGGGCGGCGAGAATGCCGACGACAACGTTTGAGAAATACATGTTTATTGAAGGGAAGAGGAAAGCGGAACCCGGATTTAAGTAACGGAAATGAGAAAGAAAAAAGACTAAGTGAAAATAGACCGCACAGCAGTTGAATAGAAGAAAAGAAAGATTACGTCAAGCAATCTACAAAGTCTGAGAGAATGATGAATTGAATAAACAGTTTACCCACCGAGAAGAACAATCTTCTTATAGAAGTATCTCCATCTTCATCTCATTACGCAACCTCATACGATCTCAAAATAGATCTGCCGAAAAGCTTGTCTGCAAACAACGCTGAGACACAAAACGCCAAGCTTGGTTCGTTTGCAGTATCAGTTTACCCCAGAAAAACGCGTCGCAGTTTTAGAAGCGAGAGATCTACAGTTAAGCTTTCCCTTGGCGATTCGAAACCCTAGTGGATAAGCTGGATCTGGAACTCGGATGAGGAGCGCCCCGTTGGTGATGGTAGGGATTAGCTGTTTCAGATGCAGTTGAGATATCAGAACGTATCAGTATGTGAAACTTGGTTACGCAAGCTTCAATGAATATTTCTATGGACAATTAGACTACCGATCGGAATTTGACTACAGCGCCTAAGATTGAGTAGTATTTCTACAATTGAGACGCTGTGTCATTGGACGACGCCGTTGAGACCCGCGTATACCGAAACTAGGGAACGCTAGATCCGTGCAGGACCAGTGTTTCAGCATAATGGTACGCTATAGGGCGGCAAAGAAGGTTTTAGTTTATGTTTACTTAGATGTAGAAGTTCAATTGATCGTTAACTCGTTTATGTGGATGCTTAGTAAAAGAAAGTATTGCAGAAATGTCAAGAACGGGTATCGTGTAACTACCACTACATCATCAAGCCCACTCCAGCCAGTAAACCCAGAGTCACACCAAGCACGCTCACAACGCCTCCATGCGACGGGGCACTGTTGTCCACGACGACAGTATCATCATCGTCTTCGTTATCATCGCTTCCTGTCTCAGTAGCATTCTTCACATCCTCCTCCTTGTAAATCAGTGGTATGGCAGGAACATAAGTTCCGATGCCCCAGTACTCAGCAACTTCCGTTGGGGTCAAGAAAATGTCATCCAGGGTAGTTCGAGGCTCATCGGTCGCAGAAGCCAAAGAATACAATTGGTATTCGCCTAGTGTGGTACCATCGAATGTAGTGATTGGCACCATTCTGTCGTTGTCATACACAAGGCACATCTCAGAATAGGTGTAAGATTCAGTTGGGCCAAGCGTGGAGACACAATGTCCATAGGCATCGGCCCGATAGTCACTAAGTTTGTTAGATAATGCCAAAGCTTAGATAGGCTTTTCGACTTACGATGGGCAGCAGAATGCCAGGGTCTCGGAAGGGTCCAGCAGTCCAAGCCAGAACTCTTTGGGAGGCAGAGCCGAAGGGAACCTTCCATCATCGCGCCATGTAGGGGATGCAAGTGCACCAGAAACACTCGAACCTTCACCATCGTGCGCAAGGGCGCCGACAGTACGCCATCCAGAAGGACAAGCGATACCTGGGGAGTAGTAGAAGTATTGGCCCGGCAGCCACTTGGTAGTCTGATAGAGCACAGTATCTCTAGCACTTCCGCTGGGAAGACAATCGCCAAATGTCTCAGGACCACATGTTGGGAGGTTACCGACACGTACGGGATCACTTGCGTTGACGAAAGCAATGTGATCTGTTCCGGTCGCGCAGCTCGATGGGGCGGTGAATGTTGTTGTCAGAGGGCCCAAGTTATGGGCGCTGAAGCCAAAGAACTCTGTAGCGGTAGGCATGATGAACGAATAATACCGGCAATAAGATCCAGCTGAAGTTGATGGAGAACAAGGCTAAGCGAGGAGGAACCGGAGGCTATTTGACGATCCGGGGAAATACTGCCAAGCCCAAAATTGCCATGCGCGCCAAGCGAGCATTACCTGTTCGTATGTCACTAGACGCGACAATTCCCCTCTGCTAATTGGGAGCCATACGTCAAGCGCGCTTGGCGGAGAAGCGTTTTGCCCCATGGGGTTCTTGGCTGACGAGCTGAGGTCACGTTTTCAGTCCAAGCGCAGATCCTTTCGGTGATTTCTCTATGAGGAGCCTATGAACAAGACTTCCAATGAGGTTGGTACCCGAATCATGATCGCGGCGAAGGATTTTGTTGCATTCTAGCAAAGACGCCAACGGATATCAACGTTTCCCGAAGTGGAAAGCTATGCGAACAATACCTGATCTTCCACGCTTCCATACTGGCGGGAAGCTTTGACACTGGATATCATTCGGCACCAGGATTAGATCATTGCAGCTTCAATCAAGCTAAGGCTTGGCTAGCCAACACAGCCATTACAATAACCCTGCGATACGCTAAGACGTTCTGCCTTACAAGGCTAATCCACCAATCCGACACAGCGAGTTTGTCCGTCAGTCCGTCCGCCGAGACGATAAGAGTCAATCCAAGTCGGTTAGTGAGCTGCCGTCCTTGGCTCTATGATCACTGCCTCGCGGTTATAAAAGCATTCGCTAGGTTGAACGAAATGGTGTCATTGTCACGTAATGCAGACACTTCGCATACATCATTAGCGCAAATTAAATTATAATATCAAGGTATAGAGACAAAGTACATACGCTGTGGTTTCCCAATTAGTATACATAAAAGAAGTTCGGGTTGTTCCTGTCAGTCATCTCAGCCTCATCGACTTCACTAACATCACGCGACACCCTCCCGGCCCTGTTTCGAATTCCATAAAGAATCCTGGTCAGAATAGTCACGACCACTGACCCACCACAAACGCAAAAGACTGTGATCTTGGCCGGGATAAAGGTCGGTGCATCCTTGGCTTGGAAAGTCTGGGGCCCAATGATGTTCGCAATGGAAAAGCCAACGGCGATGATAGCATTGGTGGTAACCTTCTTGGTGTAGCCTTGAATGTTGGCGCCGACAAGTGCGTATATGAGTGCAAGCGGTGCGACATCAAAGTTGATGAGGTAGATACCAGCCAGAGATCCAGCTTGACTATTCGAGTAGAATGACATGAGTCCAGCCCCAATAAGAGTTGGGACCATGAGAAGACAAAGGCCCAACCACCTGGGAAAGCCGTAAAGAATAGCAAATGTGCTAAGAAGTGTCGCACTGACGGAAACGACACCTGCAGGCATGTTCAACAAAGCCGCCTGTTTTGGGTCATACCCAAATCCTCGGATTAAAGTAGCAGAGAAAGTCGTGATGATACCAGAGGGTATAACAATGAGAACAGTGTTGAGGAAGAGAAGCCAGACTTGGATATCCTTGAAAGCATCCCAGATACCAGCACGACGGAACACTTTGGCGCTGTGTCCACCCTGATCCGCAGTTAAAGCTTCTTGAAGTAGAAGCTGCTCATGTTCGGTCAGGAACTTGGCTTCCTTGATGCTGGAGGGCATCCAGAAAACGACAAGGAGACCAATCATGATGTTGAAAGCGCCAACCGACACGAACATGATGCGCCATCCTTGGAAACTGCCTGTCCGACTACCATGCTGAGCGGCGAAGGAGATCAGTCCACCAACAGTCTGTCCAATGCCGAGACCACAGTACCAGATACCAGTTCTGGGCGTTGCTTGTTTTCGAGTATACCATTGCGAAGTAATCATGATGAGAGCAGGCGAGATAACAGCTTCAAACATGCCGAGCAATGTTCTTGTCGCCGTCATTCCGGGGAAGTTAACCGCAGCAGCAGAACAGCAGATAACAGCACCCCAAAGAACAACATTAATTCCCAGAACCTTGCTAACAGGGAATTTCTGAATCAAGACTCCTTGAGGAAACTCAGCCACTGCAAATCCAATGAAGAAAGCGGTCGCCATCCATGAGAAATCGTTGCCTGTGAAATTGAGATTCTCGGAGAGACCCATGATGTTGGCATAGTTGATGAGGACTTTGTCGAGGAATTGGAGGAAGTAACAGACTAGCATGAGTGGGACGAGGTGGTAATCGACTTTGCGGGTGATAGGATTTAGAGAGGCTTCGCTAATTATGTCGGCGACTGAGCCTTTCGTGATGGAGGCGGGGCGGGTGTTGGTTTCGGTCTTTTCCATTTCGCTTGGAGCCATCTTGGCGGGATGGTGACCTTGACAGGTCAAGTTGGTGCTGCAAGGTTGGTTAGCTGGTTGTTCAAGACTTGAGGCAAGGAGACACTTACCTTGGAGTGGGCTTCCCCAGAATATTGATGAAACCCTCTTCGGCAATTAATGGAGCAATTGAGCTTCTTGATTGGTTGGATTGTGAGCAGTGAAGAGGTGACTGGGTTGAGGCAGCGACCATGAGGCAAGTTAAGTACACGAACCCGCGATGTCAATCAAGACACCAAGAGGCCACAAAACCAGAAGCTCTTGAGATAAGTCAAGATCTCGTGACAATTCGTCTCGGTCGAGACCTTGGGCGTAGATACGTCGGTAAACTTTGTCTTGAAGAGGCTAGATCATGATAAGCTGCAACCGTCGGATCGGGCGCGCCCAATAAGATCGGCGAGATTACATTGCGGGGGGTTTTGGGTTCAACCCATGACGATAGCGGTCCGCGCGGATTTGAACATGGGCAAGTTCAGCTTCAATTGTGAGGAGGGGTTCGTTGTTGGCTGTGATTGCTATGGAGAGGGCAATTGGAGGAATATTGAAGTATGGAATTGGAGAGGATATTTAGAGTCACAATTAGACGTCACCAGTTAGACAGATTCACATCTAACAAAGCTCAACCTTCTAATTAATTCTGCTCACCAATCTAACTCATTGAATAAGTGTCAAAGACCCTGATTAACCCAAATCACAACACCACACAGCATGCCTGGACGTACCGATGCGTCTCTTTCAATCGGCATCGTAGGCTCCGGTCTAGGTGGTCTCTCCGCCGCCATCGCCCTTCGTCGCGCAGGCCACAACGTGACCCTCTACGAGCGCTACGACTTCGGCGGTGAAGTCGGCGCCTCTCTATCAGTAGCCTCCAACGGCTCTCGCTTCCTAGAAGAATGGGACATCGACATCCCAGCCGCCAAGCCCGTTATTCTTCGCAATCTCATCCGTCATGAATACTCTACTGGTGAAGAGCAAGGGACTTATCCGTTGGGAGACTATCGTCAGCGCTTTGGCACTGATTATAATAACTTCCATCGGATTGACTTGCATAATCATCTGAAGGAGGTGGCTTTGTCGAAGCTTGGGAAGGGTCGGCCTGCAGAGCTCAAGACGTGGCATAAGGCTGCCAGTTGCGATACTGAGACAGGACATATTACTTTTGAGAATGGGATTGAAGCGACACACGACGCTATCATCTGCGCTGATGGTATTCGAAGTGTGATGCGTGAGCAACTAGGCGTCATTCCCCAATTCGTCCCAAGCACATCATGCTGCTATCGCTGCATCATCTACGCCGACAAGCTTCACGAGCTCGGTCTAGAAGAATATCTCCACAACGATGCGATCGAGTTCTGGGGAGGCGACTCCAAGACCAAGATTGTTCTCTCAGCATGCAGCGAAAACAACGTCGTTTCATGCTATTGCTTCTACCCAGCTGAGAAAAACGATATTAGAGAGGATGGCTGGAACATCTCAACAACTGGAGAAGTCCTCGCATCTACCTTTCCAGGTCTAGACCCCAAGCTCATCAAGCTCTTCCTCAACGCGCAAGACATCAAAATGTGGCGACTCTACAACCACGATCCTTATCCCTACTGGAGCAAGGGTAGATGCACGCTGCTAGGAGACGCTGCTCATCCTATGATGCCGGATCAGAGTCAGGGAGCTTGCATGGCTATTGAGGATGCTGGTGGTTTGGGCATTCTCTTCGCGGAGAAGTACTCCGACTTGACCGTGGAGGAGAGACTGAGATTGTATGAGCTGGAACGTAAGCCACGAGCTACAAGATTGCAGGAAGCGAGTAAGCGTGCGAGAGAGAACTTGAATGAAAGGATTGGATGGTCGAGTAAGGACACTAAGCCTGGGATGTTGACGATTGATGAGGTTTGTGCTTATGATATGCATGCTCATATCGCAGAACTGGTCAAGGAAGCGAGGTCTTGAAAGGTATTTTAGATTATATAAGCATAGCAATTGAAGTCGTCCACTGTCATTCCAACTAGTAAAGAGCCAAACCACCCATCTCCTCATACCGGATCCTAGCCCAATTAACCATCGACTCCGTTTCCCTCCTCTTCCAAACAGTCTCCACCAACTCCCGACTCTGATGAACATATCCAAACCCACACGTCCTCTCCATAACCATCAGCCTATCCTGCACCACCATCCTCTGCTCGAGAGAATTACATGCACCACCAGCCATGACGAGTGGAAACAGTAAACACGTCTCCAAAGAACTGCCGTACCGAATCTTTTGAGCAGAGTCAAGAATATGTTGGACACAATCGGATACTTTTTCCGTTAGTGAGTAGCCTTCGGTGATTTGGTGGAGTCGGAGGCGAAGGGCCCATTCGTATGCAGTCGTTGCGTGGAGGACGTCATCGTTTGTTGGGTTAAGTGAGGCGACAGCACCTGCGAGTCCTCCGTAGTCATACGCCCAACTATCCAGTAGACCTTGTACTCGCTCTGCTTCTTGACGGAACAAAGCTTCTGATTCCTCATCCACTCTTGTTCCTCGTTTGCTGGCCAGATTGTTCACTCGATCGACCATATGGAATAGCTCTTTTGGGATCCCATATACCGCGGCATCGTCGCCGTTGGTATCGTCAGTCGGTTTTACTGTTGTCTCGTCGATGAGTGGAGGTTTGCAAGTACTCGTTGTAGCAGCACTGTCAAGGAAACGTGCCAGTTTGACAAGGAATTTGAAGTGACCACATGCTGAAGTAGAACTCGTCTGAGCTTTAAAGGTGGAGAGGAGACGTTTCGCTCCCTGCAGGTGGAGTTTCCAGCCAGCTGATGTACCGTCAAATAGTTCTGACATACAGAGCAATAGACAAGAAACCAAGGCGACATCAACAGAGCTGGAATCAACAGTTGGGAGTAAATTTGCCAGAGATTTGGTCGCTTGTCCTTTGTGGAATAGGGCTCGATCTCGCATATCTGGTTGAAGCTTCTCCCAATGTGTCGCGCTCAGCGCAAGCACACAATGCAAAATAAGTTGATTCGATACAGCCATTGGCACGATGTAACTCGTGTAAGGATTCGAAGCAGTATTTGGATGCCGCGATAATACGAAGGCAACGATTGTAGAGTAATGGTTGAGTAACGCCTTATCATGCGGAGATGTCATATCCGGCAGTAAGCTGGGTGAATATAAACTGAGCGTTGTAGCTGGTGGACTCTCTACAACCGCAGGTGTATCTGAGAGGATGTCAAGCCAAGTTGAATCTGGTGAAAGATTCCATGAGATATCTTGCAGCGGGGCGGTCATGTCGTCAGGAATGGCATTTGACATCTGACAGAGTAGATCTGCGATGCTCAGATCCAGAGTTGATTGACCTGAGTCGGTTGAGTGGCATGGACTCGGGGATTGGTTTGATGAGAGTTCGATGACTTGATCCGCATTCAGCCAGGACTCACTGGTCCAGCTGTTGTTTCTCCCTCTACTTGTTCTTTCTGTAGGCCATGCGCATCCCAGGCACAGCCGTTGGCAATCACCACAGTGAGGTTTCCTATGATCTCTTAGTTTGGTCCGATAAGGCGATCACTGAGAGTTGTTGACTAACCTCTCATCGCACTTCTTCTTGCGTCTCTTACACGTCAAACAACCTGTCTGAACCCTTCGGATCCTAGCCTTTGGCTGTTGAACCACACCATCGCTCGTGCCGAGCTCATCCGCAAAACCCTTAGGCCGGCACGGAAGACTCAGCCGAGTACAGCGATCGCAAGGAATTCCCCCTCTACATCGCTGCTTAATATCGGCGCATCGAAAACAAACGTCGGTGGAGGCCATTTTGGATGAATTGACTTGGGAGAAAAGCTGGGGTAGTGGAAGCGGTTATGGGGTCTGTCGGATGTCGGTTCCGTGGTTAGTTATCTTAATACTGAGTGGGCTAGGCTCTGATGAGTTAGTGGGTGCCCGTCATATCTGGCGCTATCGAGGACCGAGAAGCGGGGTAGATAGCACTGTAACTTTAGGGACCGAGATCGCAATTGACGGGTCCATCTGAGGAACTCCTAGGCTCAATTGCCATCCTCTATTCCAATAATGCAATTATCTACAGCAGCATTATAGCAGGTTTGAGCAGCTTCTGATATCAGATATTAAATAACAGTCAATTACATTTCGATCTATCTAACTAAGAATGAAGGGAATCACGAATTGCACAAGCAGTCTGCAAAATAAACTCCCTCGCCTGCCAAAGATCCTTATCCATATGCATAAACGGATGCGGTACACCCGGAAACCTCTTCATCGTAACCTCATTCCCATGCTCAATCAACTTCATACCATAAGCCTCTCCCTCATCTCTCAAAGGGTCTGCACCAGCTGTGTAAATGACAGTTTTTGCCAAATTGCTAAAGTCTGTAGCTTTGAACAGATTGCCATAAATCTCTGGTATCTTCTGGCGTCGGCTGGCGATTTCTTCTGGGGTGGAACCGAGGGAACTCCATTTCAGCTTGTCAAACCATGCGAGTCGTCCCCAATTGAGTGTCGGTGCATGTTCGTTCTCTTGCATTGATGGGAAAGGTGAGTCTGATGCGCTGGAGTATTTACTCAAGTCATCGATCACTGGTGTGCCCACTGCGACGAGCTTGAGAGGGATACCGGCATCGCGAGCCATGTGGGCAAGGGCTAGACTGATGAATCCGCCAGCAGACACGCCACCGACAGATATCCTTTCCGGATCGATGCTAAATCTCTCAGCGCCCTTTTCGTAGACGTATTTGAGAGCCGCAAAGCTGTCTGTTATGCCACAAGGAAAGGCATTCTCAGGTACAAGACGATAAGCCACATCAATAACCGCAACACCAGCGACTTTGCAAATATGCTTGCAGATGTGACTCTCAGTATCAAGATCACCAAGACCCCAGCCTCCACCATGGTAATCGATGTGAACAGGCCATGGACCAGCGGTATCAGGTTCGTAGACTCTGACAGCAAGAGTGATGTCCTCGTGAGTTACGATCTGAGCATCATATTCACGAGCGACATCTGGCGCTGGGCCTGTGCCGTAGGAATAGAGGACGGAGTATTTGGATCGTAGGATGCCGAGGTCGATTGGTTTAAGGGGTGTGTTGGCGACGTTGTCGTTGTAGAGTTTTTCGAAGACGGGGTCGAGTTTGCCTTTCATAGAGGGGTGGACGGGCTGGAGGGCCTCGTGTTTGTGGTCTTGTGTCATGGTTGTTGTTTGCTAATAGTGCAGTTGAAGAAGAAGTTGGATAAGTCGATTGTGAATTGATCAATGCTTCAACGAGCTTGACCTCACCATTATTTACTCTCTCATTAATGTTCCAATCTATTGATCGGTTTTACCACAGCGGTTACAATTACCATACCGCGGAGCACCCCGCTATCTTTACAGAGAGCGGAATCCCAAGTCAGCGCCACTAAATGTTTTCCGACGGTTGCATGATTAGCGCTGATTCCCGACGGGGTCGCCTGCCATTTCCCCTCTCGGGCGCTGGAATGAACCGCTGTGCTGGGACGCGCTATCTAATCAGGGCATCACCAATGTCGATGACACAGGGCCGTCGGAGGCATCGTTGTTCCACTGATACTCAAAGCCACATAGACATAATATTATGCTGTACGCGCACTTCTTGAGTCTCAATTGAGAAAATTATTTCTTGTTTTTCCTTTTCTGTGCAGGCATCCAGATCCGCAAACCATCTCATACCTTGATCAAGCCAACCCTCACCATAATGTCAAAAGACCGCAAGCCAGTCCTGATCATCGGCGCAGGAGTTGTCGGCCTTGTCCTAGCCCATGGGCTCAAAAAGGTACCAATAATTAAATTTCTCTACCTTCAAGAGACTTTACTGACACTTCAAAAGCTTGGCATCCCATTCAAGATATACGAACGCGACAGCCATATTAGCTCCCGTGGTCAAGGCTGGGCTATAACCCTTCACTGGGTCCTACCTTTTCTCAGAGAGCTCTTGTCGGACGATACTTTCAAGGGCGTCGAGTCAGTTCAGGTTGATCCCGAAGCTGATCGTCAAGGTCTTGGAAAGTTTGTCTTTATCAACCTCGAGACCCTTGAGCCTAAGTTCCTTATCCCGCCTGGCGACCGACGTCGAGTTAATAGAGAAAAATTGAGAAAGGTCCTTATGAAGGATGTGGCAGAGCATGTCACTTGGAACAAGCGTCTTGCCTCTATCCAAGAGTGCGATGACCAGGTGATAGCGAAATTCGAAGATGGAACACAAGCCGAAGGTTCTCTAATCGTTGGTGTCGAAGGCAGCAACTCGAGCACGAGAAAACACCTGGTGCCGGACTCGTATCGCAATATTCGACTACCAATACGCTTCACTGGAGCTGCTCTAGATCTCACGCCAGAGCAAGTCAAACCGCTGAAGGATATCGACCCTCTACTCTTCCAGGGGTGTCATCCTGTGACAGGAGCATTCTTTTGGTTCAGTATGTTGGAGACACCACAAGTCAACGGCACTGTTGGAACAAACAATGAACACTACCGAGTCCAAGTCATGATATCATGGCCTCTGAAGACAGAAGAAGATGAAGTCAAGCCTACAGATGCGGAACGTTTGGTATATATGAAGCAACGAGCAACAGAGTTCAATCCCGTGCTACGCGACGTCGTGCACGCGATACCTGAGGATTCGGAGGTAATTGAAATTGTCCTCCAAGACTGGCCATGTCCACCCTGGGATAATCGAGATGGCAGAATCACGCTAGCTGGCGACGCGGCGCACGCGATGACGATGTACCGTGGAGAGGCGGCAAATCACGGTATTCTGGACGCGTACAGATTGAGCAAGGCTTTAGAGGCAGTCTATCACCAAGGTAAGGATTTTAAGCAGGCCATTGATGATTATGAGAGTGAGTTGCGGGAGAGGACGAGTGTCGCGGTGCTATTAAGTCGGCAAGCTTGTTTGGACGCGCATGATTGGGATGGATTGAATGAGAATTCTGCTGTGTTGAAGAAGAGGGCTATCGCGGGTGTCTAGATATCCTCTTTCAATTTACGTCATCTAATTTAAGACCCATTATAGTGACGTCAATGATTACCTTTACGTGTTTCGGTCGATGAAACCTGAGTGAATTGTTGCGACGACTGAGCAGGTCTGTTTACAGTTTCTCTCGGTGTTGAGCTGCAATGCTAACATTCAATTGTGAACCCAAGCATTTTGCGCAATTCATGACCGCCACCGATACACCACGAATATATACGAGAGAAAATAATACAGGTTTATAGCAATATGCAAGGACTTTATTAGATATATCTAAAGAAAGATTAAAAGATCTTGTTAACTTGATAAAGTTGTTATCAGTTCGATAAATCCCATTGTACAGGGTAGGAAGTATGCCACTTGCGGCGGTGTCATGTGGCTGTGATAGAAAGTGGATCAATGTGGCCAGACTTCTTGGTAGGCACCGCTGCGACGCGAACCTTAGCTCTCATCACCCCGAACCTATGCGACGTGTTCCAACGGCACGAATCGCCGAACATTATGATCAGTTGGACTAATTGCCACTTTTGATCCCAAGATGATACAATTGACACAGCATGACCTGTTGCACTGTTGCGCGCTGGTCATCGACGCGGCTACAGAACAATTGCGACGCGTCGAGTGCGCGGTAGGGATACTTCGGTATGGCAGCCAATCACTGTCTAGCCCCGCTGCAACCGTCGCAAATCCATCTTTCCGACGGGGAGCGCACTACACTAGAGCCTAACAGGAATAGGGTCAGTCGGCGTTGAAGCTCACATCCGCCCGCTTGTCGTTGTAGGTTCCAGCAACTGGGTGCCGAAATATCGATGTCTTAACTATTTGAACCAAGATTCCAGTACCTTACAGTTTCTTCTCTCATGATCATCTAATTGTCTTGTTACTAAGGCTTTCTTTTGAAGATGCCTTCAGCATACCCCAAACCTATCCTACCCCCGTCCCTTATTGCCGTTACAGGCGCCAACGGCTTTATAGCCCAGCACTGTATCAAACTTCTCCTGTCAGAAGGCTACAGAGTTGTAGGCACCGTCCGTTCGGCTTTAAAAGCCAAACAAGTCTTAAACCTCCATGGAAGAGATCCCAGTCTTTCTGTGAAAGTGGTTGAAGATATTACTTCCGTCGAATCATATCTCTCAGCTTTTGGCTCAACCAGACCAGACGCCATCTTACACCTCGCCGCACCCTTCAATTATGATGCTACGGACTTGGAGAATGATCTTATGATTCCCGCTGTTAAGGGTTCAACGGCTATTCTCAATGCAGCCAAGAAATTGGGAGGTGTAAAACGCATTGTGCATACCAATTCGTTTGCTGGTATCTACGATGCTTCGAAGGGACTTCAGCCTGGCAAAATATATACTGCCAAGGACTGGTCGCCTTTGACCTACGAAGATGGTGTCAACGCTCCCGCTGCAGCAGTAGCATACCGAGCCAGCAAAACGGTAGCGGAAAAGGTTGCGTGGAAATGGATGGATGATAATTCATCCGTGCAATTCGACCTCGTCAGCCTCAATCCAGCCATGGTGTTTGGACCATTCCTACCAGGCGCAGTCCCCACTTCCCCAAAAGAACTCAACACATCAAACCAAATTGTATATGGCATTGTGTCAACCGGCGAAGAGGCTTCCATCCCACCAACTCGAGGTCCAGTCTGGGTCAGTGTCCAAGATGTTGCACTAGCACATCTTAAGGCGATCCAAGTTCCTGAAGCTGGCGGCGAGAGATATCTTCTAGCCGCTGGTGTATACTGCAATCAGGAGATCGCCGATGTTTCGCGAGAGGTCGCAGGGAAGAATAAGAGCAAGATTCCCACTGGTAGTCCGGGTTCTAGAGAAGCTGAGACCCATTTTGGCGTTGATGCTAGTGAGACTGAGAAAGCTTTGGGGATCAAGTGGCAGTCACTTGAGGATATGTTGTCAGGACTACTGCCTCAGTTGTTTGAGATTGAGAGTAGAGTTCAGTGAAGCTGTTAGCTATGCTGTAAATTACAACAACACATATATTCAACCTATAACCTCGCTACTTGATAATGAGCTATTAAGGATCGTTAATTGATCTCGTCTCAATATGTTTCGGATATAAGCTATCGTCTTCCACAATCCGGATAAACGTAGGCTTGTTATCGTGGACCCAGCAGATAACTCTATCTAAGTGGTCCCTGGTCATTCCCACCTTCCTAACACGGCATATCTACCCTATCTATAGCAGGGATTATGCCTGAACATTCCGCACTTGTTCCAGTGAAATCACCACTTCCAACTTGGCGTTGAGAATCCTACGCCGGGATGGGTATATGATCTACTGAATAGAATTGGCTCAATATAAAGTTATGTAACAGAATCAATGTATATCGTTGGTCCGATGTCGCAGACATGGATTGTACTAATGGCATCTGTCCAATATCGCTCAGCTTGACCGACTCCTCGGGATAACGATAAACAAGGATACACTTTTGAAGCATCGTGACTTCAATGGTTCTTACCCCGCCCCAAGATCGGTTCCTATAAAAGGTTTTGCTGCTTCTTCCAAAACTCAGATCACAAGGCCGTTTCTCAGTATAGCTTCTTGTTCACGATGCTGCTCATAGCTCTACTAAGTCTGACCACCTCAGCCGTGGCAAAGGGTTTACGTCCCCACGGTATATCATTAAGTCTCAACGGGATTGACTACTTTGTGTCGCCTTCGACAGAAACAAAGCTACCTTCCAGCCTTCGTCCTTCAGCTAAGACTGCTGATTCCTTCGCTTTTACGCCTGTTACAGTGGTTGGCAACAGTACCACTGCACAAGATGCTCTCAACGCACTATTTTCCGAATGGAAGCAGAAGGATGATGTTTGGCAATCTGGGTTCTTGGAAACAGTGATTGTTAAGAACTCGGTGGCTTGCAAATCAGGAACCAACAAATTCCATTATGACATCAAATCGACGGTCTCATGCGTAGACTCATTGGAAATTCCTCAGGGGCCTTATTTTTTGAACGCCCACAGTGGAGATCTCCATAGAGTATACCGACTTTATGATGATTTCTCAGGAACATTCGCCGAGTCACTTCTTCACCTCTCGGACGGCGAGTTCCAAACTCTCTCAGCACATATGTCCAGCAGCGCTTCTCTCACAATTGGCGTCCCATCGCGCCTCTATTATACACGCACCAAGGAGCAGCCATTGGCAGGTGTGCGAGTTGCAGTCAAGGACCTATTTGATATCGAGGGCGTCAAAAGCTCGCGAGGAAACCGTGCATGGTATAACCTCTACCCTGCGGCCAATAAAACCGCACCAGCTATCCAGAACCTGATCGACGCTGGAGCCGTCATCGTTGGAACGCAGAAGCTTTCTCAGTTCGCCAATGGTGAGAACCCTACAGCAGACTGGGTCTCTTACTCGGCTCCCTTCAATCCCCGTGGAGACGGTTACCAAGGTCCTTCCTCGTCTTCATCGGGGGCAGGAGCCTCCGTGGCATCTTATCCGTGGTTAGATATTGCCGTTGGAAGCGATACTGGAGGTTCTATCCGCGGGCCCGCTGGTGTTACTGGAGTCTTTGGTAATAGACCTACACATAACCTCGTCACTCTTGATAACGCAATGCCTCTATCACCGGCCATGGATACAGCTGGGTTTCTTACTCGCGATCCGGAGCTTTGGGGATTAGCTCAGGCCGCGATGTACGGGGAGAACTACACGACCTTCTCTGAAGATGTTCAGTATCCACAGGTCGTATATACTCTGGGTTTCCCGGATAACAGCACGCCAAATGGTGCAATAATCCATCGATTCGCAAACGATCTCGCCGAATTCCTCGCTACGAATGTTACAGAGTATGATTTGGACCAAGATTGGGCTTCCACGGCGCCAGAGCCTGTTCGAGATCTTCCCTTAACAGACTTTCTCAACATCACTTATCCTGCGCTCATCACCAAGCAGCAGATCGCACTAATTAAGAAACCATTCTTCAGAGACTATGCTGGTAAGTCTTAGTAACCAGAAGTATACCTGTCCAATAACTGATCAACTTCCAGCCGCTCATGAGGGCCGACAGCCATACATCAACCCAGCTCCCAGTGTGCGTTGGGCCTGGGGTGAGAGTCAACCAGACTCCATCCTCGACAACGCCCTGAAGAACAAGACGATCTTCATGAACTGGTTCAACGGGCAGGTTCTTCCAAGAGACGATGACCCACAGAGATGTTCCTCTAGAATTCTTCTCCACACTGAAAGCACCGGAAGCTTTGGTCGCCGCGATGTTTACAAGGATCCTCCTAGGGTTCCTTTCGGTTGGTCTCTAAGTAAGCTGTCCATCTTCAGCGAAGCGCCGGATAGCGTCTATCCTCTTGGAGAGGTTCCGGGCTTTAGCAATATTACCCACCATGAGGAGAATCTACCTGTCACTGTTGATATCATGGTAGCCAAGGGTTGTGACGGCCTCATCCCCAGATTAGCTCAGGACCTGGTGGCGCATGGGATTTTGGAAGTGCCCAAAACTGGGAGGAGCCTGTCAGGTGGATCTGTGTTATTCTAGTTGACATATGGAAGATGAAATGATATTTTGAAGCCTCTTATAGCTTTGCCAATTAGATAAAATACTGGAAGCAAATAACGTTATACTTGGTGACCTCATACGCTTCTTCCATCATCAGACTTGGCTGGACGCGCCAACTCTCGTAAACTCTCCGAGTCTTCTGGCTTCGAGCCCAATATGGTCCTGCTCTTACTTCGTCTCTGTTCGCCCCAAGTTGGCTCGTTCAATTGCGTCTTCTGGACCCAGAGGCCCCTTTCCTCTAGTAGGGCTTTGCAAGCCGCCTTACTGGTGACTGCATAAATGACAGCGTTCCAGAACCCTTGGAGTGGAAGGACGGTCGCGCTCATAAACTGCAATGGCTTGCTAACTTGATCGGGGTGGATATGCGAGTACATTCTGTTGGCGCTTGAGGGAATCCACGTAGTCAGAATGACGACGAAGAAAAGCATGGCGACTTTTGTATATGCCCATGCTGCCTTGTAAACATCGTTGCTCGGTCGCACGGATGGCTTCGGGTTGTTTGGCTGTGGGTTCGCAGCTACGCTTGCTCGAGTGTCTTCTCGGTCAATCGTTGGCTTGTGGACGCGAACTGACGCTTGATGACCCAAGTTCTGGAGCTGAACCGCCTCTGGCTGATGTATCGACTCGCGTACGATGGTTACTTCGGTTGTTTTGACATAATTGGTCGAACTTTGGTTGGCGTATGAGAGGCCTCCTGAGCCGGAACCGGATCCTTGGGCTTTTAGAAGTTGTTGACGTTTTCGATAGATCGTGCCGCCGGATCGGACGTAAATACCTAGAGTGATCGTGATGACGACCCTGTCGCTGAGTTAACATTTCACGTAACAGATGAGGAACCTCTCAGGCTTACCAGATCGGGCCGTAGAATGTCGCAATACGCAAAATGTCATACTCAGGTGTGATCCAACACCATTGGACAGCACTGCCGTATACGCGAACGCCATCACCGTTCTTAATAAAGAAAAAGATAAACGCTGGTAGAAAGGGAATACCGTAGCAGGATATTAGATAAGGTAGTTCCATCTTTCGTAATCGCTGCGCATCGAAACGATGGTAGAAGGCGAGGTAAACATTGACTGCCATAGCCAGAGTCCACATAGCATCAGCGCCCACGAAGCTACAACATGTCAACAGAAAATGGAGGAGTTAGAGAGTATATTACATACGTGTGAAGGAGGAAAGCTTGCGTCTGACACCCGGGTCCATTTGGATGTTTGACAAAAGAATCGGCCATGATGAAGCAGATACTGGCCATGATATTGCCGAACGAGGCGTAAAAGACCAGTCGGTTAATGGGTTTATGGAAAGCATCACAGAGAAGGAATGTGGTAATAATGAACAAACACCCTATAATTGACAGCACCGAGCAGACTTGTTGGATGACAGTGATGACTCTCACGTCACTGAGAGAGAGACCAGATGTCAACATTCTGGACAGCAGCATCTTGGCTGGCTTGCATTAACAAAACTTCGAGAAAGGTCTGACTTCGTCCCTAGAAGGATTATCAGGTTTATAAGTTGTTATCTCTGCTCCTTATGAGTTATTAAAACACATGCCTCCTTTTATGCAGATTTGATCTGCAGCAGGGGAATAACCAACAGTGGATCATGATCTTCAACCGGAAGCAAGCCGTTGAAGATCCTCTACCGAGACAAGTTTAGAAAGAGAGTCAATGGTAAGAAAGCTGATTGGTATGAAGCAAGAAAATGGGGATCTTCAGGGGACGGCAGTCCAACAGTTGCTTTATCTAGTTTAGCTTTCGGGACATGAAGCAGTACTCACTGTGAGAAGCTAGGTTGTAAGAAGAAGGCAGCCTACGCCTTGTGGGGACCCGCCTCGGCTCTTCTTTTGAGGCTGACACATGAACGTCCTCGAGAGCCAATGACATTTTCGGTTTCGTATCGTATCATGCCCTGGTTACGCGAGAGTAATGTCCAACAGGCTGGAATTCAGGTGATCGACATGTTAGTGCATCCTTTGTTGCGCATTGCTTGCATTTTATTCGACCTGCAAGTGCTTTATTTCCGTTAGGCCGGTGATCTGCAAGGCTTATTTCAATGTGACAGGCATTGTTTCACGCCAGGACCTTTTCCTCCAGGGCTGACGGTTGGGGCTCTAGGGCTTCATCTGCGCTTGTACCTTCCTGTCGGATCTGACAGTTAAGAGTCAGGTCTCTCCATTATGCGATCATTTGTAAATAATAAAGGGTAGCCTCCATGGACATTCAAGCAACTTTATGTCTCTATTGATTTGCTTACATTCCTTTTTTCTACTGTCCTTCGGTGGGCTTTTATTCTTCTAGGGAAGTTGATGAAGCTGGAATTTAACTGGCGCTGACTCGCGCTAACGCCATGTAACTCTGTAAGCCTGTAGCGCGTTTGAGCTGACTCAAACTTGGTCTTTCTTTGGCAGGTTATTGAAGGATTGGCAAGCCACATACGCGATATCTCCTAGTGTTCATGACTTGATATTAATCGGGCTTTGCAAGTGGGCCGGGGCTGCAATTTTGCACATAGGTATCTATTTAATTATTGTTGGTGAATGATTGCTAGCTGATCAATATTCTCTACAAATAACACCCTAGAGGAAAATTCTTCCAACAATGGGAAGCACCATTGCTTGCAGCAACTACCCCGCAGTTAGACCGAATGAGAGTCTTACAGTGGTCGAGCTGCAGACGGGAAAGTCCATAATGGGGTAAGTATGACCGAATCTTGATTCCAAATTAGGTATGCAGTCATCTCTATTTTCGTCCACGTAAGCATTCAGCAGATGAGTCCACTTTGGCAAGCGCCACTATGAGATTAGGCTGCGATGTTACCGAGAGATACTTCTGCTGAGGTATTTACGCCATGGTCTTGCGATAATTGATGCAATGTGGAAAGAACAAGAATGAGACTGATCAACACGAAAACGCTGAAATTGCAGGATTTCATTGGCAAAGTCCCTCCATACGCCATCCTCTCTCACACCTGGGGCGATCGCGAAACAACGTTGCAAGAGTTCCAAAATCGAACCTACAGGAAAGGAAGCAGAGAAATTGCCAAGATATTCGCTACATGTCGTCAAGCCCGTTCCCAAGGGCTCGATTATGCCTGGGTGGATACCTGCTCTATCGATAAGACCAGCAGTACAGAGCTAGGAGAGGCCATAAACTCCATGTTTAAGTGGTACCGTGACGCAGCTGTCTGCTATGCATTTTTGGAAGACATATCGACAAAACAGCCCGCTGAGCCTAAACGAAGATGGAGATCAACATCAGGAGGATTTGGCTTAACGAATAGCCGCTGGTTCACCAGAGGGTGGACTCTCCAAGAGCTAATTGCGCCACGCAATATGGAGTTCTACGACAAGGATTGGAACCTGATCGGAGAAAAACAAGACATGGTGTCTGAGTTGCGGAATACAACGGGCATTGACACTTTTGTTCTACAGGGTGGCCCTCTGGAACAGGTAAGTATAGCCAGAAGGATGAGTTGGGCGGCATATAGACAGACCAGTCGTGAGGAGGATATTGCCTATTCTCTTCTCGGTATCTTCGGCGTCAATATGCCACTTCTATACGGAGAAGGGGCCAGGTCATTCTTGCGACTACAAGAAGAGATTCTCAAGCAGTCAGCTGACCAGACACTTTTTGCATGGCGCTCAACCGCGACTGGGGCTGACAAAGAGGAAGCCCGAGGACTATTCGCCCACTCTCCAAGAGAGTTCCAGAACTTCTTGGATAGAGGAGAAAGGTCAATCGAGCGATCGGAACAAGCGAAAGACAACTTGATGAGACTGTGGGACTCGAGGGCACCCCGGGAGCCCTGGACTGTCAGTAACAGAGGCATCAGAGTGACTGGTCGTATACAAGATTTAAGGCCTAACTATGAGCGCTACCATACTGTGATTCTATTATTGAATTGTTGTTTTGGTGGGAATCCGGGCCGCGTAGTGGGCATCTACCTTCGACGTCTAGATGGAGATCGCTATGCACGAATTCGTCCTGGTGAGCTGGCTAGCGTCAAGCCTCTTAGAAGCATCATATCTCCTTATAGTTTGTATGGGCTGCGACATGGAGACGAGGTTCGTGGACATTACTACGATCAACCGTGGACATCTTCATACACGATCCGACGCGAGTTGGAAGAACTGGAGCATTCAAAGTTTGAGAATAGTCAGGCTGCGAAAGAGAGATACGAGCATGGTTTCTACATCAGCGCCAAGGGTCTCAAGCCCACCACCATCTTCGGCCAATACAAGCTTCATGGAGTCATGATGACTGACGCTCGTGGGCTGCTCCGCTTTTTCAGTTTCTATCCAGATGATCGACACATGGATATTGTGCTGAAGACATACCCCAACTTTCGGGTTGTACTTCTCTACAAAGCGACTACCAGCTCAGACTTGATTTTAGTCTTGTTGGGTCGAAAGGTACAACCAGATGAAAGCGGAGGTCAACATTGGGTGACGGCTACGTACCTGAGCCGATGGGAACTCGAGGAGAAGAGCACCAGGTTTCTCGACGTGGTGGGGTCATTGACAGAGACGATCATACACTCGAAAGAGGTCTCATGCAATGCGAGGGATGATGAACTCTGTGTACGCTTGTCACTGATACCGGATATAGTCGAAGGGATTCCGATGTCGAAACTGCAGGTTACTGGACCATGGCCAATATTGTTTTGGCAATCTGCCTTTCGACTAATAAGGCCATACCTAATTAACTTCGTTCTGTGGGTACTGATGATTTCAACTCTGACAATACCTATTACCTATGTTCCCGAAATACCTTCAATCAGCTAGTTTCAATTAGATATCGATTTACTTCAAGTCTACTAGAATTCCTCTTATATCAAAAGTGCATGTATACCCATCTGCTTCATAGTACTACTGCAGTCCCACCTTTCGTTCGGCCTCTCGATCTTATTCGCCCAACAAGCTTTCAGGATATTTCGGATAGTGCCACAGTTCCCTATCATGCCACTTCCTTCAGATACTACAGGATTCAGGAACGCTTCAAAAAAGCCCTGCTGATCCTGGTCGGCTAGACACCCAGCAACGCATAGAGGCCAGCTCAGTTGCCGGGGAGTGACTGTTTGACCAGCCATTTGGATCTCAAGGACCACACGGCTTACAGCTCGCCTTACTCGACTTGAAGCGATAGCATCTGGAGCGTTTGAGCTCAAAGAAGCGAGTTGGGCTAACGTTGCCGTAGCAAATATTCGAGTGACACTGTTCTGATTGGGTTGCTGCTCTGATCCAGAAGGTTTCATTGGTGTCGTATCCATGACGTTCTCTAGACTATCTTCAATTTGTCGTGCTCTGAGGTTGAATTCGCTGTGGCCAAGATCACCGGTAACAAAATTCAACTTCCACTGACTCAAAACTGCCAAGTCCCCAATAGCCTTCATGACCGGGTTGTGACAGCCCATTATATCTCCTAGCTGGAAGGTACAATTAGGTCCTAACCACTGATCGTATGGAAGCTTTGGCTTTTCTTGTGTCGCTACACATGCTAGTAGATCCATCCAAAGCAGAACAGGAATGTGGAACTCGATAGCGGCAATACCTCTGCTCCCAACAAGTTGATCTGGCGACTTCGGAAGTTGAGGCTGGTGATGCATTGTGACTGCGATAGAAGCCATTGCGCATAGATGTGATTGCCAGTCTGCCGTGCTTCCTCGAAGTACCTATTGTCTGTTAGTCAAGGTCCGTCATCTTCATGTCCAAACTCACTTCAAAGCTGATCAGAGCTACACCACAGGTGATGATTTCAACCAGAGTCTCATTCTCAGGCTCAAGCGCAGTAATGTTCATAGACGTCAGAAAGTCATGAAGCTGTCTGACCGCTTTGGTATGAAACTCGAGCTCAAGACGGTCGTTGTTTGCTTCGCCTGTCAAAGAGCGCTGGTGGAACGCAGCGAGACCCAATGAAGCTCGATAAAGAGGCCCGTTCCGGCTCAGCAGCCAAAGAAGCCAGCCACGGGACCATTTTGCTTTATCATAACAGGGGTATTGGTAAGGAAATACATGATCGAGGTAGTGCATCAGAAGACTGGCTTCGTCGTACTGGAGGGGTTCTGTGAATGATTGTCCCGACAGGATCCGACTTTGCAAGGATTGAGGAGTTGATCTTGTCGCCGAGCCTGAATTGACGCTCACTGTCCCGCTGTGTTGTAGACCCTCTGCAGTAGACTTTGCTTGTCTTCGCGTGGTTTGCTTATGACCTCTCAGTTGACGTGCCTGAGCTTTCTTTTGTCGCTTAAAATTCTTCTTCACAGCAAACTTGATGCGCTGCCTCTCTTCTTTCTCATTTTGACCTCCATCCATCCACGATGGCATTGCTCCATATCCATGACAATGAACTTGCCTACTGGTACATTGCAGGCAGGCTGTAATTGCACCGTCACATTTTACGTGTCGAATCTTGCATGTCCAACAACAACCCGGTTTCAGAGCTTCTTGCATGGCTGAGTTGAGATGAATGGGAACTTCGCTTCGTTGGCTTCTATCTTCCGAAGATGGAAGAGTCATGAAATTCGGAATGGCTGATGAATTGATTGTGGGGGAGGGGTAATGGATGACTCTCACCTGTAATTCGACCAAGGCCCATAAAATACCCAGGACGACTTCCATTTGGAGGCTAGCGACTTCGGCAAGTGCGTCTCGGAGACGCTAGGCCCAGAAAGGAATGTCGGAATGCTGATCATTCAACTTCGGAGGGACGAAGCAACTGCTGAGATCCCTATAAGTAAGTCGATTTCTCTCAAACATGTAGTACAAATCTCCTCAACTATCACACTTCAGCTTTTACTTCTTTCTCTACCCAACATGGTTAACCAACCGACAGTGAAACTCCTCGAGGCTAGCATCAGCGACCTCAAACAATTACTGGACAATCGAACCATTACAAGTGTCGAGCTCGTAGCTCTTTACCTCCATCGAGTCGGCAAATATGACTGTAGAGGTCCACGTCTCAACTCGATTTGTCAAATCAACCCGAACGTTTTCGCTGAAGCTCAAGCCTCTGACGATTATCGTGCCTCGGGAAGGCAGCCTCGACCTCTAGAAGGTATTCCATTCACGGTCAAAGACAGCTACAAGGTCAAGGGCATGACGGTAGCTGCTGCTTCACCTGCCTTTGCTGACCTCCAAGCAACGTCTGATGCCGCCATTGTCGAGCTCCTTCGCAACGCTGGAGCTGTAGTTCTTGGCAAGACTAATATGCCGCCTATGGCTGACGGAGGTTGCCAGCGTGGACTGTATGGTCGCTCGGAGAGCCCGTATAACCAAAAGTACATGTGCACTGCTTATGCCTCTGGTTCGTCTTATGGCTGTGGTGTATCTACCGCAGCAAGCTTGGCTGCTTTTGGTTTTGCTGGAGAAGCTGTCACCTCAGGTCGCTCGCCAGCATCGAACAATGCACTGGTGGCATATGCTCCGTCCCGCAGTATGATACCTCCACGGGGGCTATGGCCTTTGTATCCGACTTGCGATCAAGTCGTCCCTCACACAAGGACCATGATGGATCTGTTTCACGTGCTCAACGTTGTTGTCGCTGATGACAAGAAGGCCGAGGACGCTGACTTCTGGCGCTCGCAACCATTTGTGCCACTACCAAAGGTCGGCGAGGTACGACCAGTTGACTATCTCACGCTCGCAAATCCAAATGCACTCCAAGGCCGGCGACTAGCTGTCCCTCGATGCTTCATCGGAGTTGAAGGTGCCAAACCGGACAACGCTTGCTCTCCCGGTGTTAATGCTCTTTGGGAAAGAGCGCGCGCAGACCTTGAAGAACTGGGCGCCACTGTGATCGAGACAGATTTCCCGCTGTTTGAGAATTACACCAGACAAGACTTTCCTGGACAGAGCATGAACATCCCTAACCTATCTCAAGAGTGGGCGGCACTCGAACGCTGTGAAATGATTGCATTGAGTTGGGACGACTTCCTTCGAAGCAATGGCGACAAGGGTATCCCGGACTTCTTGTCTGTCGAACTCGACAAGATTCATCCTCACATTGCTCCGATGGATGATCCATCGCAGCACACCGAATCTCAGAATCAAGTCCGCTACGAAGATATGGTCGCTGCGGTAAAGAACCGTGGAGACAGCCGCCTCGTCGATCTGCCGGGATGTAAGAATGCGCTTCAGGCTCTGGAAGCCATGCGAAAGAAAGACTTGGAAGATTGGATGACTGAGAACAATTACGACGCCCTCGTGTTTCCAACAAATGGCGATATTGCGTTGGCTGATGCGGATGAAACCTACGAGTCGATGATCTCTGCGCTACGTGATGGAGTCAAGTATGCGAATGGTGGTAGGTCACTAAAGCATCTTGGAGTTCCATGTATCACTGTTCCCATGGGAAACCTTGCAAATGAGAAGATGCCTGTCGGCCTCTCCTTCTGCGGCAAGGCATATGACGATTCCACGCTAATGAGCTATGCCTACGCCTATGAAACAGTCTCCAGACGTCGGGAGATTCCACCTCTGGCACCGCTTCTGCCGACAGACGAGATTATGGTTGCTGACACCAAGGCTCTATCTCCTAGTATGGAAAGGCCAGTTCTAAGGATTACGTCGACAAAAGCTGTGGAAGAGGATGGACCTGATTTTGATGTTCGTTTAGTGGAAGTCAAAGGAACGTGCAACTTAGGAGTCTCAACTGGAGATGCAACCAGCTTGGAGATCTTTGCTAATGGTGAAGCAATTTGTCCTGTAAGCTGGGAGGGAAACAACTGGGTATGGACCGCTCGTCTCACTCGGCCGAAGGTCAACGATAGGTACCCGACTCTAGCAAAGGTCCCAAGAGATCAATTTCTCGTGGTGTTGATTGTGAAGGCTGATAATGGGCGTTCTGCTGGTTATTTCATGTTGATTGATTAAATGGCAGAGAGTATGAAGGTCATATGGATATATGCCAGACATTGAAAAACGAGTATTTACTCCATAAGCAATTCATCGCTATTTTGATATGAGGCCCTCCTTTGTCTTCCAGGTAGAAGATAATTCACCCCAAACCTATTGGCAGTTACGCGTGGTAATAACATGACCAGGAGTATCACGGCAAGCTAGGAATGTTGTTAGCATTCTCCAACCAGTGGGAGATGAAACGCTGATACTTACTTCCGGCGAAGATACCACCCTGAGCGTTGGTCCAGTATCGGCAACCGTGACCAGCAGGGACCAAGGCATTTGAGCCATGGTAGGTGCATGCCTCCCAGACATTAACTATCCATCGTGTAAGCTTCAATTCGTATATCAATAATTCTGGGAAAGAACTTACTGGCACCTCCAGACCAGGGCATAATCCCGTAGGGGTTGTTGTTGGCGATCCATTCACCGTTGCCAGCCTGGGCCCAGGCGTGGGTACCAGCAGCGAAGGCAACAGCCGAGAGGACGGTAGAAAATTGCATGTTCGGTATATGAACTATGTGTGTGAAGAAGAATAGTTGGAATTGGACTGAAGCGTATGGAACGATAGTGAGTTGAATAGATAGAAATGGGAAGGGAGAAACTATCGCTTTTATATCTGTTGCTGCCAGCATTTGTATCTTGCGGTGAAGTAGTTATATCTTTTCTTCAACACTTCCTGTAGTCTGGAACTCGAAAGAGGCGTAAGTCATCCAGTCGCATACAAAGGAACGGAAGATACAAACGCCCCCAGGAACTGCTCCACTGATGGGATGGTGATCCTAGTACATCCAAGCTCTGGTATTTTATACCGCAAAGCCTTGCAGCTGCAGGGCTCGGTCTTTGCGATGCAGTATGCAGGACGGAAAATTGCTTTCCTATGCGCAGTTACTCGTTTAGCTAATAGCTTGGCAAATCCTTCGGTTTTGGTAGAGGCTTTTCTAGGCAGCTGCAGGGTTCACCATAAGGATTGCGGCACAGACATTCTTGGCGTCGGATGAGGATGGGGGCTAGAAAGCAAAAATGGAACTTGCATGTGATCCATTACTAGAACGTGAGTGGCTAGGAAGGTCTCACACCCTGATGTCAAAGTCCCTGCAGTAATTAAGCTTAATGGAAATATTCCTATTTGTGGGCTGTGTCACACGACTATTAACCGCGGAGAAGGGATCTTGGCAGTCGGCCGACCTAGTCGAGGCTTCTGTCGGCCTCGTTGTTACCCATCGGGAGTTTGTGGAAAAGCTACCCCCTGACTGTTGCATGGAAGACTTTGACTGATGGTAATCGAGAGTAATGATAAACCGAGTCTCGGAAGATGTAAGAAACTACAAACAGTGATACGGAAATGATATTATTAGTCAAATGGATAAGATTCGTCATAAAAGGTAACTGTTGGATGGTAGTTCGCGTGATCAAAAGTATTATCCTATGAAGTACGTATTGCGGGCATCTTTATCACCAGATGTATCGCTGAGAGACTTCAAATATCTACTGATCTAATCCAGCGGTATTAGGTTTCCACCATGGGTCGCAAATTGCGAACATTGGGATACTAATGCTGGCGCGTAGCGTTGCCGTGTTTAGTAGACAGTCCATGAAGCTTCACCTGGAAAGGAATTTACCATGATGAGGCGTCTGTAAAATTCAGACCCTCCATAAGTCCGAGCAAGCCTCGTAGACCGCCTTAATAGTGCATAGTACTAGAGTTAGAGCAACAACGATAGATCGGGAGTTCAGAGTAAGAATGATTACTATCAGTTGCAAGGTAATACAAATAAGACTAAAGAAAAATGTATTTAAAGAAAATATAAATATCTAAAACGAGTTGATGCTTGAAGCACTCACAAGTCAAGTAAAACTCCCTGAACTACCACCTGCACAGGTTCAATGTCTATTGAAGGTCCTTGGTAAGATCAAAATCAGCACAAAGGTAAGGCTTCTTTGTGTTGAAGGGGTTTTGCTTCAGATCCCTGTTTCCCTGCTCACACTTGGACTTGGGCCAGAGTTTACCAGCCTGGTTGTCCTGACCAGGAAAGTTGCCCGCTAACCAGATGGAGCCCTTGGAAACGTCACTGTAGTTACCCTTCAAGACTGGCATGGCGAAGAAGCAGGGTAGGTCGTAAGGATTCTTGTTCTTGAGAGAACCAATGTCCGTGTTGGGTGTACCGATGTGGCCCTTGTTGTCTTCCCAGCAGCGGACAGTGTTGCGCAGAGTGGCCAGCTTGTCCATGCCCCAATCGTTCCAGGCAAACTCAATATCCTTGTTACCGCCCAAGGTCTGAGTCACCTTCTTGGGGTACCAGGCGAGAACGTCAAGGCAACGCTTTCCGTCTTCATCCCAAGCATTGTTAGGGTTGGTACACTTGGGCTGTGGCAAGTCATCTCGGACAACAACGTAGAGACCTCTCCAAGTCCTTGCCATCTGCCATAGAAGGGCCTTATCCATGTTGGAACGGATGTTGGCAACGAACTCGCCCATGCCCTTGATGTTCACTGACCTCACCCACCCTCCCCATCCAAAGACTCGCACGACGGGGTTCTTGTATTTCTCGTCTCCAACAAGCATGGATTTGGGGATATCGGCCTGTGCAACTTGGTAACCAAAAACGGCAGCAATGAGCTTCTTAATGTTCTTAATACCCTCGTCTCTGGTATTACCGATCAAATACCGAGCCGAGCCCTCAGCATCGATCGGGCCGTCGGGTGAAACGGTACCAGAACCGACAGTAGCACCAAACATGCTCAATAGACCAGCGGTGCCTGCAAAATAACCTGCAACAGGAGCCAACGGGGCGGTAGGTCCGCTAGCGATAGTGAAGGCAGCAGAAAGAATACTGAGGATGTTGAGCTCAGCCGGAGGGCTTCCGCTAATTCTGAGCGCTGTTCGCATCTTCGGTACAGAGGAATCCGAGATGGTACTCATCTGCTGATCAAGCTCGATAGACAGCTGGGTCATCCAGAGGAAATAGTTCTTGAGAGACAAGAACATGTAGAAGAGTCCACCCTTGCCGATGTCGTTGAAGTCCTCTATATGGCACATTACTATTAGCATTGAGGCGGTAAGATTGGAATGCTGGAAGATACATACCACAAGTTCGTTGATAGTCGCAAACAGCTCCTGGCGCGTCGCATGAGAATTCCGACTTATCGATACTCTTGCCTTTCACGTCTTTGAAGAGTAGGTACAAAAGGTCCTTGGCCCACTCAGTGTGGTCGTCCAGTGTGCTGATGTATTTGTCGACCCATTGCTCAGCGCCAGAGTCAAACCAAAGCTTGCCTTTGTCCTCAACGTCGTCGTAGTCGTCGTTACAGTTAGGTAGCTTCTTGTCCATGAGCTCCTTGACAACTTGTTTCTTCGTTAGAGGAGGAATGTTGATGTCAGGGAGATCCGAACCTTCGTCTCCGGTATTACCACTACCACCGCCACTGTTATGTCATATATCAGTATTCGAATCATTCAAGTGTTGGCAAGGGGTCACCTACGATGAGCTGCCGCTAGCTTGGAAGTCAATACTCCAAATCATGGTGCCTCCAAAGCAGAAACTATCGGCCCAGGCCTTCTTGGCGGCAAAGGTCTCTTCATCTGTGGTCATTGTTAGTAACAAGCAGATGTAGAACCAGACGAGGGATAGCTTACCGTCATATCCAATCCATTGATCATCCCAGGCGATCTGCTTCATCATGGAGTCCTTTAGGTATGTTGACTCGACGCCGTCCTTGATAAGGTTCTTGATCTCACCCAAAGACATGACACCGTCAGCGTCGGTGCATTTTCCCTTCTTGCTAGGTCCAGCAAAGGAACATCCAAGGCTCTTGCAGTTCTTGTCGGCGACAGTGTAACCACGGCCGTACATGGCAAGACCGAAGTTGATCTTCTTGGGATCGAGGCCGGCAAACCAGAGAGGAATGGTGTTGTTGTGGATTTCGCGAATGTCGGCTTGTCCACGAATGATCTTGCCCAAAGTTAAGACATCCGAGTCCCAGGATCCGTGGAGATCTAACATGGGTGTTAGTTAAAGTGCAACAGAGTAGAAGAAGATTGGAACTTACCATAAGCCATGAATCCAAAGAAATCAACATAAGGCTCCATTGCCTTGGCGTCGAACCAACGGAGATACCAGTAATCAGGCGCTAAAGTCAAACTGATACCATACTTGGAACCGTAGGCAGCGCGCATCTCCTTGAGCAGCATGGAGAGGTTGCGAGTATCAGCAAGCTTGCGACCACCACGCTTAGGCTCACCAGGGTACTCCCAATCGAGATCAACACCAGTGAAGCCATACTCATCCATATAATCACGAACAGACGCAATGAAGGCAGCTCGATTAGCCTTGGTGGACACCATATCACTCCACGTGGTATGGGTAGGAGTCTTCTCGTTGCTCATATCGTAGCCGCCGATAGCGATCCATGTCTTAAGCTTGCCGCCCTTGGACAGGTCGGTGAATTCGCGCATCTGCTTAACATCATCGTTATGAGCAGGAACGAGCTTAAAAGAGACAGGGTCGATAAAGGCGAAGGAGTAAAACAAATGGGTGAAGCCTGTCGTATCGAGCTGCTTGGGCGTTTTGGTGTCGCATTTACGAGCGCGGACGTTCCACGATTGATAGTATCCGATTGTTCGTCCGCTTGTGCTGCCACCTCCCTTGGCGCATGAGGGGGAGGAGACGATGTTGCAGCCTCCGTAACCGGCTTGGCAAGGCAGAGTCTTGTGTAGGGGATCGGCGTTGTCACAGAAGGCACTAGTGGTCTAAGGATAGATTTGGTTAGCTTACAATGATAGACAGGGTAACGAAAGAGACTTACACCACACCAACCGGTGGCAGAGCAGCAGAGATTCATACCGCAAGGCATCTCACCCTCTTCACTGTACTCTCCACACATAGCTTTGGCATCACAGTTAGATGTGCAGCCATCGCCACAGAAATCAGGACCATAACCGCAGATGCCCTTGGGACCACAGCAACTTTCGTCAGGGCATTTACGGCCCTTGCAGTACAGAGGACCGTCGTCACGCTTGTCCAGAGAACGACGTGACAGACCAGATTTGTTGGGGGTGACGCCAGCAGAGGACTCAGTAGCATTCTGAGCATCCTTGTAGTATTGGTCGAGGCTAACACCGGAATCGACGGAGAGCTCAAGATCTTCAGTGGGGTTCGGGGGGGCCTCGGCAGGGTTCTGGTGACCAGGGCTCATGACAATCTTCTTGGTCCATTCGGGAGCCTTGGCTATTGATTAGGAGTCAGTATGATTTTGACGTAGTCGGAAGAAAAAGCCTTACTGATGACAGAACGTCGATTGATGCGGCCATGAGGGTGATGGTGCGTATCGGCGTTGCTCAAGGTAACAAAACATAAGAAACAAAGAGCAACCGCCCAAAAGGCGAAGCTCGAAAGTGGTGACACCATAGTTATCACCTAGGTTGAGGTAAACAAGTAACTATCGCTGTGTTTGTCTAAGTAATTGGTTCTATAGGTGAGCACAATGGACTATATACACTTAGAACTTCGCCCCCAAGAGAGTGTCCATCTCTGTATCCGCATCCTTGCAAAATGCAATTTACAATACCCATGTTATCAATAGCGCAGTCACTATACTGCGTGACAGTGCACTTTGACGATATGTATGAGGGAAATTTTGAAATCAAATTAGGTGTCCTCGCATAGCCTGCCTCGGCAACGGATTCCCATCATGATCCCATCTTGTGGCTCCTGAGGTCTAGACTAGGCACACTCACATTTCTATCTCCCATCGAAGGATCGAGTGCATAGCCCGACCTGACCCTGACCCTGTCTCGGCCGAACCCTGTATAGAAAAGTTCCGGGTGTCAACCGATTCCAGCCAAGCGTAGGATCAGCTTGCAGTAGTCTCGGCAGGATCGGACCTTAGCCAATAAGAATCGAGAGAATTGGCTGATTAAACTCCCGAGCAGAAACATGTGCCTAAAAATGCCGGTCGTCTGGGCTGTACATTCTTTTTACCCGACACGGAGGATGAGGCTCGTCCGACGGGCCGCTCCCATGCAAGGGACGGTTCTTGACATTTTGAAAAGGGTTTAGGGTACAAGGACAAGATGAAAATTTCAAGCGAGTATTCGGATCCAACGGAATGCGTCCATCAATCATTAAACGGTCACAAACAGTTGGCAAATACCCTAGAGGCTTTGATTGAATGTCCAAGAGAAAGTTGAAGAGCTTCAGTGTATATGTGTTATTAAAAATGTTTAGTTAAATACTAGGTAGGGGATATCGCGGGATGTGGTAATCCCATCGGAACAGCATATATCATCATCATGGTGATCACATATCAAACCTTCCTAAATAAAGTATATATTCAACTAATGATAAGGTGTACCTGAACAAAACATCTGGACTTTTACCTGGTAAGTACGTAGTCCGCCTGATTCGGGGTGTTGTTGGTTTCACGAGATCAGATGAAGATAATTAACCTTAACCTAAGCCTTAGTCTATCCGCCCCCAAACGGCGGCCGACTGTATGGGTCCAGACTACTAGCTCATGTAACGGTATAGATGAGATGTTCGGCAGATCGGGCGGTGCTGCGCTAATTAATGTTCGAGACTGGGCCACTTGAACTTGAATTCAGGCTGTGCTCCATGAAATACCCAGAGCAAGTACGATCCATAGGGTACAATGCGATACAATCGTTGTGGAAAAAGTTTTCTTTGGCGGACCCTGTGTGACATGGGTCAGGGGTTGCGGCTCAATTGAGACAATCCTCCCGATCGTCTTCGCCGAGAAAAGTGGCGCCTAAGAAATTGCCCGATTCTGAACTGCACTCGCTGAACGAATACTCGTATATGAGTACCCTTATATGAGTTTCCAATATCATGAATCGTCAGAATTGCCAGATCAACCAACCTCATCAAATCTATTTCACACACCATGAAGGTTGCTGCTCTGTTCTGGCTTCTGCCAGCTTTCGTTGCTGCTCAGTCCCCTACCCAGACTTTGTCTCCATGGCAGACCGGTATGGTTACTGAAGATGGTACCTGTGGAGGAGATACCGGTTTCGTCTGCAGCCCTCTCTGGGGTGCTTGTTGCTCCAAGGACGGTCAATGTGGAAGATCCAGCAAGTTCTGCGGCGAAGGATGGTACGTTCTTGATCTGCTTACCATTATTTCAGACAAAACTAACAATCGACGTAGTCAGAGCAAGGCCGGAAACTGTAATGCTGCTGCTCCACCGCCTGAAGTTCCTCTAGGTCCTGGAAGTGTCTCTCCCGACGGTTCTTGTGGCGGCACAAACAAATTCGTTTGTGGTGGCAGCGCCTTTGGTGACTGTTGTTCTACCCAGGGCTGGTGTGGTAACTCTACCGCCCACTGCGGTAACAACTGCACTCCCGACTTCGGCACATGTGGCCCCCCTAGCAATATCACCTTTGACGGTGAGTGTGGTGCCAACGGCAAGATCTGTCTCGACTCCGGCTACGGTAACTGCTGCTCCATGGGCGGCTGGTGTGGAAGCGATGCCGAGCATTGCGGTGCTGGTTGTCAGAAGGGTTTCGGCAACTGTACCTTGACTAATGCCGGAGATATATCCACTGATGGTTTCTGTGGCAAGAATGGAAAGACCTGCAAAGGCAGTACATTCGGTGACTGCTGCTCCAGGGAAGGTTACTGTGGCAAGGATACCCACTGTGATGCTGGATGCCAGACCAAGTTTGGTTCGTGCAATGCTGAGACAGACATTTCTACCGATGGCTTTTGTGGCAAGAACGGAAAGACTTGCAAAGGAAGCACTTTCGGTGATTGTTGCTCCAAGGAAGGGTACTGCGGAAAAGACGGTCATTGTGGTGCAGGTTGCCAAACTGCTTTTGGCACCTGCAAGGCAGACTCTGGCACTGTCTCAACTGACGGTCGTTGCGGAGGCTTCAATGGCAAGACCTGCAAGGGCAGTACATTTGGAGACTGTTGCTCCGCTGGTGACTGGTGTGGCAAGGACACCCACTGTGATGCAGGCTGTCAGTCCAAGTTCGGTACCTGCAACGCCGAGGCCAGCAACATTTCTACCGATGGCTTCTGCGGTAAGAACGGCAAGACCTGCAAGGGAAGCACCTACGGTGACTGCTGTTCTGCTGAGGGCTACTGTGGTAAGGCAGGTCATTGCAAGGCTGGCTGTCAGTCTAAGTTTGGTACTTGCGATGAAGCTTCTAGTAACGTCTCGACCGATGGAAGCTGTGGCAAGAATGGTAAGACCTGTAAGGGCAGTGTCTTTGGCGATTGTTGCTCCGAGTATGGCTACTGTGGGAAGGGCGACACCTTCTGCCGCAATGGTTGCCAGAAGGCTTTTGGTCTCTGCACTGGCATCTCTTCTGACTCTGAGTGCGGTACCAGGAACGGCAAGACTTGTGCTGGCTCTGGCCTCGGAAACTGCTGCTCGTCGAATGGCTTCTGTGGAAGCAGCGCTTCTCACTGTGGTCAAGGCTGCCAAAAAGGCGCTTCTAGTGCTTGTTTGACTAAGAATATTCCTACGTTGGACAGCACTTGCGGTAGCAAAGTTGGTCTGACTTGTGCTGGTGGTCCATTCAACGGACAGTGCTGTGGCTCTACTGGTTTCTGTGGTACGACTGGCACTCATTGTGGTTCAGGGTGCCAAAAGGGCTTCGGTCGTTGCAATTAGTCGCAATCTAGTGTTAGTTTTTTAGTCTGTACATACTCTTTATTTTCTGGCCGTGCCTCTAGAATCGGCTGATTCCAGTTGCTCATATTTTGTATACACTACTTTGACTCTGATTACATACTTCGCACTCTCGTCGGTAAATTAAACATAGTCTTAAACGTGGCTTATCCGCGAAGGGGGCACTTTTCTTACTACTCAAAATTTGTACAGAACACATCTAATACACAATTCAGACTTAACGTTGCCACTGCTTCCCAACTACTGTACTGACGCTGGTTCGTCAACACGTGGCCGACTTTATGATCGCAATATCGCTTTTACTCGTATGATGCCAAGGCAAAACTGTTACTGCCCCCGCGGAAAACATTAATCATCCTTGCTTGGTTCGGGTTTCCGACGGAAGGCTGTGCAACGTTGCTTCTTCGTATCCATTCCGAAGTTGAGAGTCTAGGAAAACGTTAGGCGATCAGGTGTAGTTACTTCGAAGGATTCAGCCAAGCTTCTAGGCTCTCAATTCCATGTTCAAAAGACTAACGGCTTGTAGTAGGTTGCAGTCTTTAAATCCTCCCGAGGCTGAGCTAGTGAATTGAAACGGCAATGCATATGGCAAGCAAGGTACAGATACTCCGGGCCAATTAAAAAGAACGTGTCATTGAAGGATAAATGCATCCGTACTGTGGCGCGGGCAGAGTGCAGGGGTGCTCGATCGGGAAAATCAACATCCTCGCATCTCCTGTCTATCCACTTAGTATGCTTGGCATGATGGATCTAAGCTACCTTGAACGAATCTCGGATCACGGTTTATTCTGGGGACCCGTAGTCGCACTGTCAATGGCGCGCCCCCTGAGAACATCGTCAGATGCGCATAAGGCTTATGATCAGGACATCAGTTTATAGGCTTGTTGTGTTGTACGGTCAATGGAAGGGGAAGAAAGGGCGAGGAATGTTTCTGAAAAGTGATGAGGTACTTGTCGGATGTTCATCTTCCTATTTGAATTGGACGTCGACAACCCTTTGATTAGATCTTGGTCAAGAAAATGATATCATCGATTGCAATACTGAAGTTGCAGTGACGGCCTGAGTCGAAAGTGATCTAGGCAGGTAATCGTGTGGAACAGATACAATGGCAATCCCCATCCACATACTTAAGAGTCAAACTAAAAGGTGAAGGTAGCATCGTGAAATAAACATTCAATCCGCCTATCCTAAGATCGAATCAGTAAACATAGGCAATACATCTTCTGTACAGTCCTTTCACCAACTGAATGCGTCAACCTCCAGCTCAAAGACAACACCACTAGTCTTTCCCAAACTAACAACAGCTGCACGAACACTGTCGCAAAGCCCAGCAGGACCACACACAACTACACCAACCTTCTTCCAGCCCACCTCCACTTCTTCCTCTAGTAACACCTTCACGTTGAGCCTTTCTCCAACCAAGACTGTTTTATCATCTATGCCGCTCAATGAAGTCTCAAGGTCTTTCAAAAGAGCTTGAGATGACTCTTTTAAACTCCAGGCTAGCCTGACATTCACGTGGGCCTGAGCCCAGGAAAGAAGACCAGTGATGCCGATTCCGCCGCCAACGAGTAGTACACGATCGCATTTGAGTACGTCTCGACTAGGGCCGCCGTATGGACCCTCTAACAGAACGGGAAGGCCGGTCCGTTTGGTGAGAAGACTTGTGGTACCATGGTGTTTCTTAATGTATATGGAAATGCTGTCAGTTCCTGTCGCTTTCTGGGATACGGTAATTTGAGGCGCAGTCCGGTGGAGTTCCAGGTCTTTATCACGCGACAGGTCTTGTGTTGATGGAGTGCACTTCTGTAGTAGAGCACTGTTGTTGACGGAGAATGGATGATTCTGCCAGGCGCGCAGTGGTTGAAGCGTGGGGAAGTAAACATAAGCATGATATCCCGGTGCACTCAACCATCTCACGCCCGATATATCAAGGCGCACGATCTCGTTGGACAGCTCAACGACAGTCGCTCGTCGAATTCCATTCTTCGCCACACGCAGGCCTCGGAAGAGACGGTCAAAGAACCATACTGCACAAACCATGTAGATCCATAGCTCGTAGATGCCAGAGTATGGCTTCCAGTAGTAAATATGGTACCAGCACCCAACTATGACAAAAACAGTAAGAAGGATATGGAGGACGAGAAAAACTTCGTATGAGGCGCGTCGGAACCAGAGGACACTCTGGAATAGAAGTAGTAGTAAGCATAGCGTTCCAATAATACCCCAGATCCAATATGGCTTGTGAACGTCTGTGTAGTATGTCCCGAGGCTGACATAAGCGGCAAGAAGAGTGATGGAATGGATGATTGCGTGGATCGCACAAAGGCGAGCGACCCATCGATGAAGAACAAGGAAGGTGGAAAAGTGCCAGTTGGTAATCCAGAGCAGGATATTGTTGCGTGACGAGAAGAGGACTGTTAGCGGTAGTAACGCAAAGGATATATGACCTGTCCGATAACCGACATAGGCCAATATTTCAGCAGACTTGGTAAAGCCCCAAGGATGAGGATGAGAGAAGGTCTTGTACGAAACTGCACCGAGGATAATGTTCAGTATAACGAACATGGCTATCCAAAGGCCAGAGCCCATGGTTGGTGCATTGCCGAGAAGATAAGGTAGAGGACGAATGTTGTAGTCGCCGATTGTCGAGGGGTAGATTAGATATGGCCTAATTCTTGCTATGGTGGTGGTCATGAAGGGTAGGTGTGTAATGGCTGAAAGAAACACGGGTGTTGCAACACCTACGGCAATCAAAACAATGCTATAGTTCCGTCAGCCAGATAAGATAGCAAAGGAAATGGCAAATCTTACACAAAGGTTGATTGGACTGTTTCTTCCCAGTCGAAATGGACATTGAAGTCATACTGATACTGATAGCTCTCGTCCGAAATTAGAGCCGTATAGTTTAACGTCTCCCCAGCGACATATGTCCTCTCCGGTCGTTTGATGTTAACCAACGCAGCACCATAAGTCCACTTTGCATCGACAGTCTTATCACCCGTAGTTTGATCGGCCCAGTAGGCTTCTAGATTTGAAGCTGGGATCTCTGCACAGCGAGTTCTTAAACAGTGGGCAAGTGTGAGCAGAAAGGCGTCATTGTCCGCGATGCAAGGGGCCATCGGTGAGCCACCATGTGAGTGTCCGCCCATGTCCATGTTACTGTGGTCCATTGATGGACATTCGAGCGGTGCATTGCTGATGACGGCTCGACAAGCGTAAGCGCAGGGAGGGTCGTACCATGATTGGCCATAGCCTATAAGGCCGGTTTTGGAGCCAGTTACTGTGCTTGCCAGGAGGGTCAACAGAGCTGCGATAGATACTTTCATCTTGGCACGTGAAAGCAGGAAGGCGTCTAGCGACTGTTGGAAGTAAAGACAGTGCCTGTGAGTGGGGTTATATAGGGCTGAATTTGAGCTGGGCTAAAGATTGACAGGACCCGCGAGGGGATGCGTCGGATAATGCCAATTCAATAGCTCAAATATCCAGACCAATAACAACTCTGGTATTACTGTAGGTCAAGAGGATTTGTGCGCAAACTGGCTCATTCAATCAGCCTATTTCCACCGCGGTGGTATCAGGTTCACAGGGTTACATTATAAGACATCCATCTAAACTCGCGCAAACTTGCTCATGGGACGCCACAAAGAACTGTACTCGCTAATTGGAATCCTTTCACACTATCTTCATGCCTTTAAACGGAGCAGATCCAATAATAAAATAATTACTTAAGCTTGGTAACTCTGGTAGCGTGCTCCTCGTTGATGGTCCTATAGTCTTCAGGTCCATACGGTTCAGTCATCTCCTTGAACCACCCTCGTTTACGGTGCACTGCCAAGCCCAAATCCGCCATCATCATATCCATAAAAGGCACCGCTTCAAAAATGAAGTCTGGTACCCTGGCACCTGCATCATTTGGATACCGCCATTTGCCAAAGCGATTGTGTAAAACTGTCTGCCGGTGGACCTCGTTCAATGTCATGCCCTTGCTCCCTGCAGCCACAGCTGAACTCGGATCCCGGGCTAGCGTGCCATCAAAGAAAGCGCTGATCCAAAGACCCTGAATATGCGCACAGGTCCCGTTGCTGAAGTTGGTTGAGTATCCTGTAAAGGCAAGGTCTTTGGTCTGGAGGAATTCGGTGGTGGCGGGGACCATGAAATGGTACAGCATCATGGGTGTATGCGAGAGAATGGGTGCATCTGAGGCAGCCATTTTAAAAGCCTTGGTTTCGCTCAGGTGCTTGTAGTTGGGGTTGAACTTCATTGGCGTCTTGAGACTTGGGAACCGCTCCTCAATCTCTTGATCGGCCCTTTCAAGAAGAGCAGTGCAACTTCCAAGCCCTTCGTCTGGAAGGTTTTCTTTGTCGTTGCTGTTCGGTACATAAGGGAGACCAATTTTGCGGTCGATGCCCTCAGGGAGGAATTTGAGAGGCGAGAATGGCTTCCAACCAGTAACAGCGACAAAAGCGTCAGACTCAAGACTAGTTCCCTCCGCATTGTCCAGGTGAATCCTACCCTCACTGATATGCGACAGGTCGTTCTCGTAGATTTTCACAGTGCCGTTGCGTACAAGCTCGTGAAAGTCAGTTGGATAGTTCAAGATACCAAAGGCTGTGCCGGTATGCATGGCTGATGAAGTAGGCTTGAGCTTCTTGAGCTCGGGATGTGTATCAAATTGCATCAGGTCGATTACATCGGCAGCTAGAATTTTCCAAAAGGCGGAGGTGATGGCGCGACCGATGGTTGTGCGATGCCAGAAGTAGTTGATGCCGTGGTAGCCACTATCCTGGCCCCAGATACATGGGGCAAACCAGTGAAGCCAACGAATATCTGTAGAGGGAACTATGTTAGCTGCAAGACTCAGAAGTACCTAGATATCATGTTTGTCTAAACTTACTAACGAGCTTCTCAATCCATACTTTGAAAGGCGTGACAAAGGAGGGCGACATCCAAACTGGACCGTGGCCGGTTGCTGAATACAAGCAGCATCATCAGTTCAAACCCTTCAAGTCATATGTCAGTCTTTGACGTTGGAGCTACTCACGTCTTATGATCCAGTCGACTTTGACACCATGAGTGGCGTACGCATAGACGGCGTCCCAAGCAGACTTGGTCCCTCCAAACACGGTCACTCGCTTGGCAGTATTGACAGTATCTCTATACTTTCGGAAGTCTCTGCTATGAAATAGCGGCCTGTAAAATTGTTCCTGGCCACGGATGTGAGGCATCAAAGGCTCTGAATCCTGGCCCGTTGCAACAATTAATCTCTTAGCCATAACCTGGGTAGACGACTCCAGTCCTTCGCTTTGGATCTTAAGTAGCCAGCCTCCTTCAATCTGATGCTCAGCCGAAAGAACTTTGGTACCCAGTCTCAAGCACCGGTCAATGCCAAATTCGCGTGCGTAAGACTCAAGATAATTATGCATGACCTCCCCCGGAATATAATTTTGCGGTTCAACGCCAAAGCGCTCAGTAGTCATGGGAAAGTCTGGATACTCGTAGGTTCCCAACAGGTTGTTGGACCTGAGACATGGATAAAGTCGCTCATTAGACCAGACGCCGCCTACCGAAGCGTTTGCGTCGAGGATAGCGAGGGAATGGTCTGGGTGCGTGACGTGATACTGTTTCGCGGCGCCGAGGCCGTAGTAGCCTTTGGTCATGATATATTAGTTACATGAAGGCGCGACGATGGGTGAGACTTACCGGCTCCGATGACGACCAGATCGAGCTCTTCCATTGTTTGTAGCAGTGTTACGCGTATGGTGTCTGTCTGCGCCACGTCTTGTAATCTCAGTAGAAGGAGGAACAGGCGGGAACAAGGAATTGGAAAAAGTGCGAGACATTAGGAATTGATGATTTGTCTGTGTGACAGCCCTCTGGGGCTGAGCGTGCTGGACCCTTGTTTAAAATACGCAGTGAGATTTTCGTGACGAGATATTGTAAGCACGATCCGAGACCCTCCAACCCCGCACGAGATTATGCGAACGTCTATTGATAAGATACCATTCATCCTTCTGATCCTCCTTAACCTAAGGCTGCTACATGTCTTTGTATACGCTTGGTGTCTCGTTTCACATCAAATGGATATCTGGTTATAGGTGCAGAAAGGCTAGATCCCATCTTGGTTTAGCCGTGCCTGCTCCAGCGACAGATTTCGCAGCTCGGCTTGTAGGACAGGGAGCGCACACAGGCTTGTGATTGATTGGTGTACGAACCCGGGTGAGCAGGGGTTGCGTGGCGCGTGTCAAAGAGCAGGGGTCTTCGGTAAAGTGGTCCATTTTCACACGCGACAGGTGTTTTGACAAGCGGCGTATAGGGTATGGAAAAAACACTTTAGTGTGGACTTTAATGTGTCGGATTTCCATGCGGAAACAGCTTGTGGATGATGGTTAGAGAGGGTATTTCCTTATTGATGGGCCTGGAATGCCAAAACCTGAAATAACAGTTTCGGGCGATTGAAGGAAAAGAAGTATGGAAAGGGATCTCAACTTTGACGTCTTGTACTGAAATTACCATTTAAAGAGTTCTCCGAGCCCGGGACAAATGAGCGGTGGATATCAGTCTCCACTAGAACATGCAATGTGTAGATTTCATTGGCTAAGAGGATGGTTCTAAGAATAGCGTCCCTAGCATTTTCGTTTTATGACTTGATAGACTGACCAATAGAGAAGTGTACATCCAATGGCTTGACTCCACAGTTCATACCAAATTCCAAAAGTTGGTACGTGTGATGATCAGTTATCTGGCGCCGTTTTGAGCATGGATTTGAGGGTTCAAAAGCCTTGTTTTCTAAGATCTAGGTCGCAGCAAATTGCTGCTTTTGTGGCTTCGTACGCCGCACACCGCCAAGGCTGAGCGGAGATTAGTTAAGCCGACCCTGATATATCCGGCCTTATTCCCACAGTACGGTACAACACCACCACTCGTGCACAAAAAGACTTGGAATTCCATAGCTAAATAGACTTGACTGATAAGCAACTAAGATTTCTGCAATGAATTAATATGCCTTTAAAAGGTACACCGACATTTGAATCAGCTTCTCAAACTTCCCTCATCGTTGAGGTAAGCTCTCCCTTATGCTCAAACAAATCCCCTGACACTGTTCGAGGAAAGTCCTCTGTGGTACCCGCCCAAACTCCATCGCCTTGCATCTCATACAGTAACCTCATCTGCTGCAAAGTTCCGTCCCTCTCCCATCTTTTTGCTCTCCCTATTCCTCGTCCCAACCAAGCTTGAATTCGAGCCGTAAGAAACTTCAAGATAAATGATGACAAGACAACATAAGTACTAAGGCTAATGACTACAAATAGACCGAGTACAGAGAAGTTCAACGTTCTTGAAAGTTTCCTTCACTCTCTCATTGTAGCACATATCTTTGAAGGCCCCAGCATACAGGTTGATATCGGGAACGACAGTTCGTGTGATCAAAATGTTGTTTTATTAAGTACGCATTGCGGGCATCTTTATCACCAGATGTGTCACAAGCAAACCCCGAGTAGCAGAAGCTCGCTAAGGGACAGTCCTAAAAATGGCAGACTACGCAATTCCAGTCTAGTACCAGGCCTGTTGCAGAGATAACCAAGCAGCTGCGGGAGCCGACTTTGTGTTTCGCAGGATAACCTGTCTTTGATAGTAGAGCCCATCATGTTTATTGCCTGTGGCCAGAGCCTGGTAAACTGAGAAGCCGATGATGACCCACAGTTGTATTGCGGTGATCGTTACAAAGGCCGCGATGCAGGCAAGGAGTAGGCTAGCGTCCCTTGACGAAAGAGTGATGGTCGCACCCAGAACAGGTCCACGCGACCAGTCAGTCCAGGTACCTGTGTAAATCCCAAAGGACATAATGTATCAGCGATACGGCACAGCTAGATATGATGGTCTTTCTTGAGATGACTGAGTTAAAACTACGCAATTGTGACAAGGAAGAAAGGTCAAGATGAAGGGTAAATCTCGTAGTAAGGTTATTCTCATCAGTGTCTCTGAACCCCTCAGAATAATGTGTGGAATTGTGCATTGACATTCCCATTCACCCTGCAGGCCAAGATTCGAGTTGTAATTGGTCTGACGTTCAGAGCTGAAAAAAGGTGAACCACATGTTTTGCGACTATTGGTCTTGGCATGACTCTGACGAGTGAGACGCGCCTTATGCCTTGTAAGGCAGATGTTGCAGTTGATCATGTTGAGTTCCCTGGCGGATTAACTGACCGAATTGGAGCCAGAAACGTCGTGATCAAGTTGTGTGTGCAATTTGAAGATTTAGCAAAAGCTCAAGATCTTCGTCGACCCTCAGCGACACCAGTGGACTTGAACCCAACAACCTGGAGGCGTATTACACCACAATAACAGAGCCGAACACAGTCACTGATCACCGCTTAAGGAGCGACAGAAGTTGGCCGAGTCTTGGCCGAGGCCCTTATTTCTGCCTAGGGGATGCAACACTGCGCTTTCGAGTGCCATGGTACAACGAAATGCTACTCTACACTTCATCTTTTTGGTATTTGCCAGCCCCGCACCATCCTGAGGCATTTGTGACTGAGCTATTCGAGCCATTTCGAATCTCTCACATGCTATGCGCTTGTAATTCGTGGTCTTGGTCGCAAGGCAGCCACCGGTGTTTTGAATGCGCCATCAAATAGAAGTCGTCTACCTCGTGAAGTCGACATTGGATCACCTCGGTGTTTCCGTACGGATAGTGACTAGCGGAACTAAACATCGTCGAGGAGGTGCGAGCTAATTGTATTATGCTCAACCCAGTGCTGGCTATGATTTCAAGTTGATCGAGAGTGTGGCCCTACGGCACTTGGCATCCCCAACAGCCTCTATAGGCGTTGTGCTGAAATGACCGAAGCCCCGAAACGCCGATACTATTGAGATAAGGTTGCTGCGCTAAACGACGCCAGTCTTATCCAAGCCTGGGGTCCCCACGGGGAACGCGGGGAAGCCTGCTCACCTCGTACGCTTGTGGCATCGCCCTCAGCCTCGATTGGAGTTTTGATGGTCTAGACTTGCATCCCCAACGCAGTCCCCAACCATCTTCATTCATGTATAAAATAGTCTATCCTTGCTGCAATAATGATGGATATGAACTCTCCAAGTAGCCCTTCAACAGTCAACAACAACACAAACAGGCTATTGACTTCAGCAATGACCGTTCAACGCACAACATCCCACGCCAGTTCAATTGAGAAAGAAGCAGCTACCCACCTCGAAAACGATGCAGTATCCGATGAGTATCTCTCTCTCTTCCCCCTCCTGGCGAACAAAAGCCTTGAGGAGCGCCAGCAAATCGAAAAGAAGCTCAAGCGCAAGCTCGATTGGGTTTTCTTGCCGGTCGTCACACTCATGCTACTTATGGGCTACCTTGATCGCATCAACGTAGCCAATGCGCGGTTGGCAGGTATGCAGGAGGACTTGCACATGTCTGATACTATGTGGTCTGCTGGAATATCTCTGTTCTACGTTGGCTATATTGTCACTCAACTTCCTGCTACTGTCTACCTTGCCAAAGGTCTTCCGCGATGGCAGATGCCTGCCTATGTTATTGCTTGGTCTGTTGTTACAGCTTGTATGGCTGCTATGACTAGTGGATGGTCTTTCTTGGTATGCCGATTTATGGTCGGTGTTGCTGAGGGTCCTTTCCTTCCCATGGTTAGCTTGATGACTTCCTCTTGGTATACCAAAGAGGAGGCTCCTCTGAGGATGGCCATCTGGCATGCTGGTAACATCGCTTCCAATATCTTCTCCGGTCTGCTTGCGGCTGGTGTCTTGGAGAATATGAACGGTGTTGCTGGTATGCGTGCTTGGCAATGGTTCGTTATCTTGGAAGGTAAGTAAAGCCCGTTTTAAACCATGGAGTAACACTCTAACTCTTGCTTCCTACAGGTATCGTTGGACTCTTCGTCGCTGCTATGGGATTTTGGTGCATTCCCAACTTCCCTCACAACACCGGCACATACTTCATGACACCCGAGATGTCCGAGATGGCCCAATATCGAATGGTTGTCTCATCAGGCGGTCGATCCGAGGATGATGAAGGTGGTGCCTGGGAAGGTGTCAAGCTTGCTTGTCAAGACCCATTCACCTGGATTTACACGGTTCTTCACTTTGGTCTCATCGTCGCCCTTTCATTCAAGGACTTCTTCCCATCGGTAAGTCGCACCAGCAGTTTGCAGAAAGACATCGCAGTGATTAACATGTCCATACAGATTGTCAAGACCCTCGGATATTCGAACCTAATGACCTATCTCATCCAGGCACCACCATACATCTTTGCTTACATCGCCACCTGTGCGATCTCTTGGTCCTCAGGAAGATACATGGAGCATTGCTGGCATATCATCGGCAGCACAGTTGCTTGCATCGTTGGCGTCGTCATCATGATTTCCACACTGAACCCAGGTGCCCGATACTTTGGCATGTTTCTGTTGTGTGCCGGACCTTTTGTCGGCCTGAACGTACGTATCAAGTCCTTTGCTCTTAGGTATAGCTCCATGCTAACAGGAGTAGATCCACATTCCTTGGGAAACTACCAACGTGGCCCGCCCTCGCACAAAGCGTGGCGCTCTAGTGGCTATCACCAATTGCATCGCGTCGGTCTCGCATTGGTTCACGCCATACTTTTTCGTAAGTCCTCCCTGTACATTACTATCGACCCTCGCTGACCAGTCAAGCTTCGCTCCCAAGAGCCCCGCTACCAAAATGGTGGCATTCTGATCATTGCAGGCTGTGTCATGGGCATCATCGGCTGCCTGGTGTGCAAATGGTATGTCAAGAAACTCAACAAGAAGATGGAAGAGCACGAGGTGGCAAACAATCTGCCCAAGCGGTGGCGATACGTTGAGTAGGATCAGATTTGAGAGTAGTGCTGTCGGTCGCATCTGCTTGAGAAGGTGGGAGCTGTTCATTGGGAGTTATCACAGTTGCGCACTCGGTACGGAAATACATATGATCCTTCAATCTACGCTTCTTTTCGGTGTAATCAATTCTACTATCTCTGTCTGTGTTCAAGAGATTATGCGACTGCACAACAAGACCAGTCACCTTGCCTCTGATGCAGCCGCCTCCCCAACAAGAGAAGTACTATCCCGAATTCCCCAAGGTTCACTCCAGTGAGGGGTAGCCAGACCCTGTTCCGTGCCCCTTTGGTAATGCCATGACTTGAACTCGTGGGGCTGATAATGACTACCGGTAATCCGGCGAATGTCCGGATCTGTCGCCTTTCCAAAAGAGAGAGTTAAATATCCACTAGCAATTGCGACTATGGAAGTCTAGATGCAACAGTTTCTGCTGACTCGTGCTAACGCGGGGTAAGCATAAACTGGGCTGACCGGCGTTTCGGTGTTTCGGCGCTACGACACTAAGATAGCCCGTTGAAAATCCAATCTTCCCCGCTGACTCCGTCACTTTTCCCGACCGGCACAATCTCATTCGCAACACCAGATACCGGCGATTGATCGAAGATGATTGCGTGCACGCTCTGTCACAATCGCAAGGTCAGTGCGTCATAGAGATCGCCCGAGATCTTCAAGCCTTGCTGGGCCAGGTGTCAGACAGGCTAACACACCCCCAGGTCCGCTGTGAAGCCGACGGTGAATCAAACACTTGCATAACATGCAAGGCTGCAGGAGTTGAGTGCATGTGAGCATTCCACCACAGATCCAAATTTAGTCGGCTAAGGCTGATGTGATACCCCAGTCCACGCACCAGAAAGCGTCGTCGCGTGGGAGGTGCTTCTACGGCCCAACAGCCTGACCAAGACTACAGCACCGAGAACAGTCGAGACGTCTCGCAGTCGGCCAGGCCATGCATCGAGGTTAGAGATCCATACCAGACCCCATCTACAAGCCAAGCGACAACCTACATAGGTAGAGGCCACTACATCGCAGACGACGATGAGATAGATGAGTCAAGCGCTAGGGCATTTGAGCCGGCAAAGATAAAGGTAGGTCCTGACGCAAGCACCCAAAGGGAAACACTAGTCCTATGGAAAGCTTTGGACATACCGCCTCCAGCAGCGCGTCAAAGCCTACTCAGTGCTTTCCTTGACTATTGCAATTTATGGACGCCTGTTTTGGAACCCAAGGATATTCAGGACCTTTCGCATTTCGACCAGGAAAAGACTTCGATGCTCCTAGCTCAATCACTATGGTTGGCTGGCAGTCGAGTCACCACTGCGCCGTCGGTGGTTGCATTTGCTTCATCAGACGACTTCTACCACAGGGCTAAAGCAGTCTTTTGGTCTGGAGTCGAGACAGACGGATTATCTGCCATCAAAGCCTCACTGATGCTGCAATGGTACAATCCACAGGCTCCCGAGCATATCTCATTTGACAATAGTGGTTTCTGGCTTAAAATTGGAGTTGGTATTGCCCATCAAATTGGCCTACACAGGGAATCCCCTCCAGGACCGTTGAGGGCAATTCGACGGAGGTTGTGGTGGAGTTTGGTAGTACGAGACTCATTAATTTCTGTCGCGCACGGCAGACCAAGAGTCATCAATCTCGACGACAGCGACGTGCCGCCCCCGATGGCGAGCGACTTCCCAGACTCACTATTCGCTTTCCAGCTGTTCTCGGCGTGGGTGGATATCTGCACCGTACTTGGGGATATATCGTCTTGTTGCATGAGACGACACATGTCACGAACAAAACGACTCTATATCGTCAACTCACTATGTCGCTGGACAACGAATCTACCACAGGAGCTGTGGGTTGCGCCCAGCAATCAGCCACCACATAGCTATTTCGCAAACACCCACAACCTGCCCGCCCGTCAGCTGTATCTACCGTACCTCACCAGCTTAATAGTGCTTTCTCGAATGCAGCACTCTGCGGGATCCCTATCACTGACTGCCACGTTGGCCGCATCATTTGTCGCCCGTATTTTTGAGGACTTTCTGGCCAGAGATGAGATCAAAGTTTCGGCACCCATCAGTGTTCGGTATTGCCTCATTTCAAGCATGGCGCTAGTCTCCGTAATGCCCGACAAGCGACTTTGGGATGCTGTGCAGCCTGATTTAGAGGTATTACAACAAGCACTGACGGAACTGTCCAAGCGTTGGCGGTCAGCAATCGGGGCTTCTAGGGCTCTTCAGAATGCTATTAACAAGAGACAACAACGCACTGGGAGCTCTACGTCCGGACTGAGGATGGACAATGAGAGTTCTCTGGAGTACTTCAAGATGATAGATCTTAGTTACTGTCGCATATGGGGCACTCTGAGCGAGCAGCTATCGTCGAGCCCGCTGAAGACTCAAGAACAAATGCCCATGTCAGAGCCGATGCAACAACCACCTAGCGACGCTTTGGAGACAGGTCCATTCATTGATGGTGGAGAGGCCTGGGACCTGGGTGCGATTCAATTTGAGCATGTAGAGAACTGGATACTTAATGATGGGTTCTTGTTCGACCCTTAAATCAGCGTTCCCTGCTTTCGACTACATACAGCCCAATCTTCTCACAACTTATGCTTCTTCTTGCCTGTCCTCAGCTTCTCAAACTCCTTCTGTGGGATCCCTTGAACATTTCTCTCCAAAGCTCCAAACACTTCATCAACATTCTGCGCGTCCAATTCCCGTCTCGACCTTTGTCTAATCATCTTCTTGATCTGCAACATACTCGATGCATTCAGACCATCATGGAACCGTTCCTTGACCTCCTTGAGAACTTCGCTTCGATATGACTCAGCAGGACAATCGAAAATCTGATTCACAAAGCCTGTCGCAAGTAAATCCTTGCTGGTGATTCTCTTCCCCAGAATCAAGGCCTCGTTCGCTCTTGAGATACCCATGCGCTCTGCGAAAGCTATCGATGATACACCTTCGCTGATGAGGCCGAGGCTGGCGAACGGTGTCAAGAGATATGTTTCCCGTGTGCAGTAAATAAAATCGGCAAAGGCGATCAGCGCTGCAGCCATGCCCACCACGGGTCCATTGAGGGCTACGACCAAGATCTTGGGGTGCGTGTAGAACGCGCGGGCAAGATTCATGTTGCTTGCTACCGTGACGGTTAAATTGTGGCGATATAGATCTGTGCCTTCAGGCACCTTTCTAGACACAGACACGTCGGCGCCACTGCAGATGTATGTTAGTACGGTGGATATATGGAAATACGGAGAGTTTCCTTACGCTGAGAAGAATCTCCCAGTGCCCGTTAATACAGTTGCCACTACTTCATCGTGCTCTGCAACCTCTTGAAGTGTGCGTGCGAGCTGGTAGAACTCGTCTTTGGTTAGAGCGTTCAGCTTGTTGGGTTTATTGAGTGTAACGACGGCAATGGGGCCGTTGTATTCGACTTGGATTACTGTCATGGTTGCGATTCCGGTCAGAACGCTGGTCTGGATTCACAGTGATGTCTATGTTGGTGTTGGGGTTGTGTGCCGAGAGCTGAATTTGTGGCAAAGGTCAATTAGTATAACTCATTGCCAGGTCATTTAACTGGCTTGTTCTAGACTGCGTCCGCAAGGGATAAATCCGGTCATGGTTTAGGCCGAGTCATTTCGCCGAGACTCCGCTTCAGCAAACGCCGAACCACATCCCCGCTCGGCATTTCGGACACGGTGACAACCCCGCATTATCGGCACTTGACAACATCCGGATCTGGGGAAACGTGGGAGAGAAAGTAGATCTCAGATACTATCACAGTGAAAACCCATCCTAATAATTAAGTCTCGATGTCAATAAGAAAGATAGATGTTTTTACCTTTTCTGCGCCAAAGACAACCACGCATCACAAAGTTAATTAATTATCTGATCTCAATATGACTACAACTACCAATACGGACCGCACGCAGATGGTGCCATCTCACGATGGTCCACATGTCTTGCCTAACAACCCATTATTCACCAGACTGCTACGACACGCACACCGAGGCCGCATTGCCCTGAAGGACCGTCCGCTAGGCGTGTCCAAGACATATGGGGAGCTACTTGATGCGGTGCTGGCCTTTAGGGAGGTGGTACGCGAAGCTTTGCCTTCCGAGGTGCAGCGACGGCTGAGCAACGGCGATGAAGTCTATGTGGGCGTGTTGGCTGCAGGTGGCTACGAGTTTACGGTCGCTGTGCTGACAGTCTTGGCGTTGGGAGCAGCTGTGGTGCCCATGTGTGCGTATATACTCTGTTCCGAGATGTCATTCATTAACTAACTTATCAGTCCCCATGGCGCCTGCAGACGAGGTTGTCTACTACGCTACCAAGTCGAAGCAAGTAGCCATACTATCCACCTCAGCGACAACAAAACTTGCTCAAGACGCGGCGCATCGCTGTGGAATTGTACAAGTCGGTATTCTACCCAACCTACCTCGAATAACCCGGCTGCAGCCACACGACATATCGCTATCATCCAACTCTCCACAAGACCCTAGAGGACCCGGCGTGGTCATCTTCACTTCTGGAACAACTGGTAAGCCTAAGGGTGTAGTCCTACGACGTACATACACGCACGAGGGCGCCATCTCGGTCGGCGACAGCTATGGCGTCACGCACACAGATGTACTCCTGCACACACTACCAGTACACCACCAGACCGGTCTCGGAACATCGTTCTTTCCCTTTCTCAACGCGGGCGCGTGCATCGAGTTCCATGGCAAATTCGACGCAGCGACCGTCATGCAGCGCTGGCTACAGGGCGGTCTAACTATCTTTTCCGCCGTGCCCACCATCTACATGCGCCTGAAGTGGTTCATCGAGCAGCTCCCCGAGAAAGAACAGATTCCTTATAAGCAATCAGCTGGCCAGTTTCGTGCTTTCCTTTGCGGATCAAGCGCTCTGCAGGAGCATGTGCAGGACTTCTGGACCGAGTCCATGGGTAGATCCATTCTTCCACGTTATGGTGCGACGGAGATTCCTGGTTGTCTTCGTGTGTCTGTTGATCTGCATGATGCTCCCAAGGGAAGCGTGGGCCAGGCTATGCCAGGCGTGGAAGTCAAGATCTCGCCCGAAGGTGAACTGTTAGTCAAGACGCCGAATATGTTTGCCAAGTAAGTATTTCCATCCCAATCATCAATATGTCCATGGCTGACCAGCAACCAAGGTACCTTGAGGATCCAGAGGCAACTAAGAATGCCCATGATAGCGAAGGCTGGTACAAGACTGGTGACATCGCACGACGTGAAGGTAACTTCTACTTCATCGTGGGCCGCGCCTCAGTCGACATCATAAAGTCGGGTGGATACAAGATCTCAGCATTGGACGTTGAGCGCGCATGCCTGACGCTGCCATATGTAAATGAGGCTATGGTAGTCGGCGTCGAAGACGAGGAGTTTGGGCAGCGTGTCGGCGCAGTATTTGCAGTTAAGGATGTGAAAGCGTCAGATGTCACCCTGGCCGACGTAAGGGAAATACTTAGAAACCAGTTGGCTGGGTATAAGCTACCGACTGTGCTGAGGGTTGTAGAGGGGGAGCTTCCCAAGGGTAATACTGGCAAGGTACAGAAGAAGATCCTGGGACCGCAGCTGATTCCCAGTCCTGGATATGAGCAGATGCCCGAGGTGCAGGTATGGAAGACCCGGACTCAGGCTGGGTTGGTGCAGGCAAGACTATAGGTCACGATGGTATCTTCAATGACTGGGAGTATATGGAGACTGTAGCTAGTGAAATTGTACATGTTGGCCTCTGAGACGTAGAACCCTTGCTGCAAATGATGTGAATTGATGCAACTCGAAACCCGCTGAAGTGTCTTGGTGAAGGGCTCACACGTTTGTACATCTACCCCCCGAAAGGTTCACAGTGGCTATTTCTCTTTTACTCCGTAATGCCCATCTCCGTAAACGCCGAAAACCGGAGTTGGGCTTATTTATACCAACTTGGTTCACGAATTGTCTTCTCAACATATTTTAAACTCTTTCTTCTTACGAACTCGCAGGCTTACGCGCAAATACCATATTTATAACTACAAAGAGTCTCATACAGCCACCAATATGACCACACCAACTTCCTTCACAGTCACCAAAGGGCCTATCACTATCGAGGCACTGGACCAAGGCACTGGTCCCGGCATCGTGATTCTTCCTTCACTAGCGCGTGGAGCAAACGACTACGATGTTGTCGCCCCAATCCTCGCCAGAGCTGGCTATCGCGTCATCCGTCCCCAGCCCCGCGGTATCGGTAAAAGCAAAGGACCTATGGACAACTTAACCTTGCACGACTTCGCCGCCGACGTGGCCATGGTCCTAGACCACATCAACTGCGGCCCGTCCGTCATCGTGGGTCACGCTTGGGGAAGCATGCCGGCGCGCATGCTAGCCGCCGACCGTCCAGATCTTGTTCGCGGGGTCGTCATGGCAGCTGCCTCAGCAGGGAAATTGCCTCCGGGCTCTACCGAGAAACCATTCAGCCGACTGCGCACCGAAATTGACGGGTCGGGGGACATGACCCTTCCTGAGTCCAAGCGACTTGAGTACCTGCGAGCTGCCTTCTTCGGGCCTGAAGGCAACCCGCGGTTGTGGCTAGACGGGTGGAACGACGCGACGCATCATGCTCAGGCGCATGCGCGTATGCATACGCCGGTTGACGAGTATTTCAGTGCAGGTGACACGATTCCCATTTTGGATCTCCAGGCTGAGCACGATGCTGTTGTTGTGAAGGATGTGATGAAGCCGTGTTTAGGTGATCGTGTCGCGGTGCAGGTTATCAAGGGTGCCGGCCATGCTTTGGCGCCGGAACAACCAGAGGCTATGGCCGACGCGATCATCAATTTTGTTAGAAACATTTAAACTAGATTTACTTAGCAATTATTTATGTTGGTCGTTTAAACAGCCCTGTTACCGACGCCGATGGAGCATTCGTGTTCAACCATGTGAGAGGATGTGCATGATGATTCATTTTATTCAACCACTAAGTCGCCGAGGTGTCGACGTGAATAGAAGACATAGGACATTGACTTGAGGAATATCAGGTAAATACACAAAAACTTCATAAAAGCTTCATTACATGTCTTCCATCTTCGCAGTATGTAATCTACCTGTGGTAACGAAGCTACGCAAACACTCAAATGAACGACATCCTTCGGTATGGCGGGGAGTCTAGGGTATGATACACTCCGACATCACTAGAATCACTGAAAGCATGCTGGGGTCCACTCGGCGGTTCAGCCTAGCTCCCCCGGAGTTACAATGCATCCCATTCGACAATGTTGCCACTCTGGCTAAGGAGACTAGCCACTTCGAGACCAGTCGGTCTCCGCATTCTTACGGAGCTTCGGCTAGTCTCCACGGCGTTTCAACGACACACTGAGATGGCCATAACGCCGAGACCCACTAGAAACATTGGCTCAAGAGAGTCATGGATTAAATGTCAAGCTGTAAATCATCAACACCATCACAATCATCATCAGCTTCACAATAATTTACTCGCGTTATTATCTCAATTATGTATCAAGATCTCAGCCTCGAGCGCCGCGGAGACGTTTTCATTCTCACTCTTCAGAAGCCACCAGAGAACCGTCTCACATCGCAATTCTGCCAAGAGATCATCCGGGCTCTTAACAATGTCCGCAAGGAACTAGGCCCTGACGCGCCTGGCGCTGTCATCATTAGAGGCAACGATGCCAAATTCTTTTGCACGGTATGGAGTTCACCCATGGCTGGTTAAACAGCTACTAAATGCTTTGCACAGGGATTGGATCTACACGAACGAGATACGAACCCACATGCCAGCTCCGAGGGATTCTATCCGGTAAGAATATCATCTAAACTTTATTGTAATTTGCTGACTCACACATGCCCAGCTTGTCGCAACTCTCCTGGACTTCCCGTTCCCAACTATCTGCCTCATTACTGGGCACACATTCGGAGGCGCCTCTGTCATGACATTAGCACATGATTATCGCATCATGAACAGCACCCGAGGGTACTGGTGTATGCCTGTAGCTGAACTGGGCCTGCATTTCGACGGAATGGGTGCTTTGCTGAGAGCCAAGTTGAGACCACAGACAGCCAGGAAGGTTATTCTTCAGGGCCATAGGTTTACCTCCAGTGAGGCATTGGCGGATGGCGTTGTGGATGAGATTGCCCCACCGGAAGAAATGTTGGATCGTGCTCTGGAGCTCGCTGATAAGGTCAAGTCGAAGGCAAAGATGGGGGTTTACGGATTGCTGAGGGGAGAGCTCTATGGGGAGGCGCTGAGGGCGTTTCAGCAGATTAGTTATGTTCATTCTCGTCTTAATTCGCGCCCGGCAAAGGTTAAGCTGTAGTCTCTAGTCATTAATGAGTTTGAAAATGGTACATCAGTTATTTCACCTGGTTTGAGGTCCTTGCATCCGCCTGTCTGATGTACATTTGCTAGCCCTGAAGACTATCTACACTAGTCGTCTTGTAGCTCCTGACGGTGTGAGGTGCAAAACACGGCACAATTCTGTGCATTTGCTGGGTTGTCAAGGATAGCTGAAACTGACCTTGAATGGCATCGGAACTGCACTGATCAAGTCACGGAAGTGTATTTCCACTAAATCGAGAGGTTAAAGGATGTTCTAGCTAGGTATTGGGGGTTGGCTGTTCTAATCAAGCATTGTGTTCACTACATGCGTCAACATGATCTTATACAGCTTAAAGAAAAACGCTCCTACACGGTATTCAATTTACTTTTTTTTAAATCTACTTCATACAACTCTATTACTCCATCACTACCGTCATGGAAGCGTCCATGTCTACATCTCCAGCGTTCTGACAGTCTGCATCACCCTGCAGCGACACATCCTCCTTCAACAATGCATCGATCCAGTCATCGCCTAGCCCGTCCCCCAAAACCACATCTTCTGCGTCAGTGAAGTCCGTCGCTGCTATTTCGATCCCTTGGCGCGGCGAAAGTTGGTCCAGGACGCTTCTTTCACCGGGCGCAGTCTCCCCCACCCAATGATCCATCGAGGCTGGCGAGTATGTCTCATCGGATGCCTCGGTAAGACAGGACTGTATGATATTGCTAAAATGTTCACCCAGGGCATCTAGGTAATTGGTTGCGCCACCTGCTGCTGGCTCTCCACCGTATGATACTGGAGGTGACCTATGATCGAAGCTTCGCTGAGACGGAGTTGGAAACACTTTCTCAACACGGGAACGTCGGCTCGATAGCATTTGACCTTCACTGAGTGAGGCGAACATGTCTGTTTCAGGCATTGGTCCACCCCAAGAGATGATAGTGTCCAGTTTCTCGACGAGACGAGCATACAGTCTCGGTCTTGTATCCAGCAGTTCCCTCCAGCTGCCTATTTGGAGTGGTTCTTTACCGGGCGGGAGGACATCCTCCTGCAGGACCTGAGTCAGCGTGTGGTTGACAGCCTTCACTGCTTGCAATATGTAATCGAGCTCATCTCTGTAATGCAACCTTAGACACGTCATGACCTTGCGCACCCACTCTGGGCAACGGGGAACATGTGACGGCGTCGGTTGCTTTGTATTCAAGAGATACAAGAGCAGTGGAAGTGCTGTACAGAATATCCTGGACGAATGTGCGTCAGCTTCACCGGCTATTTGGAATCGATTGAGTCTACTCACATGCTTTCCGGAACCTGGGAAAGATACTGCTGTTGCAGGGAATCCGAGAGGCGATCTGTTAAGCTGATTATGCAACTCGAAATATCGTGTTTCGGTTCACGAAGGGGTCGCTCGTGCATCCTATAAGGTGAGGCTGCCAAGCGGGAGCTCGTTGCAAGGCTTAGGACTTCACTCTGACAGAGCGACAACATGGTAGAACTATTGCGTAAGGTCAGTTAATCTCAGCACTGCAGAGTACTTGGAAGATCATATGGAAGGTGACTTACTCATAATGGATGTACATCATGCTTACCAGAAGCTCTACAGGGTCATGCCTTGAGGTTCCATGTTCTCTTTCATCATTTGAGCTGACAGGCGAGTCGCCCAACGCGGAGTCTTGTCCAGAGATCAAGAGTGCCAAGCTATTACTATACCATGACTTCAGCTGCTCTTTGCACTCGAGGAGCTCGTGGTCGTTTCCACTGAGCCTCAACGCACTGGAAGTTCCGTTTTGAGGGTAGACTAGGCCTAGAACTCTTCTCAAAATGATGATGAGGGAAGACAGCTGTTGATGGGTCTCAATAAGTTGCTGCTTCGATTCAACGCCATACACGCGGGAACGTCCAATCTCATGCGACAGATCGGCACGAGAAAGGACGGCGTGGTCTTCAGCCATGCCAGGAGGCATCATGAGCGGTCGACGGGTGTACAAACTGTGAATACAGTCACTGAGGATGCAACATCCTAAGAGCCGTCTCAGGTTGCTGTGGCTGAAGCGGGTTTTAGGCGTTGTCACAAGCTTGGCCTGCGCGATGGCATCTTGGCAGTGAGAAATCGCCCGGCTGAGCCATTGACTTCTCGTTCTAGAGGCTTTCTGTACAGGCCAGTGGGCAAGGAGAAGAGAGACCCGGGCCAGTACGATTGGCGATGACTCTGTCTCTTGGTCGTATAGAAGCTGCAAAGGAAATTAGCCGTGAAACTAAACTTGTTCAAGGTGAACGCACTTGAGTCTTCCGAAGAAACCTTTTCCGCGCGTCGTAAGCGGAATCAAGCTGCAGACCTGAAATGACATGATGATCGACATACTTAAGACCATTAGTCCAGATCCCCAACATGACCGATTGTAACACTTACTTTACACGCCACGAACAGCATAGCTGAAAGTAGTATAACAGGAATTCGACTAGCCTTGCCGACAGAGTCGTAAGTAGACCAGAACTCAGCTTCGTTAACCACAGGCAAGATAGGATGAGCATAACGAAAGTACGCCCGGACTAGATCGTCCAAGAAGGTACTCTCGGGCACTTTGAAACATCCTTGGGCTTCTAGGTAATTTACATCATCTGTATGTAGAGAGCGGAGATTGGTGATACAAAGGAAAGGATAATAGGCAAATGTAATCTCAGGCTGATGGTCATGTTTCGGACTTGGCTGTGCTAGCTTGGGTGTCTCCAGCGCCTCATCGGCTGAGAAGGTAGGTAAATCTTCATCTTCCTGGGGAGATGGCAGAGGCTCGATGACTGTCTTTGTACTTGACCTTCTGGGCTTCTCTGTGCGGTTTCTGATGTATACATGTTAGTGAGAGACCAATGGACAAGACGAAAGCCTCCCAGGTTGCTTGGCCTTACCTGTGGTGATGAGGGCGGCGACAAGTTACGACACATTGCTTACTGTCAAGGACACAGTTGGTGCAAGTATTATCACGGACGAATGCCACGTCGCAGCGGACCTTTCGCTCTCTGCAGGACAGGCATGCCCTGCCATCCATCTTGTTAGCCGAGCTTTGTGGAGGGACGGGATTTTGCTGAATATCACATGACTTACCTGGGTGATCTCTTTCGAGCATCTTGCCGTCTCTGCCTCGGCTTGGCTTCGTCGTTTTCAGTCATTGTCATCTTTAAACTTGAACCGAGGTTTGAGTCAGATAGGATACCGAACGACGTTATCAGGACAGAATCATCAGTACGGATATGATGCAAGTCATTCAAGCCTCCATATAGACCAAGCAAGAGCTGTATCTGAATCGGAGGCTACCCGAGCTAATCCGGTTCCCGTCTGGGGAAATCCGGGGTGACTCCGTGTGTGGATCTAAAACACCGAACGTGTCTTGATAACGTTTATAACGCCGAATTCAGCTCTATAACGCCGAGTGGGGCTCTACAACACCGACTGAGGCTTGGAAGCTAGCTAGTGCGAATGAAGCGGGATTGGATCCCAGAGCTGAGACTTAAAGACTTGATTCGGTGTCGAGTAGTATTGACTGGACTCGTAGTGAAGGAAGAACAAGAACAGTAATCATGGCTGAACGCGTCGCTCAAATTGCATCTCACATTACCTACCCAAGAGGTCTTCTCGCGGGACAAACTGCAATAATCACGGGAAGTGGACAGGGCATCGGCGCCGAAGCAGCGCGTCTATTTGCTCAAGAGGGTGCAAAAGTAGTTGTTTGCGACGTTGATTCAGGTAATTCCCCCAGCAAGTATACAGAATTATGCTAACAATTTGTCTAGCCAAAGCACAAGGTGTAGCTGATAAGATCACCAATTCTGGAGGTCAAGCTATCGCAGTCGCTGGCGATGTTACAGACAAAGACTACATCAACCAGCTCGTCAAGCGCGCAGCTGAATTCGGAGGAGGAGAGATTCATATCATCGTGAACAATGCTGGCTACACATGGGACGGCGTGGTTCATAAGATGACTGATAAACAATGGGATGCGATGTCCAGCATTCATGGCAATGCTCCCTTCCAGCTTATCCGTGCCGCAGCACCCTATTTCCGGGTCAAGGATGGAAAGCAAAGAAATATCGTTGGCATATCTTCAACATCGGGAGTGCACGGAAACGCGGGTCAATCCAATTACGCTTTCTTTAAAGCTGGCGTGGTCGGACTGATGAAGACGATTGCAAAGGAATGGGGTCCGGGGTTTAACGTTCGGGCCAACACAGTGGCGTTTGGGTACATTGAGACGCGACTTACACAGGCGAAAGAGGATGGGGCGTTCATTACGGGTCCAGACGGGGAGAAGATCCAGCTTGGTGTTCCTGGAAGGGATGGAAAGTCTTCGTTTGAAGATATCCCACTTCGCAGGCCAGGCTCGGCAGAAGACGCTGCCAAAGTCATACTGGCTGTATGTAGTCCTCTGTTTTCGTATGTCACTGGACAGGTGATCAGTGTAACAGGAGGTAGAAATATGTGAGACTAGTTATACTTTACCTTAATTCACATCTCGTTACTCTAGAAAGTATTGAACTCTGGTTAGCATGCTTTAAAATTTACTGTCAAAGATATGCCGTCTGTCACGTCAAGAGAATGGACAATAGAGAATTTGTAAGGACGGAATAATTTCTAGTGATACAATGTTTCTTAAAGCTTCCCTTTGGTTGCTTTTGCCTTCTTGTTCCCAAGATTTCGCGATGCTGAAAGAACCAGGTTCACATGACTAGCAACCGCAACCAGGTCCCCTTCCATATTCAAAATACTCACCTGCAAGTCAAGCCGTCCTTGATCTATCTTCCTGGCTTCAGTCCTGATAAACAGCCACTCTACACCTTCTTTTGGCAATAGCTTCTTGATGTCAAGGTTCATGACAAGTGTCGGGTACCAAAATGGATCATTCCTCGAGAAAGGCACCGCTTCGCTGCTCTCGCCAGGCAGTGGTCTCCAGCCCTCAACAACATAAGGCTTCGCGTCCGCAACAAGAGGTAGTGTGGCGTTGCTGAGGCGCTCTCCGCTTGATAGTCGAATCCATGCATCTTCAAGGCCTTTGCGCCCGGGCTGTCGCCGATAATATGACTCAAAGACACCTTCCACTGCGCGCACGAACCCTAGAGATGCCAAGTGGTCTATCTGGATACGACCCGCTTTTGACGACCAGCTTGGGTCCCCTCCCTTGACAGCGCGCTCAAAGTCAATAGGCGGGACCGGAGGAAGGAGTTGCCAGCCGGTAGCGAGAGTCAGGCCGCCTGGTGTCGGAGCCAGACATACAAAGTAGCCAAGAACACACTTTCGTGTACCGTGAAGAAGGACTGCATGAAAGGTGGAGGTTGCGCGACCGCTCTTGATGGTCTCGATAGCGATCTTTGCCTGGCCTATCTGAGTGCGATTGACGTATTGGAGTTGAGCTGAAATGATGTCTTGTTTGAGACCAAGATTCCGAACGTGGCTCTCGACTGCTTGGTACATTACGCTCGCAACATACCCGCCGTTTGGCACTGCGATTCATGTGAGTTGTTGGTTTTCGTAGAAATCTGATAGGATGACAAACCGGCTCCTACGCAGTAATCTTGGATAAGGTTGCCGCTCCATGAATCATCCGTAAGCTGAGCCACGGATACAGCCTTTTTGAATGGTACAATAGATGAAATCATGTTGTCAAGATACAATTTCTTGCAGGGAGCAATACCAGCAACTTGCACTATTGATAGGTGTATATGTTCTGGTCGGGTGGGAGCTCCATACTTTTTGAACTCGGAGGTATCGCATTGTCGCTTGCTATCCAAAGCCCCATGGGGTAAAGCCTGACGGCGTTTGTCCCCTCCCCCCCCACTAAAAGACGGGGACCTCGGTAAAAGTTTAGCTTACCCTGAACCTTTGAGACTACTGTTGAGACAGCGGCGATATGAGAAGGCTGCTGTAACGAAGAGCGAACTTTAACTAGTAAGACTTGAGATCCTGGTGAATTGCAATTGCTTACTGTAGTCTTTAACTTCCTGAGCGTCGAGAATGGAATACCGGACCAAGTGGTATCTCGAAAAGAATTACGCTCATTGTTCGTTGCTGTCATTGCCCACGAAACGCCAATGTCACCAACATAATGGGAGCAAAATCTTCAAGAAGGAATTTCGAATGTGAATAATTTCACCAACCAACAAATTGTTACAAAGTATATAGACACGACCGATCGTTATAGAGGTTTGTCTTGCGATAATTCTTTCCCGTACACTAAAGGAAGTTGACCTGTTTCTTATCAATTCACTCACTCAGCTTCCATTACAATGCCACAACAAGTGGATCTTGCTCACCAGGTGTCTAAATGCAACTTAAAATTCGCATGGAATTCAGTCTGCTTATACTTTGAGGGACCTTCTATGCTTCAAAAGGCGACTACAAAGTATGAGGATACCTCCAGTGAGAATAGTCGACCCTGCCCAGATCCATGCCGCCGCATACCCCAACGACTTTCTCAGAGCACCACCAACAGGTGGTCCGAACAGCAGTGCAAACGACATCACAGAGAAGGCCATACCGAATCTAGTTCCAATCCTTCGAGGATCAACCGTCAGCCTGACAAATATCGTAGGCTGCATGGCGAAAAAGGACCCGTTAATGAAACCTTGGACGATGACCGTAGCAAGCAGGCGAGGCGCGGTCGTCGCCACAATAAGGCTGAAGCTTGTGATGGCCAAGCCTGCTGTAGCTCCGATGATGGTGTTCATAGGTCCCAAGTACTGAGCCAGGAAAGCAGGCACAATACGTCCAAAGATAGAACTGCTGTTTAAGATAGCTAAAAGGTAGAGAGCTAGATCGGGCGAGACAATATCGTGTTCAAGAGCATAGCTTTGGACATACACGAACGGTGTATACATGCCCAAGAAGACTGAAGAGCATCCAACGACAAACGTCAGATAAGGCCAGTCAGTGAAGGCAGTCTGATCAACGAACGGTCGTCGCGACGTCCCGCTCCCACGGGGGCGAAGTACAACATTAGAGAACAGCAGTAGAACTAGCAGAATGAGTGCCATAGCTCTTGTTGCCCATTGAAGAGTTGTCTGGATGCTGAGCTCCCGGATCATGATTGGCAGAACCACACTGCGAAACTCGTCAGTTTAAGACACAACAATAGTCGATTTGACCACTTACCCGCCGAGTCCACTTCCGCACGCCGCAAGGCCATTCGCAAGAGGCAATCTCTTAGTGAACCACAATGAAGGAATGGCCACGCTCAAGATAGACAGACAGCCAGTACCGATACCGATCATGAGTCCCTGTGTCAGAAGGTACTGCCAGTACGTTGTGGATATGCTTTGAAGCACAGTTCCGACTACGATAAAGACCGATCCGACACCAAGCAAGTGTCTGAAGTATCCAGAGTCGTAGATCGGTCCTACGATGAAGCCTGAAAAGACCATAATAAATGTCTGCAAGGAACCAATGACTGATATCTGGAATGGTGTATGAACAGTAAGCTCATCGCGTTCATAGATAGCCTGAAAGCTTCCAAAGCTTCCAATGACGCCTGTAACTTAGTCAGTTTCTGCCATCATGCTTATACAGAAAGGCATCGTACCCCATGTGCAGAAGTAAAGACAGAACGACCCAGCTACCTGTAGCCAGGCCAACAGCCCACCGTCTGAGGGTCCATCATGGACTGAAGGGCGGTTGTTCCCGATGCTGACTGCTCCCTTGGGGTCTTGCATGACTGATAATCGGTTGATAACTGTGAAGTCGCAAGAAGAAACTAGCTTGTCGACCTTGTTATGAGCAGGTGACGAGTTACTAAACTGGGCATTGATGAAAAGTCAAACCGGAGTACTCCGTACAACCGCAAAGATTGATAAGCAGCCCCATCTATCCCGAATCATGCAGCGGCAAGGCAAATCTGTACTTCGTACGTTATTTCCCTGTCTAGCCTGTCGATTCGATTCTGCAAGCACGCAAGCATGTAATTAAAAGCTGACCCCTGCAAGGTGGACCATCGTGCAACGTAACAAGTCTAAAGAACTAAACTGGCGAATCATGACAAGAGAGACATGGGTTAGGTGATAAGATCCGTACAGGAAGTATATCCGACTACTACGGTGCTGTTGAAATTTCCTGTTTCAAAGGGAAGAATTAAGTAACTTCTACGGATACCACTTTGTCGTTCAAAATTGTCGTATTAGGCAGGTGGCTCGTTCGGAAACACCCTTCTGGTAATCCTGGTCAGGAAAAGATCTTATCCCTCGCGAGATTTTCAGGATGTCACTGAATTGTCACAAAGACGCGGGCGACTAAAAAGATAAGATGGGAAGGTGGGATGCAACCGCTGTGATTGCCGAGGCTCAGTATTCTAAACGCGTATTCATGCTTTATGTAATTCGAGCGCAGCACGAACATGTTAATATTAGTCAAGCCTGTTTCGGCTAAAAACCTTGTTTGATGTAGTGCCGATGGCCTTAATTTACAGCCTGTTCCAGGGAAAGGGATTGCTCGACAACAATCAAATAAACCAGGTCGTGAATTTATGATACGTTTTGCGCAACTGGGGATAGAACGACACGTACCAATTCCAGGTTTTTTTGGGTTGATTCTCCAGTTGTACAGTTGAAAGCAACGTAACAGACAACAACACAGCTGAAAGGATCCAACTTACAAGGAATTGTTTCCTGAACCAAATTATGATATACGATGTATTATGAATGACACAAAATACTTTCTACTACCTTGATCGTGTGGAGTAAGTATCTAGGTACACTTTCCATCCTTGATCTTCAATACCACATCCAACATACCCGACATACATATCCGGTCGCACAACCACTACCAGGGAATCTCCAGCCGTAAGCCAATCGGCAGTGAAGTCCCAATCAACAGCCTGATTAACCGTATCATGTGGCAAAATGTTATATACCACAGACGGAACAAGATCAGCGGAGATGCGTTTCCCGATTGACAGAACGAAAAAGTGCCCGTAGGAAACATTGGCGTACAGTCGGGTGGCTTCGCCAGCGTCAGTGTGCAGAGTCATATCGGGGCAGCGATATCCCGGCTTCCAAATCCCCTGTTCCACACCCTGCACAAGAGGCGTGACGAACTCGTTGTAGTTGACACCCATACCTATACATGTCAGTATCGAGTAACAGATGACGTACTGTGCACAACTCACCTGTGATATACCCAGCGTTTCGTTCAATGGTAGAGACATATTTCTTGGCTGTATGGACCGTGTCCCTAACCAACGCTGCCGCCACTCCAATGACTTGAGCGGCTGTACCTCTTCGCTCAATGTCGTAGCTACTGAGAATATCTTGTTTCGCTCTGGCAGTGATCCCAGATGATGTCACAAGCGATGATAAACGCCAAGCTAAAGCGAAGGCATCAGAGACACCGGTGTTAAGGCCTTGGCCACCATTGACGGAGTGAACGTGTGCGGCGTCTCCAGCAAGAATAATTCTGCCATATCCATCTTTGGAGATAAAGTTACTAGCAATTCTCTCCTTAACTATAATCCGGTTAGTAAGATGAATAACGACAAATGATAGCGACGTACCAGTAAATGTGCTGAACCACTCTGTCTTTGTGAAACCAACTCGGTAAGGCGCGAGATGCTTCTTAATAGATTCTTCGGCGAGTTGTCGCGTGACCTCACCCTTAAGCAAGACATAGAAACGAGACATTCCTCGCTCACGTGGAATCCACGCCACTCTTGACTCCCCATCAAGCTCGAAGGTAATGATCTCGGGACAAACAGGAAAATCAGTATCCAAGAAAGTATCGAGAACAGCCCAGGTCATCTCAGGTTTCGTTCCTGTGAAGCTGATACCCAGAGACTTTCTGACGAAAGATCGTGCACCGTCCGCACCAACGACATACATGCTTCGTACGGTCCGACCCGAACTCGTCGTGACTTTGACAGAGCCGTCTTCTTCGACGACGCTTGTTACATGTTCGTTGTAGCTCACTTTACCTCCCAGACGCTGTCGCATAACTCTTTCCACTTCGGGCTGACCGATCATGAGAAAGTTCTTGTGCAATGCATGCTCAATGCCAACCCACCAAGCATTCTGACGCGACTTGAAATCGCCCTCTTTGAATGTTGAACTGGCTATGGCTTGTTAGTCCGAGTTCTGGAGAGGGTTTGAAATTTCCTACTATTGCATTTGAGACCATGAGGTAGAAGCTCATCAAGAATGCCTGCAACTTCGAAGTATTGCTGAGTACGAGCATTGAGGGCGTCGGCGCGACCTAGCTCTAGCGTTGAAGGCTTCGCATCTGATCTCATATTAGATTATAGAGTTGTTGCTCAGTCATGTTGAGCTACTTACCGAGAACTCGTACTGAGACGTTCAGCTGTTGGAGGAGGAGGGCTACGAAGAGACCAGTTGGGCCTCCACCGATAACAGTAACGTCGACTTGTTCCATATTTGCGATTGTCTTCAAAGTGCACGTTCAATTCAATCCACGAAAGTTGAAAAGGACGTCAGATGTTGTAAAATGTTTTGATACATATTTTGTGACCACCTTCCGAATGCATCAGTTAGCAAATAAGAGCCATTCTAGGATCAAGGGTTTGAATGCTTAATGCGGTATCCATATTTCCGATCAACTTTGATCCACTTTTCCCTGCCCAAACGATGACCAAACGAGGGCCCAAACGAGTATTCGTCGACCGGTGGGATACCGCGCGGGATGCCGAAAAATCTTCCCGACTTCTTTACCTCAAGAATTGAAAGAATTTGTCAACCTCGTAGGAACTGGTGTGATTGAGTCGTGACATGCATGGATTATTGAGATTATCTGATGGAGATCTTTCCTCGGAAACGGCGAAACCACGGCCTTGGCAACCAACTTCGCCGACGGACTTCTTACTACCCTGATTTGGATCCATGTAAGTTACACTGAAACCTTCCTTAAGCGGAACTGGTTGTTGAATCAACTTTGTTGATAGGAGGTTCACCGATGGGTTTGCTCGATGCAGGATCCTTCTATCACCTCTTGGTCACTTAGAGGACTTTGCCACAGGTGGTCTTGTGGTCCACTACTTGCACCATTTGGTAAGAATTATCTTTGTGAAACGCGATGGTTAAACTCGGGGGATGCCGTACTTGTACCTGACATCTGCCATCGGAACCCTCCGTTCAAGATACTTATTTCCCCTTCATCTCCTTCCTGCCCTGACGACCATCTTCATCTGCATCCGGGTTTGGCTGTTATTGCCAACTTTCGAGCCGAAACCCTCTACCTTACATAGTCTCCTTCAACTGCGTCATGGCTGTAGTTAAACACTCTTCCAGTCTGCCCTTCCAAACGGAAGAGGCAGCAAGTACAGCCCAAACCTTGCCGCTTCTCCTCGACGCCACAGCCCTTGAAACCTCAAGCAAAATCCTCCATGTCATCAAGAGGTATCGCATGTGGCAAGAAGAGATAACGTCAGATGAATCGACTCTCAAGTTCATCGCCCTCATCTACAAACACGTCAAGGCAGGAAACTCAGTACCTCTCTGCCTGCCAGCCTTTCCGTTCAAGTCACCCAACTCGACTTCAAAAACCTTGGGCAAACTTCCTGATAAGGGAGAAGAGATTGCACTCGCTCACTTGAACGGTCTTTGCAGTGCCATTGGAGACGTATATCCTCCTGGCGCCATACTGACTATTGTATCAGATGGCCTTGTGTACAATGGTTTGTAATAGCTTGATCCGCCACTCAGAATCTTCCTGCTAACGTCCACCAGACTTACTAGGTGTCCCGGATAAAGATGTCTGGGCATATGGTGAGACTCTTCGATCCATGGCAGCCGACATGGACTTCAAGAATCTCTCTTTCTCGCGTCTACGAGACCTAGTAGACATAGATATGCCAAAGGACCTGGAAGAGATGACTTATGTGGCCAATGCCTCAAATTTCCGCCATGCACTTCTGAATACTTTCAGTAAACCTGGTTGGAGCTGGGATCAAGTCCAGCAAATGGAAGATCAATGCATGACTTATCGCAGCTACATCAAGTTTCTTCAAACGGATTTACAGACGGTGTACCCACTTGATGATTCTCGAAGCAAGTCGGCATACAAGAAGGGTATTGAGTACATTGCTAAGCAGATGATGGCTCGTGGAGAGGTAAGCAGCCTTTTTTGATGTAGATTGTTCACACGCTCCGGTACTAATATCCGCCAGGCCTTTGCTAATGCAGTCCGACAAAGGTATCCTGACCATATCCGCCTATCTATTCATCCATCAACTGGAACTACAAAGCTTTCTATCAGTCTGCTACCTACTGAACAACTCTACAAAACACCGTGGCACTGTAGCGTGGCTTATCGGTTGGATGGCACTATCAGGACCGGTATGCGATCAGAGTTTGAAAACGACCCAACTCTCGAACTAGTCCATGAGAAGGGTCGGCCTTCCTATTTTCGAGAGAAATCTTCTCTATTCTCATGGGCCGAAGACAAAGGTGGTATAATTGCCACTCCAATGTACCCTTCGGGTATAACTATTCGTCCTACCAACGGTCCTGGATCTTTGACACTCGAAGACATCGACACGCAGAAAGTGCGTGCCCTCTCGGAGATCAATTCACCTGTGGTTCTCAAAGGATTTGTGAAGAAGCCGAATCGCGACAGGCTGACTGACTTGAGCCACCGATTTGGAACGCCACTTCCATGGAAATTCGGTCTGCTGCTCGAAGTCAGGGATCGTGGCCAAGATGCACAAGGGCTGAACAATGTCCTGTCAGCAGAGCCTATGCCCATGCATTATGATGGATTATTCAAATTGGTTAAAACGGTGGATGAGAATGGCCAAGATAAAATGGTTTCAACTCCACCACGGTAAGCAGCACTTTATGACCTACAAATCTCCCCCCACTGACTCATTGATGTAGATTTCAACTTTTTCACGGTGCCACCTCTTCGCCTAAAGACACTGGCTTCACCATCTTCTCTTCATCAACGCTCTTCTTCAAGTATCTCCCATCATGGCTAAGAGAGCAGGATCTTTCAAGACTTACATGGCGCGTATCGACATCAGCTTTCGACAACACTGTCCTAAGTGATCTCCCTCTGGTAGTTGAACATCCTACGACCGGCAAGCCATGTCTTCGATATCACGAACCATGGCCGCAGTCCAAGACTAGGTTTGATGCTTCGGAAGTTACTATCGAAGGACTTGAGTCGCGACAAAGCGCTGCCATATGTAGTACTATCGACTCAATGCTGTATGATCGCCGGGTGGCTGTGTATTACGCTTGGGAGAAGGGTGATATCTTGGTCAGTGATAACACTCTGATGATGCATACGAGGAGTGACTTCATTTCGGGGATTGATCGAGAGCTGTGGAGGATTCACTTTGATTAAAGTGCTTTGCGTCGTGGTGGTGACGTTCCAACTATGACATTACTCCTAATAAAAGCCAAAATGTTAGAAGAGCTTCTTCTAAGTTTATGTTAAGCTTAGTTGTTAATAGGACGAATGTTTGGAGGACTTGAGCTGACAACTATATCTCATCCAGGATTTGATGGTTCTTCCACAGGTCCTATGATGGTATTACTTCAGAATTGAATATACAAGCATACCCCAAGCCAGTTCCAGCTAGTCTGAGACGCATGAACTCCAGCACTGCATGTCATGTTTCGATTACCCTACATAAAGTGCCTGTTCAGCCTGGACTTCTCGTCCATGGGTACTTATTAAGTCGACATTCGAGACACCCTTACTCCTCCGGTTTCTGTCCATACACAACATAACTAGAAACCTTCAGTCTCATATCACTACGTAGCCTGCGTGGAAACAACTTACATGGGCCAATATGAGTGGATGCTTCTATCCTTCAGTTCACGACGAACCTTGGCCAGCAAAACATCAACTTCTTCCTTTTTCCAACCCAACACGCGGGTGAAAACGGCGACACTGGTACTTTCCAATGCCGATATGGAGTTCTCTAGATGCCATGCGCCTTCATCCAATTAGCACATGGGAGCATTTTATTGTTAGCTTGGGGTGAGACTTACCAAGTTCTTTGTGCTTTGCGTCCTTGGGCCAGGTATTCTGTGGCCATTTGAAGATCTTTTCTTGGACATTCTGGAAGCCTTGTGCCCCAAGCTTTTCCTTGTACTTACTTGCCCCATCACAAGGTCTTCCAATAAGCTTTGTCCCCTCAATAATCTTACTAGCCCACTCTAGCGTCGCTGAGTCCTCCTTGAGGGTTCCATCATCGCTGGTCATGGGCCATAGAATATCGGCGACTTCAACCCACCCACCGGGAACAATGTTCTCATAAGCTCGCTTAAAGAAGCCAGACCAGTCTGCCAATCCGCCCGACATCATGCGACAATAGACAAAGTCGAACTTGACATTGAACGTCCAATCTTCCTCGATATCATCAACTTGAAAACTCAGGTTGGGTGGGACGAAGGAGCTCTGGATGGGACTGAGGTCAACTCCAATGACAGAAGTGTCTGGATGCTCATCTGCAAAGTCTGTGGCCCAAAGCCCAGTTCCTGTTCCTACATCCAGGGCATTGTGGATCTTATGTCCATCTTGACCGGCGGGGGAAAGGTAGAGTTTATCGCTGAAGGTCAGCAAGAAGAGATGATGCTGCAAATCAAGTCTATCTTGTTCTCGCTCATCATTTGGCATTAGATACTGTCCGTCTTTATAGGCATGGAACGTCCGACCATTTTCCTGGCGGTATTTTAGGATACTAGAGGTGATTGAAGTCGTAGAGCTTGTTTCAGAGCCCAGCGAAGAGTCGACGTCTGTGTCGTTTCCTGCTTCTTCATCGACCTGGAGTGCAGGGGCAACTATAGGTTCAGTGGTTGTACTCATAGTCGCTTGATGTAATAAAGATGTCCGCTGATGTTGTATGTGGAAGAAAGTCAAGATGAAAATCACATCTGGAATTCCCGCACATCAATCGAGGGGCTTGGGTGATTGCGGCGCATTGGCATGATTTGTGGGTAACATCGCATGATAAGGTTATAAGTAGCTAACCAATGATATAAATAGGATGACTTTTAAAGCTATGTCGTTGGTTCGCATGTCTATCCTTGGGCCTTTGCTGCAGGGTTAAGACCTTTGGCCTTCCTTATCTGGCGCAGATCCTTGTCAAAGAGCGTTTGGACAGGTATAACGCACAGTAGAATGGACCTCATGCACAGTTACAGTGTTAATTATATTGAATCAATCAAACTACAGTCTTGCCTTTACTCAACGACGTCCCGGGTAATGACCCACAGCTTTTTTGTAAAGGGACCCTTTGAGACCCAAGTGATATGCATACCTGACGTCAACCCAATCGCGTCTCCCGCTCTAAAGCTATGTTTCTTTCCACTGTCCGTCTCCGTGACATCAACTTCTCCTTCCAAGAGAAGGATTGTTTCGTCTCCAAGAACTCCAGTATAGGGTGTTGTCATAGTCCCTTCATCGTCCAGGTCTGAACCCGCGATTCCTTTTCCAGATCGCCACACTCCACTCAGCATGGTACCGGTCGACCCTCCGTTGCGAATGAAGTACAACTCGCCAGCCACGAGATCACCCTCCTTGGGCTCAGTGAAGTTGTAGTCAACCCAGTCCGGACTGTCGCTGATGTTGCCGATTAGAAGATCAGTTGGTAGGTTATCAGCTGCCTTGGTGCCATTCCAAATACACCAGTACTTCTTAAAAAAGGGAGCATCGATCTCCCAGTAGACCTCGAGTCCCTTGGGAGAACTGATAATTGACCCCGGGCCAACTTGGTATTTAGCCCCAGTGGATACAACTGTCAAGGTAGCAGACCCGTCAATAATGCACGCAGTCTCGTCTCCGAGGGGGGATGAATAGGTGAGGTTGTGCGACCCGTCGCTGTTGGCGCCTGGGGACGTGGCGCCAGTCCTCCAGAACCCGGAAGAGAGATTCCCAGAAGTCCCGAAGGCTCGAGCAGTGGTGATCTCGCCATGGACTTGCTTGCCAAGCTTTGGCTCTTCCCATTCAAAGTTTGTCCACGTGTTGTTCGGGGAAGCTTGCTTGCCACCGTGAATAACGTGAGCGGTAGGTTGAGCCATAGTGATGGTAAGGTAAATTGATTGGCTTAGTATTTGATTATTTGCCGATTGATTGTTAGTTAATTAGAATATCGACTTCAAATGATGGACATAGTTGAGCTTATTTGTACTTTATCACGGTCATAACTCTGTTTCCATCTCATGTGAGTGCCTGTTGGCTGTTGCAACACCCCGCCTGGCATATCGGAGAGGTCAGTTCCTCAACCTTCAGTCCATGGCTGGCAGCAACTTTGTGATCTTGAGTACCATTTGCCAGTTTTCCGATTGCCCATCTCCTGTCGTTCATGTGTGGAAACAAAGTTCAAGGCGCTGATGGATTGATTGGGGTGTCCTCTCGGCAAGGAGAGCAGAACTTTGATCCTACTCGTCCATTTCCCGATGGTATGAAGCAGTATCATAGCGCATTTGAAACTCTTTCCTGCAATCATAACCAGGTCGTGTAGATCCTGATAAGTTATTTTTCCAAAACTGGAAATTATAATGTTTGATTACGACGACGTGTACGCCGTCGGGAACTCACCCAATGGAAACAACAGGAAAACAAATATCCGGATTGCCAGCTTACCAGCCCCGCAACTAACTAATATGCTCAGACCATTCCACTTACAGAATAGGTCTTTAAGATAACTATAACGCCAATCCATGCGATGACCCGAGATAATATTTATAGCAGGCTTTGTCTGGTCTGGAACCTCACAAACAGTTACAAACCTCGTCACGTACCTGTATCTCACACTTTACACTTTACCTCAAAGCAAGAACAACATCATAATGCCCATCTATCTAAGCATGCAACGAGTTCGCTTCTCAAGCCCAGATGCCTATGAGAAATTCAAGGTACGTTTTGACGATATTTATAGTTTTCACAAACTGAGACATTATTTAAGGTCTTATTCGCTGATACTCGCCGTCACCTGATGACCCTTCCAGGGTTCTTACATCTTACATGGTGGGAGCATCCTGATGACCGAAGTTGGTACAATGAATGCAGCTTTTGGACCAGCCGAGGCGCACTCTATGATTGGCATAAAAACACTTATCATAAATATTGCAAATCGTGGTCAGCTAATGGGGCAATTATGGAGGATATTATTACCAATTTTGAACTCGTTGGTACTCGTCTTATCCGGGTCTGCCCTGTATGCAACAAGGCGGAGGATAAGAAGTACAACTTGGCGGAAGAACAGGCAGTGTTACGCGAGACATGCCCTCAGTGTGGTTTTCATTTCCCAGTCCTTGACGAAACACCCTCAAGCTTTGCTGTTTTCAAGGATGTGCCTGGCCTACCCATGAATGACGAGGAAATGAAGGGGAAGGGTAATGATACGCAATGAAGCTTGATTAGTCTAGCCTACCTGATTATGGAAATCACATATAAATCAACATTCAAGTCTCTAGAATATCTGGGTTAGTGTTAACATGCCAGGTATACGGAGTATCGAGTGACCACGGAGAACTTTAGGCTTTAGGTTCGCTCTTGTCTCTAGACCCGCTTCCTACCTATGTGAGTATGAGATACATTTGAGGCCGTTGATATGTCTAGAGTAAAACAGGTCACTCTCGCTCTATTTGTGCAGGGACGATGATCTTAGTCTTGTAGATGTATTTGCCGTTCCATCCAACTGCCGCGCTATGGAAGCGTTGACCAACCACAATCAAGGCATAGTACCTCACGCGACTATAATGACGTCAAGGTCAGGCCATTCGCTTAGACTCGGGTTGCGAGCAAAAGATAACAACGAGTTAACCTTTCAGGATCAACGTCCCTAAGGGAACTAGCAGGAAGGCCAAGGTAGACCATGGACCGACAATCAAGAGATATCGAGCACATGGAGCCAATCAAAATCCATTAATGTTGCCGGACTAGCCAGGGTATACTCCACAATCACCAGGTTCTAAACAACTGACACTGATAGAGGACCTGGGGTACTTGTGCCGGTGGCTGAAATGCGGGGTTAACTAATGTTTGGGTCACTATACCGAGAAACCACCGAGATATGATAAATAACAAGTCTAGACTTGGTGAACAGAGTCTACCGGTCGTGGGTAGTTAGTACGCCATGTTGCGATTAAAAATGCCTCCAACTCAGAACTCATCACATCAACGACCGGCTCAGGGGAGAGCTGCCTCTCGATCTAGACTGGGATGTGCAACCTGCAAAAGAAGGCATGTGAGATGCAATGAGGCGTTGCCAAGATGTGAACCTTGCTGTCGGTTAAATCTCCAGTGCTATTATCCACACCGTTTGCAACAAACCACTGGGCCATCAAAGCAACGAATACTGTTCCCATCTCCAAGCATCTCCGACGCTGTGCAAGAGGGAAATGGTCCTAAGTTTCGCTCTGATTCATCATCTTGGCCTGGGAGCAATATATCCACCGATATCGATGTCCTTTGCAATAGTTGGGGAGGGGAACTCGAGTGTTTTGGCACCTCCAAGCCTTTATTGTCCAACAAAGGGTACTCCAAAGATCATTCATTTGGGCTATCTGGCACGGAGGTGCCGATGGTGTTTGGATCTACAGACTCAGAGCTCTTCGGCCATTCAGCAACCCTCTGGATGACGCCTCTTCACGGCCCGGATCCTAGTACAATATCGACACAGAAGGATGAATCCTTCTGCCTCAACGGCCTTTCACTCACTTCTGGAAAGCCAGAGGATAAGTCTCCCTTCATGGTCTTTCACAAGATCATGCAACCGCCGGGGGCGATGTTAATGGGGGGCATCAAGAAGTGGAGGTACTTGCAGCGATACCTGATGACCCTGGCTTCGCTGAATGAAGCCGTAATGACTGCATTATGGTGTCTAGATGCTCTACTTCAGAGGGATGGTATCAGTGATTCAGCATCATCAAGCCATCACTGTCAGACCCACATACAGAATTCCTTCAACACGACAACCTACTTAATTCAACAAGATCTGTCTCTGCTTCAATCCGGCACTAGCTCGAAGATCGATTATTGCTTAGCCGCTTTGTTCCTCCTGGCGTGGACTCAGATCCTCTGTGATCGTGTCGAACATGACAGCGAGTCTTTGTTTCCCACTGATCTTGCTGATATTATAATTACATGCTCTCACGATTGGAACTGGTATTCAAGACAACTTCTATCATGGTTCAACTCTTTCGATAGTAAAGCTTCTCATCTGGGCGGACCATCTCTATTATCGTCTAAAGCGCTCAACATTGTTTCTCAATATCCTATTCAGATAACCAGTTGCAACTATGAAGATTTGAAACACAGAAGCGAGTCGCCTGCTGGTAACGAAGACATCGAAATAATATCTCAAACCCCGTTATCGGGAGTTTCTGAACATGAGGATAGCGACATCGTCGTCCCCGCAAGAAGTCCGTGTGATTTGAAGGAGATAGTATTACGAGCAATCTTACAACCAGCCGCTGAATGGTACCTTAGAACTCAAGCCTGCTGCCGTCAAATCAGCGCTCTTGATAAACATCACTGCAATCGATTTACCCCAGATGCCGAGATGAGAGTTGCTCTCGTAGGGAAGCAAATCGAGAGCAAGCTTTGGGACTTGTGGGCTCAGTGTCCATCTGTTGTATGTCTGTCCACAGCTGAGCTGTCGATGTCGGTCACTCCCGACCTAGCAACGAGAGTACAAGAAGTCTCGAGTGTGTACCTAGCCAGCTTTTGGATCCTACACGTCTATGTCCACCGTGTATGCTGGTGGCACCTTCCACATACTGAAGCAGTGAAGGATGCACTACAAAGGACATGGGAACACATGAAGAACTCATACGGGGAGCGAGATAGGATTCAACAGAAGACGGTCCACCCCGCTTTGATGTGGCCGGTGTACCTATTTGGAGCAGAGTGCGAAGCTGATGAGCAGCGCAGTTGGGCGATTGAACAGCTCAAAGCCTTGGGGAGAGCCAGACCAGTGCTGAAGTCTCAAAACCAGGACCTGGAGACTTTACCCGAGTTTCGTATTAGTCACGGAGCTACGAGGAATGCGAAACGGGCAAGCTTGTTACTTGAGGCGCTTGTTCAACAACAAGCTGAGAAGAATTGCAGAGTTGATGATAGAGACCTAGCTATAGATATGTTTAACTGCTATTTCACAATAGTATAATACTAAGCTATTTTCTCTTAACATCGCTGCCGAGCCCGATGAGATCTTGGCACAGTTGTATGTGTCCATGTCTAGTGCAAGTGCGAAAGTAAGTCATAAGCCTATAGGAAAAGCAAAGGGTTAGGAGGAATACATGCCCTAAGAGGCAATTCTTTCGACATATATGGTACTCGATCCATGGCAAGGAAGTCAGCGGCTAACAAACTGAAAGCAAAACTTGAGGAAAGGAATGTTAATGTGTATCAGGCCGTGTTGGAATACCAGATGGACAGCGTTGTATATTGTTATGCTATGAACAGACTTACGCGCGGCCTTAGAACTGTTTGGGGCTCTGTAGATTGGAAGGCTCAAATCAGGGATTTGGAAGATCTGCAACAACAGTTGGACAATGAGCTGGCATAGTACTCCAGCCAGCAGACCCATGACATTTTCGGCAATATTGCGACCACATCGACAGTGACCTTATCACACTTACAAGAACAGTGTCGTCACACAAACACAACAAAGAGACTGAAGGTGATCAGTCAATTCAGGACAACTCGCTATGAGGAGTATATGGCGATACATCCACCACGTGCTCGGGGGACTTTCGAGTGGCTCCGCCGGAACGATAGGTATATCAGCTGGTCGCAACAGAAGTTCGGACTCTTACTTCTAAGCGCCGGTCCACGCAGTGGGAAGTCAGTCTTGACTAAATATCTAGTCGAAGACGTTCTGCTATTTAGTGAGGCGGCTCTAACAGTCGCTTATTTCTTCTTTGGTCATAGCCCAGAGCAGAAGAGTATGACGAACGCTCTAAGTGCAATAATCCACCAAATTTTGTACCGACTCCCCGAAATTGTCAATACCTGTCAAGAGGAGATTCAGGTTCACGGATCAGCACTAACCTCCAACTTTCTACCGCTCTGGAAGGTGTTTAAGAAGGTGATTGATTTTCCAAACAAGTGACAGATAGTGTGCGTTCTGGATGGGCTGGATGCCTGCGTTCAGCCAGAAAGGAAACTGTTCACCAAGCTACTGAAAGGCTTTCTCAAGTACGGGCTTGGGCGTCGACCCAGCGTCAGATTCTCGATTACAACGAGAGAGGATGTCGAAACCTTGGAAGAGTTTCGAGGCATTACCACTGCGTTGGCCCTAACCTTCAACAGAGATATGGATAACTCTGGAACCTCTCATGGGATAGGTTAAGACACTGAAACGGACTTCGACTTGGTTTTGGATAGCTATGCCAATGCACTTGTGGCCAAGAAAGGACTGTCCTCGATTTCATATGAGACATTGAAGCATGCGCTAAGGGCGTCACGTTCGGAACCAACAACATACATCTGGATGAGTCAAATGATCAACGACTTGAGCCAGAACTTGATTGACACCCCCGAAAGGTGGCAGGATATTCTGAGCCGTGACCCACAGCCTCTCTTCCAGCAGTATGAGACTAACCCTAAGCGATGGAAGTTGAACTAATCTGGCAACATTCAAGATATTTCAAGTTGCTCCCTATATGAAGCTTGTACACGAGACAGGAAGATTTATAATATACGAGTATATGGCAAAAGGCATTGGCAAATGATGATATTCATGCGGGTATATTATTTAACACATGACGCAGATGCATGACAGATCAAAGTCTTCCAATACTACCCTATTGTATTGGGGCATTGTACTACCAAGAACACTTAGTATAAATACAGTGGTTAGGTAGAACAAGCGACATACTGTGGCAGACTTGTTCCGGAAGCCTATGTAGTATCGATATCTGTGCGCGCTATGCTGGCAGCTTCATTAAGTTCTTTCGCAAGGATCGGAACCTCGTGAGACGACTGAGTTCTTCATGGTAAAGCTCAGGCGACGACAATCGTGGATCGTATTACATGCGTCATTTCAAGGGTATTATGTACTAGGAATCTAGTTCAATCCATCAGCAAGGTACCTCACACATCGAGACCAAAAACATACCGTGATATACTCTTCAACCACGGGATATCCTCGTAATGAGTTCACTGAGTATCTCCTCCTTAAGGATATCCACAAACTCATCATCGTCCTTCCCTCTTGTAACAAAGTCTATCTTCTCTTCGTGTTCGCGGAGGGTATCCTCTATCTCGCTTATTATGACGCTCGCTTCATTGTCGGCATTGTCTTGGGTGTATCGTAATCCTGCGATTTCAGTGTCCAGATCGACGACTTTCTTCTCGCATTGAGTGAGCTGTGTTTGCAGCTTTGCTACCTCGGCTTCCCCATCTGCAACCTTCTTTTCACATTGTGTGAGCTGGGCTTGTAGATTGGTGATCTCAGTCTCCCAATCCAAAGCCTTCTTCTCGCATTGAATGAGTTGTGTCTGTAACTTGGCGACCTCGGCTTGTAGCACTTGGACATGCCGTGACTGGTCATCGGGGGTGTTGGGTCGTGTACGATTATGGACCGTAGCCTCAAGTTCTAGCAACTTGTCCCAGATTGTGGCATTATTAGGGACTACCTCCCGGCTTCGTTTGCCGGTCGAGTCTTGGCTTCGTTTGCGTTTGTGGGACGGAGTTGGGGGATCGAAGGTTGATGATTCGTTATACAAGGGTGCATCAGGTTGGCCGACCGTAGCTTTATTGTAAGAAGGTGGCGGAGGCTTCGCAAGGGTTGCGACCTTTGCACCGCGGCCGGAGAACCATCGAGATATGTCATAATCGGGACCAGAGCATGGACTGAGCTCCTGTACGTTAGCGGAGCCGAGAGACTCTAGCTGATTCTGAGACAACGCGTCGTCGGGGATATAAACGCGTAGAGAGGTCGTTTCCACCAACTCATACAGCAAGTCAAGTATGACTCCCGAGCGCAATCGGGCAGCCGTCACTGGCTCGTTTATAAAGCTTGGAATGAGGATAGTGATGGCGTCGTTGAGCTCGAAATTAAGACATGTCGCAGAGCTTAGGACATGTTTAATGGCATCGGGGGTATCTTGGTCAACGGACTGTGTGAGGGAGGTGATAGATTGAGGATTGATTTGAATGCAGATGGCTGAAGTCTTGGTGTGTTGCTTATAACTAATGGGTATCTGTAATTCGAACAGCGCCGAGGTCGTATTAAGGTGTAACGTAAATCGAATCGAAGAACTCTTAGGATCAGGCTCAGAAAGATACCGTGGCGTACCGTTATGTTGCCACGCAAGCACCGCCTTTACTGCATTTAATTGAACTGACGCCATCGCGCTACCAATTAATTTAGTATACCAAGACACGTACACGTACCTGATCTACAACCCCAAACCCTTTTCCACAAGCAACCCTAGAAGAAAAACCAGTTTCGCTGACAGGCGACCCGTGACCTCCAGATAAACTGCGAGGTCATGCCCCAGACTCCAGATAGACTGCGAGTCGGAGCGCGTGTCCCTTCTGCACCCCGGTTATTCCACGGAAGGAGGCGCGCGCGCTCGTTCGGTGGGTATAGGCCGGAATTTTATGACGGTGCAGCAGCGATGTACGGGCTTCTTCTTCGGGAAGCGAGTGGTGAGGGGGGGCGGTTGTTGTGGTTTGTTGGGTTGTTTGTGGTCGGCGACATCGTGAGGATGTAGGAGGAGAAATTAATGAGGTTGGGTGGAGTTGGGCATGGTACGTGATGAAATTGATTACGCAATGACTAAGCAGACAGCGTCTAGCCATAATTGTACTAGTGTCTGGTCCCGACGAGATGACTCCACCTGTCAGCCTGATTGCTTGACCAACCACAGCTCGGCATGATGCTACAAGAATGAATTCGAGACTATGCCGCATTAGGTAGCTCAATTAAACTCACATAGCCGAGAGATAAGATAAGCCAGACAGCACTTCTCTTGGTATCTTACATTAAGAGAGGAACAAGTACAGAGGAACAAGTACCTTGATTTTTTCCATCAGCCTTATCAGAAAGATGCAAAAGAAGCCACCAACTAGACTTACTAACTGAGCTCTATTGGATTAATACTACCACTCTATCATCCTCACCTGGCCAGGAATCTCGTTCAGTTTCTCATACCAGGTCCGCAAAACGATTCGTGCTTCTCTACTCCCACTAAAAGCAAATGTAAAGTTATATATACGCAACAAAGGGTCGGTCTCATCCTCTTGCATTGCAGTCTCAATGCCCAAGTACTGCAATGCTGCTTCCCTCTCCCTATCCATGATTGCCTCGGCAATACTTGCGGATATAAGACTATCCCATCCACCATCCAGTCGCGGGTGACGCAGCAGGCTCACGGCACACTGACGAGTAGGCAGTTCAGTGCCGCTGTGAGCAACGAGGAAGAGTTGCGGAGTGTATGATACACCGCGAGTCTTTGCAGGATCTAGATTGATAATTTGCTCGCAGAGGTCGACGATAGATCTGAACAGGGCAGGGAGACCCTGTTGACGCTTGACCAAGTCATACTCGTCAGGGTCTTGGATGAAAAGCACGCGGTTGGTGGTGTGGAATAAGCGCACTGGGAGAATAGAATGTGCTTCCAGTTTGGTCGTATGGCCAGGTGTGGTTATCTCTCGTTGGAATAATTCGATTGCTTTGCTGATTTCCTTGAAACATCGCGTATGCATCTCTTGTCGTGCTGCTAGCATAGCGAGTCCATCCAATCCAGACTTGCCTGTATGAAGATCCCCGAGATGCTTGGCATTCTCTTGCGAGAACAGGATAAGTCCACTGCACAGGGACTCGGCGGCGCGGTGGGCTTGGCGAATGTGTTCTGGCGTGAGAATGGTCGAGGGTGATGGTGCTGTATAGAAACGCCATGCGTTGAGTGTCTTGTTCTGGGACAGAAGAGTGGAGCTGTCGGTAACGCCGCCATGGTCAAGCGCATTTGCATGCAGTTTGAGGTTCATGAGAATGGACTGTACAGAAGCAATTGATATCGGAACCGATGAAATCCAGCTCTCAGGCTTGGTATGCTGCTGCGAAGTCTTTGCATCTCCAGTGCCATAGCCTTGAAGCTCTTGGAGCAGATTGCATCCAGCCTGAAGATGTATCCTTGTCTGATCATGAAGCCCTTTGATAGTACATATCTGCGTAAAGATGGTACTGATAACAAGCGCCCTCCACTGATCCGCATGTCTCGGCGACCGCGACTCGGTAAGGCAGCGGATGGATAAGTTGAACTGCTTTAGCGCAAACAAATTCCGCGAGCCGCGGCCATTCTCCGCAAAGTCCTCGTGTGCAGAGCCCAGGCTGACTACAGCGTGCCAGATGGCTGCATCCAATAGACAGACTCGCGGCACCTCGGCGAGCCAGAACTCGGCGTAGAAAGCGCCGGCGAGAGATGGGGCTGTGGCTTCGAGGAAGTAACGATAGCTACGTACCTCATCGGGGCTTTGTCGTGGTAAAATGAGCTTGAGATCAGCGACGGCATTTGGGCGGTTGTACAGCGGTGGAGAAAGTGGTTTGGTGACTGGAGAGGAGGTGTAGCCGTCACAATTCCGGCCAGTCGAAGTACAACGTGTACATGCGGGTTTTACCTCATCGCAACGCACTTTTCGGATCCTGGTAGAGTTGGTATATGAGTCTACCTGTAGTGAAAACCCAAGTTGTATGAACTCTCACCTGCACGTTTGGCATCCTGTTTTAGCCTTGGTGTGGTATCTATGTTTTGGTCGACTGGCACCAGAAGCTCCCACAAATTCGATACCAACCATAACTGAGGGATTAAGAAACAATGCTTCCCACTTTCTTATGAAGTATATGAGTCACTTCCTACTTTGTTGCAATTGTTTTTCAGCTAAGGGTGGAAGAAAACAACGCTTACCCTGAGGTTGAGACTGACCGTGCAGCCCCACTCATCTACCATGCTGATGGATCCATGGGTGGCTTAGCGGGAGACTAGGCCTTTTGTAGGAACAAATGAGCGAGACAGCCAATCATAAAGTATCTACAAGCTAAGCAGACGTTGATTGGTTCTTTTTCCAATCTAAGGACAATCTCGGCTTACACTGTAGTTTGCCTGTGAGGCTGACTGTTATTTCACTGAGCGAGCCGACCAATCACAAGACTGGTTGAGTACGACATCATATGTACTGGGCAGATATGTATTTCGTAGTCTCAATATGACTCTTTCCCAATGCTTTTACTTGATGTTCTCCATAGATATCGATGTATAAAGTCAACAATGTCGCCCTCTTTCTGCCATCCCGTTCTCATTCTATTATATTTAGTGTTATACTGCAGTCTCAATCATGCACTACCTTTCTCTCCTTCTTCCCCTGGGTCTAGCTGTGCTACCGCAGGAGGCCCATGCCCAACAACCCGTATGCCCTCTCCTAGGCCCTATCTTCCCACCCGTCCCACACCCAGCCAAGTCTAATGCCATCTCAAACGCCATTATCGATCTCGATAAAACCTTCAAGGAGCTCGACCGCAATGGTACCTTCCATGAGCTCAACACCACTCTCTACGTCCAAGCCTTCTCCGCTGCTGACACCCTCTTTCAGCATGGATACGTTCCTCAAGGCATGAAGGGTTTCTTGACCTCAGGAACACTCAACGAAGATACTGTTTTCCGTGTGGGCAGTGTTTCAAAGCTTCTTATCGTTTATACACTGCTCGCTGAGGTGGGAATGGATCACATGAGCGATCCCGTGACAAGGTGGGTTCCTGAGCTTGCGCATGCAGCCAAGAAGGGCAAAGGTGATCCTACTCGCCGGGTCCAGTGGAATGAGGTCACCATCGGGCAACTCTGTGGGCATATGTCAGGTGTCAGTCGCAACTGTAAGTACTGCTCGGCCTCGTATTGATCGGGCTTCTTTTAACCATCATAGTTAGTCGGCTTCTTCGATCTGGATTCTTTGATTGGATACCCCAAGGCCAACCCTGAGATGTATGGCTTCCCAATTCTTGAAAAGATTGAGCGACGAAAGTGCGATATCTCAGATCCAGCTCTAGGCCCCTGTTCCCGTAAAGGTCAGTTGTCAACTACAAAGCGATATGAATATGCTAACAGCTCTCTGCAGAGTTCTTTAACGGTATTACATCTAAGAACCACTTTCCAATCACATCCACTGCAAACACACCAATATACTCTAACCTTGCATACCAAATTCTTGCCTATGCACTTGAAGGAATGACCGGAAAGCCCTTCGAAAAGTCTTTGCAATCCTCGCTCCTCAAACCGCTATCCATGAAAGATACAACACTGGAGGCTCCTAAGGGCAAGATTAACGCTGTTATTCCCGAGAATGAGCTGCTCTCGTGGTGGAACATTACTACGGGCGATGGTAGTCCGTAAGTCTTCATCATGCTCTTTAATATCGGCCGTCAATACTGAACGTTAATAGCTACGGCGGTATGTTCTCTACATCTGCAGACCTCACCCGTCTTGGCCAGTCTATTCTAAAGTCTTCTATCCTCGACCCACCCACGACTCGGGCTTGGATGAAGCCAATTGCCCATACCGCAGACCTCCACATGTCGGTAGGAATGCCTTGGGAAATCCGCCGTACCCTCCTCCCGCTCGGCCCCAATGGGATACGAGTTGTGGATTTGTATACGAAGAATGGTGCGATTGGGCTTTACACTGCCATCGTCGTTCTTTCACCAGACCATGGAATCGGTTTCGTCGCTCTTTTTGCAGGACCTAGTCGCGATGTCGTGTTGAGCTACGTTCCTGACCTTCTCGCAAACACCCTGTTACCAGCGGCTGAGGAGGCAGCGCGCGAGGCTGCCACCGCGCGGTTCACAGGCACGTTCCAAGGCCGTGAGACCGAGGTCACGCTCGAGATGGAAGATACTCTCGTGGTGAAGAACTGGGCTCGTGGAGGTGTTGATGTACTGGCTACCATGGCTGCTGTGTGGTGGCCCGGGCTGGAGGTAACTCCCATCCTGAGGTTATACCCGATGGTTGAAGGAGATAAGAAGATGTCGTTCAGAGGCACCTTTGATGCTAAGGCAATCAATGGGTCGGAACCCAATGCTGAGGTAAATGCAGCCTATACAACTGCCGGTCCCTTCAGTGGTGGATGCCTATCATGGGGAGTAATGGACACGCTTACATATGGGGACGCTGGGGTTGATGACTTTGAGTTCGTACTTGATCACACTGATAAAGCAACGGAACTTGGAGTAAGGGTTGCAAGGGAAACACTTCGGAAGATCAACTAAACCTTGATGTATTTGAAAAGAGTTAGAGATATGCAGACTAATACCTAGACAGTGAGCATCTGATAAACAGTTATCTAATGGTCTTTGTATATTGTTCTGTTAAACAACCAACGAATGACAACGCTGGTTCTCGACCCCCTTGCCAGACGCGCAGCAGGCACTCTATGCGATTACAGAAGGTGCTTCTATTAAGTCCTTCCAATGATCAGGTACAGACAGTCTTAAGGTTGTTTGTCAGCAAATGCGGTACCTTGATTAGTCGAGAATCTGTCACGTGGAACCCCCGCTCAACTCGATCAAAAGAGCACACCTTCCCTTCAATCAGTTAAAAAATAAGGCCCTGAAGCTCAAGATGGCTCCTGGGGACTTCAAATACACAGCTTTACAGGATAGAAAAATGAGACTCTTAGTCCTAGATGCAGGGAAAGATGGAGACGCACTCTCGGGTCCTCTTGTCGCCGGTAAACATGCCCCCGGCGAACACGTGATGAAGTACGAAGCATTATCATATACCTGGGGCGACCAGTCAAACTCAGATTACATACATCTGAGAAATCCGAAACCGCTCAGTCACGGCAACTTATGCATTTGCGATAAAACCCCCTCCAGGTCACTGGCTATTGGTCGCAACCTCGCTCTTGCTTTGCGACACCTCCGTCACAGGGACAACAGCTGAACTCTATGGGCGGATTCAATACTTCGTCATAATGATATATAGATAGCTTGGTAGGTATGTATTCTTATTTATACCTATAAGAAAACCACCGGAGACTTCCAAACGTCATGATTTTCCATCTTAGTGCCTTTCCCTTTCAAGATACTCTTTCCAAGCTAATACTTCAAGTCAACGAAGCTATGAACACCCGATCCTACTTCCATAACACGCTTAGACTTAGGCATCTTCACCACGGCCCTCGAATTCGGCGGAACCTTGACTTGCAGGTTGAAGCCTTTGCCCTTCTTTACCGACCAGCTGACTTCTATCATCCCATACGGTCCCAAATGCTTCGTAGTGGCCGAAGTGATTCCACCACCCGGGATAGGCGCAACCACGACGGTCTTGTAGCCCGGGCTGTCCTTGTCCGGGGCGATCCCGCCAACAGTCTCGTGTAAGAATTGTGCGACGGATCCATACGCGTAGTGATTGAAGCTCGTCATCTCTCCAGGATTCAACTGTCCATTAGAGAGCATGCTATCCCAACGCTCCCAGATTGTGGTGGCACCCATCTCAACTTGGTACAGCCAAGAGGGAACCTTTGTTTGGAGGAGAATGCGATAAAAGTCTTCCGTCGCGTCAACGGATCTTAGTGCGTCGCTGAGAGCAGGTGTGCCGGCGAAGCCTGTTCTGATCAGGTAGTTGTTGGCTGATACGATGTCGCGCAGCGTTTTGGTAGCCGCCTTGCGCATTTCGTCGTCCTCCAACAGCCCAAATGATATAGCGAGTGAGTAGGCCGTTTGTGTGCGGTTTGCTAGCGCACCTTCACCATTCATCCAAGCCTTCTGGAACTGGGTCTTTAGGGCTGTATGCTGGCTTGCATATTTCCCCGATAGAGCTGTTTCTCCGAGGGAAGCTGTGATCTGAGACATGAGCTCTGTCATACGTACCAAATAGGCATCTGCAACCAGGAACTTGTGTGTTGTGGCCTGTCCAGGGTCATCAGGAGGAGACTGAGGGTCGAGCCAGTCACCGTATTGGTAGGTTTGGTGGTTCCAAAGTCCAGCTTCATTTCGATAGATGCCCTTATCCAGCCATCCGACACCTTGCGCAAGGTGCTCTTGCAGAAGGCCCTTATCACCAAAGGATTTGTAGATGTTCCAAGGATTACCTACAGCCACATCGCCCCAGACAGCAGTAGCAATGGGTTGATTGGTGGGACCTTGAAGCATTGGTGTGTACCATCGAGGGACCATGCTACCGTCTACAGCCGCCTCGGTCGCAAGATCCTTGTGCCACCCTCGCCAAAATCCAGCTGTGTTGTAAAGGAAATTCGCTGTAGGCCCGAAGAGATGTGCATCACCCGTCCATCCAAGTCGCTCGTCCCTCTGGGGACAATCCATCGGAATGGAGAGGAAGTTTCCTTTCATTGACCAACGAACGTTAGAGTGCAACTTATTCAGAGCCTGGTTTGAACATTCGAACCAGCCGGTCTTCTCGAGGTCCGTGTGTAGGACGACAGCTTTGATGGACCCTATCAATGGTCTGTTCTTCGGCCAGCCGTCGACTTGGGCGTATCTGAAGCCGTGGAATGTGAACTTGGGTTCCCATGTGATCGGACCATCGCGAGCAAGTATGATGGTATCAGTTGCTTTGGCTGTGCGCAGTGGTTTGAGGGCTAGCTCGCCATCCACCAATACCTCTGCGTGACGAAGAGTGATATTTGTGTTAGCAGGCCCATCAACATGAACCCGGAGCCAGCCTACTAGGTTTTGTCCGAAGTCGATGATTGTTTTTCCTGACGGCGATTTGAAGATTCGCTCGGCTTGTCTTTCCTCTACCCTTCGGATACCAGGCTGGTCAGGTGGAGTGAGTTTACCCTTAAGCGGAGGGAGCGTGCGAACTTTGCGCCAGGCTTTTGCCTTTGCAGCGAATGCGTCCGTAGACCAGCCCTGAATTTGCTTTGCGAGTCTTGCGTCGTAGGTTTCGCCATCGTAGATTTCGCCCGATACAATAGGCCCTCCGTTGGCCCTCCAACTCTCATCGGTGCCAACAGTGACCTTTCGGCCGTCCTTGAGTGTAACCACCAGCTTGCTGAGAAGTCCAATAGAGTCGCCGTAATTGTTTCTCACGCTTTCTGGCCCCAGCCGACCGAGAAACCATCCTTCTCCAACCACAACTCCAATGGCATTGTTTCCACTCTTGATAAGGCTCGTCACGTCGTACGAGTCATAGACATGGCGGTGACTGTACGATTGCCATCCAGGTGCCAGAACGAGATCGCCGACCCTGTTCCCGTTGATCTCAGCCTCGTAAATACCCAGACCAGTGATGTATAGCCTTGCAGAAGCAATCGCAGTCTGAGGGACCTGGAAGTCGCGGCGGAAGTAAATGGGCCGTTTGGCAGTGTGGTTGGATTGCTCAAAGACGTCGGCTGCGATCGGGTCTGCTCCGACCCAGCTTTCCTCAGACAGGAGTCCCGTCTCCACATCAGCCCAGTCAGACCAAGGAGTGGACAGCCCGTCGTTGCCATGAACGCGCACACGTACAGACGCAGCCTCTGACTCAGCCAGCTCCTCGTCTGGCCAAGGCACGTACAGCGAGCTGGAGGAGTTGAAGGAGAAAAGAGTGGTTTTATCCGCCTTGGGTCCTTTGCGCGCAACTTCTATGTCATAGGCGTTTTGTTCCCAATCAGAGACGGTACCTTCGAATCTCCAGGTGATGCGAGGCTTCGTCTCAGCGATACCGAAAGCCTGGCGGTGATGTTCGAAAAGAACTGTCGAGATTGCAAGATCTGCCATCCTTGCTAGACGTCTATGGGTAGGCAAGACTTGAGAAAGAGGGCGTTATCGTGCCCGTAGGTCCAGAGCAACTTGAGTCTCTTTTAAGCAGTCCCTGTCTTCCGGTACAATTAAAGTCTATAACACGACCTCAATCGCTCGGTCCAATATGAACCGAGACCATAATGGCTAACTAGTAGGGTGTATGCATGAAATTGCCAGACGACGGCCACACATTATCCGCTACCCCAGACTTCGCTTGCTAACGAACGCGGGGAAAACGCGCGACCCTTGGGGCATAATGAGGGGAAGCATGAGCTGTGATGATTGGCGGTCAGACAAGGATAATGAACATATGGGCTTTCGGTGTATGTTAGTCCGGCGACGGGACTTGAAAAGTATGAGTTCATGCGCCACGCGGGTTTGGTCGATCTACCGAGGTTCTCGTTTTCGGCTATGGTGTGTGAAAGTATGCAGAGCTTAGCATAGTTGCTATTGACTAGTTTAGCCAGTTCGTGCGATCTTGAGCGGCAATAGCAATTACCTTGTGAATGCGATGTTATGCTTGTAAGTGTCAAGGTTCACTTGATTTGTATCCAACAAGCAGCAAAATGGCAAATCCATCGCCGAGGGTAGGAAGAATATTGTATTGTCTTTGGATTATACTACTATTGATACCAAGTGAAGCGAAAATACAACAAACTATACGTAGTAGCAAAGTCCAATAGAAATATCTTAACGTTGGAGAGAGGCAAGGATTTATTGCAGATAGTCAACAGATATTAAATAAAAGATTTAAACTGCTTCTTTACTTCAAACATGCCCACAAGGCTAAAAGCTTTACCTTCAGCTATAATCTCATCAGCATGCCTTATTAGTCATTGGCTGCCATGATGTCACACAGGGTTTCAGCTACGTTGCGTATTCTGTTGTCCTTCACAATGAGGTGTGAAAGCTTGGTGAGACATTATAACGCTATTGAAATACATTGAGTTGCAGACTAAAAAGGAAAACCACGGCTCTACAGCTAGAGAAGAATGACTATTCGCCAAATATTCATTTCCCCACTATGAGCTATATCATCGTGCTTGAAACCCACACTAATTGCTTACTGGCGCCAGCTAATCTTGCCTGTGTTAGGAAATCTGTCATAGCGGCCCGAGCCAAAGCCCAGCTGAACCGCCACTAGTTACTGCAGATTACCACTAGCTATATTGTCAAGCCAGTTTTACTGGCTGTGAATTGTTGAGAGAGACAGTGTTTCTTGTAATGAGACATACAGAGTAGACAAAGCAACTGACTGGTGGGTTACGTGCTTACTGTAATCTCAACAAAGTTTCCATCTGCCATTGACCGGCAGGCTAGCAAATGTATATATATTCCACTTGCCCACCACCCAGACTGTCCTCTTTCATACCTTACAACATCGCAGTCTTACTATTCCTCTCTTCTGCAAGTCATCTACGCTACTTTCACTCGATTACATCATACCAATTTCTCTCCACCCATCCGCAGTCATGGCTTCTGGTGTCAGTGTTAATTCAGGCTGTGTGGACACGTACCAAGCGCTCAAGCTGAAGAAGAACCACAAATTCATCATCTTCAACCTCAGCCACGATCGCACCGAAATCGTTGTTGATCAAACCTCCGAAAGCAGCGAATGGGACGACTTTACATCAAGCCTTCCCGAAAATGAACCACGCTGGGCCGTTTACGACTTTCACTACGAAGGGCCAGATGGCGGGGCTAGAAACAAACTTGTCTTTGTCAGCTGGTCTCCCGATACTGCCAAAATAAAGGCCAAGATGGTTTTTTCCTCAAGTAGAGACGCTCTTAGACGAGCGCTTGTGGGCATCGGGGCAGAAATTCAGGCCACTGACTACAGCGATATTACATATGAAGAAGTACTGGGGAAGGTCAGCAGGGTTCGCTGAAATCTTTATTTACTACCTTTCAAGTTCAGAAGGACCAAGGGTGGAAGATCTATGCACAATAACTATTACAATTAAGACAATGAGCTAGATAAAGAAAGATGGGATAGTTATAAACGATGCGATGTTTGTCTCTGTAGACATATATCAAATACACCAGATGAACCTACGTACTTTTAAAATTTGGAATCTCAATCCTGGTGCTATAAAAAGCAGAAACTCCACATCCACATCATGACTGTGTTCGAGGTTGCAAGAGTGGACCTTGATGTCTTCATCAGACCAAGCATTAATGATGACTTTCTTTCTAGAGTAAAGTCAACAGCCTAGAGTTTGCATCAAGGTGATATGTATACTGAAGATGAAAAAACGATACCATTTCCTGAATGATACTTTGTAAAGGGTAACTCAACGGTCTAGCTAATATTCTCGCTAAAGAGAAAGTCAAACGCTGACGTATCCATCAAGAACAGATCATTGAATATCGGATCCTGACTGCCCCCAAGTATATCGATAGGAATGTTTGGTGGGCCAGTCGCTGTGTAAGTGTTGAAACCAGCGTCAGTCAATTCTACGTTCGGATCAGTTGGTAGGGCATTGTCGCTGTTACTCCAGGTTGATGAAACCCCCGTTGGCTGTTCAAACGATGGCCCATCGATCTGCAAGTTTAGACTTGCTTCCCCTGGCGCGTGCACTCGGCCCCCTCTCGACCTTGACGCTCTTTGCTCAAGGACCTTCAACAGGCCTCCTGCATAATTCCAGTATTTTGCAAGCTCTTGCAAGACTTCCAAGAACGTGTGTAGGGTTTGTCGAGACTTGGCCGCTAGTAAGGTCTTGTTTGTGCTGATCTCGTTGATGATGTGAATTGTTGCAGTAAATACAACATGGTTGCTATACAGCCATAGAGAAGAAATGAGCTTCTTGCTCATTAGAGCTTCGAACATGGATGCAATGGTGACTGTGGCTTCTCTACAGAGGATGGCATCCTCTTGTCCGTCCATAGATCCATTCTTCCTGGATTTCGGCGCAGGTCGATGGATCAATAAAACAAAGTTGTAGTAAGTGAGATAAAAATGGGCTTGCCATATATCAAGACAAGAAGTCGCCAATTGTAGTCTTTTCGGAATTGAAAGGTTGAGCAATCCGAGTAACTCATCAGCCTTTTTAATAGCTTCGAGTTTTGCCTCTGGCGTCGCACGAAGTGACCAACCCTTCCTTGTCGTCTCGGATATAATCTTGCACAGCTGTGCATAAAATATGACAAACTCGATCTCTGCCCTAGGAAGATTTTCGACGTGGCAAGGTTGGAGATCTGGTACATCGGAATCATCGAGGTTGCTACAACCATTAGTGAGGACTAGTGATAATATTTATGCAGCAAGACTCACATAACTTGAGGTCGTCCAGCGGACACAGACGCAATCGTATCGAACTGGAACAGGACCCACCACAGACGAGTGTATACGCGTTTGTAAACAGGCATCATCTTAGAGTGGCTGGTATCTCGATGCAGTCCTATCGCCATAGCTGTTCTGGTAGCGATGCCAATCCAATACCATGCATTGGCGTCGGAATACCACGTCATTAGCAAAGGCACTTGAATGAAGACAAGCCTGTCAGGCCAAGATTCACACTCGAAAAGAGTCTTTGTCCTCTGAAAAAAAACTCGAAGAAGGGGAACCATCGTCTCATCATGCGATGCTAGAGCGTGGGCTCCTACCAGCATTATCGCATTTAGAAGTGTCAGGCAAGCAGGGTTTGCCGGATCCTCGCCACGATATTGTGTCATGAATAGCTCCTCATCTACTATGGGCCACCCAGGGTTAATCATATCAAAGTATGCTCTTACCAGCCTTCTTTCAAGTTGTTTATCTGGACGTTCCAACGGTTCTCCCGACACACCGTGTCTTTCATACCAGTCTTCGCTGGACTCCAATTGACCATTGTTAAAGTGGAATACATTATCGTAGCCTACATTGGAGGAGCTTTGACGGAACAGGTAATTGCAGTTCGAGAGATCATTCCCGATAAAGTGCGCACGAGTGCGATGCCCAAGCTCTGCGTCTCTGGCATCGTTGTCATTCAAGACATGAGCTCCAAGCTCGACCTCGCCGCCTTCGTCTGGGGATGAAGCTTCTGTTGCCACAACAGATGATGATGCCGTCGTTGGCGTATTAATTGACTGTCGCGGACGGAGAGGAGCTAGGACGGCTGATTGACGCAAAGACTGTCTGACTTGCTTCTTGTTGAGACATGGTCGGCATCCAGGTCGACTGTGAGTACTACAGTTTGTACAAGGGACACCTTTGTCGCCGATATCGCAGCGGACCTTTCGCTGCCGGCAATTAACGCAAGCCCGTCCTGAACACAAATTCCATTAATGAAGGGAGTGACTGAGTAATAGAATAAACTCACTAGTTGGCACAGCTGGACTAAGTGGCTGTGAACTTTTGGCCGCGATATTCTGCGATCGCAGTTGGTGACCTGACATCCCGGATTTCTACTTTGTGGAGAATGAACGCTCTCAGAAATCAAGTTTTGGTTGACGATGTCTTATCTTGACGGACTGGGTTTAGATGGTCGTCATATAATCTGGTTTGCCAGCCCTCGGCGGAATGAGCCAATCATCTCTGACCGTTGATCTGTAAGACGGCGAAACTGTCCAATCATAGCAGCTTATTCATGTCACGGCAAACCTAGCCAATCGAAGCTGGGCAAGCCACGGCAAGATCACCAATCACAATATTAAACACAAGCCTATGCTGTCATGTTATGAACGACATAAAGGCGTCTTTGAACATGATTATCAATGCATCTTGCAAACACATTGGAACTGGATTATATATTCCAGACCGGTCCGCCTTCCTCAAACGAATAACCTGGCTCCAGTGGTTTCCACTCTCCTTGTACCGAATAGAATCTACTTTTGCGTCACTATCACCATGCCTTCACTCCAACACTTGAAGAGGCTGACATGCATTCGACCCGAGAAACAAGTCGCTTGTCAGTTCGACATCGACATTGATGGGCACCACGAGACCAAAATATATACCACGGGCTCCACGGTCCAGGGTAGTGTTAGACTCACAACCCAACACCAAACCACCTTTCAATCCATCCAAGTCAGTTTTAGAGGCACGAGTTCAACTCGCCAAGTCTCTCAATATGGGCAGCCCTCCAGAAGCCATACTTTTCTGAACATCCAAATACCCATGTCTGATGAAACCTTGCCGTCTGATCGTATCCTAAGAGCTGGGAAATCTTACAACATTCCCTTTCTGTTTAAGATCCCCCAGGATCTCTCTTTGCATGCATGCAATCATCGAAGCCCGGTAGTTAGAGAACGCCACCTAGTTCCACCTCCGAGCCTCGGCTCATGGACAAAGAATGATTTTACGGATGGCTCTACGTCTATCGAATATGTTATTCAAGCGAGACTCCTACTCGGTACGGAAGGAAAACTTGTTGATCAGAATGTCTCTCTCAAAGTCATTCCTATTTTTCCTGAGCAACCACCCATTGATGTTGCTTCCCTGAACACACAATACTGCTTGTCTCAGACAAAGACAATAAGACGGAACTTGGTCGGGGCCAAAGAAGGAACCTTGAAAGTTTCAACCACTCAACCTCGGCCAGTTGTCCTTCATCTGGGTCACCTTCAGACATCAGACTCTGAACTAGCGATCAATCTTGAATACGCGCCATCGTCGTCAGGATCTACACCACCCGAAATACGTGTCAAAGGAGCCGCCATCGAGGCTATTACCAGCTTTTGGACAGGACCCGTAGGCTATCTGCCCGACCACGACGAGACGCTACCCAGTGCCATCTGTCCAGTAGCTCCATGGACAAACTCGTACCCCCTACCTCTACGAGGGCTAGGAGCGGTAAAATGGGAGAAGGTTCTGGATTTCGGTTCTCAGGCGGAATCGGAGAGAAGAGCCTCGGAGCCTATCCCAATCACACGAAACCATCCTAGCAAACAGAGTCCATCATATACAACAGCGAGTTCTATCGATATCCCTTACAATCAGCCGGAGCTACCTACATATAAGGCTACTTTGACACAACCTTTCTCGCTCCCGACAGAGAAATTACTATTCCTTCCCACTTTCCACTCATGTATGGTTAGCAGAAGCTACCGGATTCGAATCACCTTTGCTGCGAGGGCTCAAGGCAGTACGATGTCTCTTATCGTACCATTGCAGATCACAAGCGAAGGGCGTGCCACCACTAACAGTCCTAGACTGCCCCTTTACGTAAGTATAAGATTCAAAATGCATATAAGACAGAAAGGCTTACCTAGTTGTATACAGTACGACGATGAATATGAGCCAGTGGGCGATTCACCTCCTCCATATAGGAAATGAAGAAAGTTATATTGAAGTGATAGTAGGGGTCTGGGGGTAACGAGAAACTAATTGAATGAAGATTGGCATTGTGGGACTTCAGACAAAGAGAGGAAAGTACATGTATATAACAGAAAAAATAAACAGTGTATTTTGAACAATGATTTACTTACTGCAATGGACTGCTATGACAGTCTACCTAGTTCTATGTAATGATAACCTGCAGGACGAGAGAAATTCCAGGTTTGCTGCTGCCAAGAGCATAGCCCCACGATCGTCTAAGGCTGAGTTAGTAATAGAAACGTGCTAGCATATTTCTGATTTGTGCTAGTCGAAGGATTCAATTATATAAGGATCATCGCATTGAAGTATGGAGCTGTCGGTCGACCATGGTCTGTGCTCCAGCGCTATGAGTAGGACCGTCATTGGCATGCTCGGACTGAGGTTACAAGGTTCCTGATCAGGCGGTGAATCGTCCAGGCAATGCTCTACTGAATCAGCCTTGATCACCTAGTGTCATTTCGCTTACAGCTGATAAAGTATCGTATCTGTAATCGATGTAAGCTAGCTTGGCTAGTAAACTACAACTGCTACAGATGGTTTTAAGTATTAAATTATAATAGAATCCTTACATCTATGTTTACAGCTAGGAAATGATGTTCGAGAACTACTAGTATTTTTTGAGGACAATTAAATAAGCTGTCTGCCCTGTCTCTGAGTCCGAGATGTCAAGTCCGAGGCGGACGTCCATCTGATGTTCCTAGTCTATACTGTGGTGCTGTGGAGTTTAGATCCACACCTGTTGAATCCTTCGATCCTCCGCCCGAGCTACGGGGGAATAGAACGCGAAATTCACGGAGACGGTGCTCCTGAGTTAGTATATAAGTTCAACCTCCCCCAAGCAATATCTCTTTCCTATCTCAATAACCTCTTGACTTTGCACTATTTGCATTCCTATTCTATCCGAGTTAATCTACGTCCATACAAGATGCATTTCTCTACTGCCACAGCTCTAACCATCCTCGCTGCCGTCTCACAGGCATCGGCATGGACTCGTAGGTAGTCCTAGTCCAACTTCACCATGTTCTTTTTCTAATTTTCAAAGTTACCTTTTACGACAACGTCGACAATTGCGATGCAAATGACAGCACCCAGTACCAAATCATCGAGGGAAATCAAGGTGATTGTTATACCTTCGGCGCGTCTATGCCCCGCACGACATGCGAGCAATTCACCGACGGTGGTATCAACAGCCAGGGCTGCAAAGGATTGTTCAAGGCAAAGTCTGTCGCAATTCCCCGTGGAAGAAACTGCCAATTTTATGGATTGGACTTTTGTCAATCACTTAGTATCTACGGGGATGAGACTCAGTGCAAAGACACGTTGCAGCTTCTTGCCGGTCCAGGCGATTACATCCGATCTTTCAAATGCGTAAGTCTATTACTCTCATGGCGACATGTCTTACTTACAAATGGCTAGGAAAACGACGAGTAGGAGTTGACACCGATATTTGGTTATCGATACAAGTTCTGATCAACTATACAAGCTCCATATAAAGATAATTAGATCAGAACATAACATTACTCATTCCATGGAAGATATTATTCCCATTACTCATAACCCTCTGGCCATCAGCCATGATACAGTGAAAGCCATCTTTAACTCGAACTTTGTTCCTGATGCCCACTGGTGAATCATTATCCCCCTTCCTGGCTCAATGGAACAAGTACCTAGACCGCCTCCTTACTTGCAATATGCTCCACAAGGCGCGGGGTCTTGCCTTCAACCACAACCTCAGCAGCATGCCCAACAACACCCTGAGGACCATCAAAGATATAAGCAATTTCCTCCAGTGATGGACCTTTTGTCTCGGGAAAAACAAACCAGACACCAACAAACTCAATCATGACCCAAGCTACAAAGATGATGTAAAAGCGCCAAGCAATGTCCTCAAGACCGATGGGTACAACAAAAGTGGAAAGCATCATAAAACAAAACTGGACGAAATAGAAGAAGGACAAACCCTTGGTTCTCATGCGATAGGGAAGAATCTCGGGGATGTAGAGGCCGAGGTTGCCGTTGAAACCCAGGTTGTAGGCAGGGGAGAACAGGTACAGAAAGGCTACCACAGTGTAAGCTGCGGCCTTGTTGGTATTGTCTTTAGCAAAGACAGCACTTCCTGCAGTGATGCAGATGTCAACAACCCAAATGGCCCCTAAAGACCATAGGAAGAGCTTGCGACGGCCGACTTTAGCGGGCAACGTAGCGAAGTAGATGGCCGAGAACCAGGAGAGCATCTGGTTAGTGGCATTGATAAGAGTTTGCTGAAGGTCCGACTTGAGCCCAACGGAGTGCAGGATAGGAGATAGGTAGTATGAGACAAAGGCGTTGCCAGACATCTGTGAGCATATAGCGGCCCAAACCATGATAAACATACGTCGATGGTTACCAGCAGTACTGCCCAGGTCCTTGAGAAAGGTAAACATGTTGTGGTCAGATGCTTCGGCACTCAAAGTTTGTTTGATCTCGGTGTATTCGAGCTGGACCACGGGATCCAGTTCGTCACCCTCACCGTGGTACTTGGCAAGCATAGCTAGAGCGTCTTCATCGCGGCCCTTACTGACAAGCCATCGTGGAGACTCGGGCACAAACCACACGAGGAGGAGCTGGATAATGGAAGGGAGTCCTTGCAAGGCAGATGGAATGCGCCAAGATGCTGTGCTGTCTATGCGGAAGGTACCGAATGTACACCATCCAGCAATGATGGATCCAATAGAGTAGAATGTGAGGAAAAGGGCAGTAGCTGTGCTTCTCTGGTCGGGATGTGCTATCTCGGTAATGTAGGGAGCGCCAACTCCGGCGACTACCACGCTTCCTGAACCGATGATGACTCGGGAGATTATGAACATGGCGATGTTAATGGAAGCACCTTGGATGGCAGCGCCGATGCAGCAGAGAGCAGCTCCAAATGCAATGCCACATCTTCTACCAAAAGTGTCGGCTACTGGTGAGATGGCAAATGAGCCAAGGATGCCACCGAGTGGATAGGCGGCATTGAAGAAGCCGAGCAGAGCGCCAGTTGGTGAACCGAAGTACGTCTGCCAATGGGTGACTGACTGGAGACCGTTCATCATACTCCCATCAAAACTGGAACCCTCTGGTTAGTTGAAACATTCAGATTGTCGACTGTACAGACTTACCCTTGAGAGAAAATTGACAGGAGCGGGATAATCATGAGTAGGTTAAGGGCACGCAGATTGGGATATCTCCACCAACGAGTCGTGTCCACCGACGACCGTGGACTGTGACCGGCGAGGTCCTTGGAGGGTTCTGGTGCAGACATTACTTTCAAACTTGGTAGGAAACGTTGAAAGTGTAGGATCTGCTGGAGTGGGTAGTCTATCAACATTCAGTGGCACGCCAAGTTGGGCATATAAATAAGCATGATTGCCCTTAGTCCAGCTGTCAATGTAGTATACTCGGATGTAATTGGGCCGAAGGCGTGTACCCCAGATCCGTCCGTATTGCGACTTTGCGGGGAAACCGGGGAATGCGGCGTGACCATCGGTCTAACACGACCGATATAAAATGGTCAGGGTTCCCACCCACTCACCTCACACACTCAAAAAGCGGCCCAACATGGTCCGAAGCATGATCTCGTACGTTCTAGGCCCGCACCAAGATCAAGGTAGCTGATTATTCTCCCAGGTGTGAGCGGTGCAGACAACGAAAGGCAAAGTGTGACCGCCAATTACCAGGTTGTGAACGATGTGAGCGTGCACAGGTCGATTGCGAGTATGCAGGGCGACGGAAGCCGGGGTTTCCAGCTGGTCACCGCCAACAGCTTGAAGACAAGATTCGTCAGTGCATTCCTTTCGTAATGAACTTTTGTACCCTGAATTTTCTAGTCTAACTGTCTCGAGAGAGACTAGAAGCCGAATCGCGAGCCTTTCGAGGTACCTCGGGAAGTAGCGAGACCACTGTACCACCAGTCCACCATGATCAATCTCCCTCATCCTCAACCCTCCCCGCGCAACAGGCTGCCTCTCCAACGTTTGAGCGTACTCGCAGAGTCAAAGAACGTCATCCCCCGACTGACCTCGTCGCCTCTGTGTCGTCCCTATACTTCCGGCACATCCATCCATGGTTTCCATTCTTGGACGTGCAACGCGTCTTCGCCGACTTGGGCTCTACAGATGAGCCCTCGATGCTCCACCATGCTCTCTTCGGAGTCGCGCTACCCTACTCATTCGACTCCCGCCTCGACCAAATCTCTAGCGACTCGTTCTGGAAATACTCGAAGCGCAGAATTTTCGTCGACGTTCTCGAAGAGCCGTCTTACAGCTCGTTGGAAGCGTTGACTGTTCTTATCCTGGATCTTTCGAGCATGACACATAGTGCTCAGGTCTCGGGTCCTCTCGCTGTCGCTACAAGACTGGCGCTTCAGCTAGCGAATACAGATGGTCTGACGTTCAGAACGTCAGCAGAGGGCGAGGCGCACGGGGCCTTGAGCAACAGGGATGTAGTCTTTCGACAGCGGTTGTTCTGGGCCATCTACGCTCTTGATTCCTGGATCTGCATCACCACCAATTGTGTCTCGACTTTCAGTAACCTTCAGGTCCAACACCTTCTACCGACTCGGGACGCAGTGTGGAAAGACAGTCTGCCCGAACTCGGCGAGGTAGATTTATCTCCTGCACTTATCTTTAGCTATCAGCTCGGACTCCTGGACTTGGCTCGATTAGCTCACAGGACCGTGATGGAGGGTGGTGATCTCTGCAACAGCTATCAGACCGCATCCTCCTTGCAACAAGAGGTCCAGGCAATATCTTCAAAGCTTGATGTCTGGATTGATTCTTTTCCCCCTCAACTGGCTTGGAATGACCGAGACGCTTCTTTGACTCGCATACAGAGAGCTAACAGGCCAGCAGTCTTGATGCTGCATGGCTACTTCCACGCGGTAATGATATACCTGCATGGCTTCCTAGCAGTACCAGCAAAGGGGCTCGCTGCCCCCGAAATTAATGCTGAGACCCGTCAGGGATCCGAGAACCGCTGTCTTCGTAGCTCTACAGCACTAGCTGAGATCGTCACCCAGGCCGCTGTGCATGTGATTGATAAGCTCGGGTGGCCCTTCGCATGGTCTGTCTGGGTTGCTGCTCGCTTCTTGATCTCACGAAAGTATATCATGGGCTCTAGCGATCCAGAAACAAGTGCAAAAATTTCTGTCTTTTCAGACCTCCTTGGTCGAATGAGCCGCTTTTCTCAAATCGGTTCCACTTATGCTCGGCTTCTCGGTCAAGCCCTTTCCGAGCTCGAGACATACGAGGCTGGGCGTCAGAGCACTATTCTCCACCTCATCTCCGATTGGCGAGTCACCACTGCTCGTCTAGAGGACCATCTTCGGCCAGATCCCATGCTACATGCTGTTGTGACTCCAAATCTGGCGGACGACAACCCCAACGATGCAAACATGCAGCCATTCAACACTTTGCTTCCCGTTTTTCAGGATGAAGCTTGGATGGATATTTCACAAAGTAGCCCGGATAGTTGGTTTCGTGGTCCTTTGTTTGCCTCATCCGCATATCAAAGTCTTAATGATCTTCGACAGGAGTGATATCGTCGATTCCTTTACATGAGGATAGGTACTAGTATAATAGAGTTGTGTAGTTTATTAATTTCCTATCTGCGCACAGCGGAATACCATCTTCTCGAAGCTATTCATCACCTTCTCCGACTGACCAGGTAATTGTACAATCACCGTGACTGGCCTGGCTAACCCCTCGATACGCAACTCAACAACCACTTCATCGTCTGATGAACTCCACGAGACCTCTGCCAAACCAAGTTTCCCCCTTCTGTAGAAAGGCACTGTTGCCTCGAAAGACGGGTATAGACCCAACCGAGGCGCAAACCGTACCTGGTCCCAGCCGGGTTGTGCAGGCTTGATGCCCGCTACCTCTGCCAGAAATTCATGGATGGGAGCGCTGCCCCAAGCGTGGCAGTCTGAGCGATGCGAAACGTCGTCTTCTTCCCACGTTGTCAGGTTGAGATCCAGTTGGTCACGCCATGGCTGCCAAAACTTTTCATACAGATCGTTGTACAAGTTGCCTCCTGCGATAACCATTGCACGTAGTGTGTAGAATGACATTGACACCGATGTTTTGACCAGCGAGCCTTTCCTGTCTCGAGACACATCCAGTACGTCATACAGCAGAATCTGGGCAGCCGAACCACTTATAGCGCCGCAAAGGATCACCCAGATCTGGCTGTGCTGACTGATATCAGTCTTAGGGTCTGAGTCTGAGGCCAGGCTGTCGGTGAAGTAGCGCCCGTCAAAGCAGTGAGATCTGAGTGCTTTTGCAATGCGGCTCGCCCGCTGGGAATATTCACTGGCCAGATAAGATCGACCAGCACAAGCCGTTTGTAAACTGGAAGCCAGTTGTAATGTATACGAGTACAGGCTATTGACATACGTCGAGATGCCCGACCGCTCGACAGATGGAGGAATTCCATACGGCCGCCATTGTTCCGCCCAGTCATGAAAATTCCAAATACCCTCCTCATTCCTCAAAACAACCAGACCGGTCTGTTCTTGGATGCGAGAGTGGAAGAAGTTGAGTACAGCATCGACGACAGGAAGAAAAGGCCGGATAAAGTCGATGTCGTTGTAAAAGGTAAAGTGGTCATGTAACATACATATCCAATAAAGGGAAAAGGCAGGGATAATTTGGAGTTGGCTGGACGGCGCTCGGCTCGCCGTGAGTCCGACACGAGGTTGGAAAGAGTTATGCAGCTGGATTATTGCTTGTCTAGCAAGACGGTCATCTCTAGAAACATAGTATGTGAACAGACATGAGCTCCGTGTATCCATGGCGTATTGAAGTTGTTCATAAAACGGACAATCCTCGTAGCAATCGTGCATGCAGTTCTGCAGTGTTCGTATGCTTGTGTCGAAGAGGGCCTTAGCTTCCTCGCCATCCGGGCCGGTACTGACATTTGCAAGTACGTCTAAAGGATAATTGACAGTCTCAATATCGACTCCGCGCAACGTTAAGCCCGAAGAGCTGGCCCACAGGCTAATTCTGAGAAAACGAAAAGATCTCCAATGGAAAGGCATGTAGACCTCGTCCTCATCTTCGCCTTCATAATAATCCAAATGCAAGTTTCCTTCCTGGCCCTGGAAGTTGTAAACATCTTGCGGTCCGATCAAAGACTTTGTTGTATCCATTCGGTTTCCCTTCCGGCGGAGGTACGGGACTAGAGCTGGAGTGTCTTCGTAGCTTTCCGAGTATGTGATAATCATTTTGGCGCCTGGGCGGTCGGGACGCTGGAAACGAAAACGGATGAACGCAGTTGTATGGGTCGGGGCCTCGAGATCTAGCTGATGCTTGGTGTCAGGTGAGAGTACCAGGTCAGATCCTTGGTCATCAAGGTTGATCAAGTTTCTCTCCCAGACTTCCGAGGACAATGTGCTCTCAACGTTGTGAATAGCCTTGAACTGAGACTTGTTGATCTCCATGTGTGAGATAAGACGAGGCGATAGCTTCCAAGGTGCTGTCACACCGGTCGAGTTCTGGAACTGTAATATAATAGCTGAGGTCCACACCAAGGACGATGCGCCCCTGTCGTCTCTCTCGACCTTTTCGTAAATATGGAGGAAATCATCTTCGGCTTGATCAATGGGGAGCGTCACGAACTGATCTACCGCCGTCTCCCAATGAACACTGCTGCAAAGCTCCGACGCCCAGAAGGGATTGTCGATAGTTTTTCTGACCCGAACACCACCGCATCCCAATCGTGGAAAGCTAGTGGCATATGAGGTCCCGTGGAAGAGTCTCAAGACGTGGATCGCAATCAGATTGTGTCCCGTGTGCAGATACGGACTGATGTCGACCTTGTCGTAGAACCAGAGAGCTGCATCGCCTTTGACAGGTCCAAAAGCGACCAGCTTTCTGTTTATGTACAACTTACAGCGTGTATCAGCGGTGATGCTGATTGTGAGAGGTGTCGGTATCTCTTTGTCGACAAATACTGTTTTGCGGAAATGAACGAAACGACCAGCGGTATCAGAGACGTTCTCATGGAAATCGGGATGCCACATCCATGATGTGTCGACAGTCTCGACAGCCATTGCAAATAGCGTGGTGTAAGACAAGGAATCGGTGTTGGTAGGGACATACGAAAGCCCCAGTACTCCATCACAGGCTTATTTGTGCTCGTTGAGAGATTTACCGAACGCCAATGGAGGCAGGAATGGCCTCGGAGTCATTTCAAAACAATCACCAACACCCCATGCACTGCGCGTTCCGGACAGAGATACACCGAATGTTCTTGGATCAACCAAACGAGGAACGAAGCTGAGCGAGATTTAAACGAGGCTGAACGAGGTTGAACGAGGCTAAACGAATGATATCCTTGGCACTTTTCGAGGTTGACCCCACAGTATAAGGAACGGACAAAGACGGGGCGTCTCAGGCCGCTGACTAGCGGCACCAACCCTATACCAGATTAATTCGTGAATACTACAGCTTTTTGCAGTGATCAATTATACCGACAACATGGTAATGCAAGATCGGAGTCGTCTCCCCCGCGATCCTAGGGAGTCCCCATGGGGATAAATCTAATTGATATCGATGTAACTCGGTACCTACAGGGAAAGAAGTGTGGGTTTTGTGATTATTTATTAGAAAACGCTTTCCAACAAAAAGTATTTCTTGAATTAGATTACAGTATCAGCCCTAAACAACATATCAAAATGGGCGTCTCTCAGTGCTTGAAACTTCTCAGCTTGGTCAGTGTCGCGACTGCGGCTCCAAACTACGCTGTACCTGGGACTCTACCAAAAAGCGCAGCACCACTGGACGTTTCACCTGTAGGAGCATCGTAGGTTCCCCAAATGGAAGTCGGCAGTATCATAACTGATTTGTCTTACTAGGTTCGAGTTCTTTATGTGGCCTTCCTACGCAACTAATATCTCTTTGACCCTTCCATGCTTAGAGCACTTCAACAAGCTCTATAAGAAGAGGATACCTATTCGGATCGGAGGCACAACGCAAGATAGAGCAACTTACGATGCTGACTTTAAAGGTTATGTCTCGTACAAGGTCGATGATCTACTGGACGCTCCGATGAGCCTTACTTATGGGCCCAGATTCTTTGATCTGATCAGTTAGTTTCCCGTGCTAATGCTATTTGGTACTCAACACTGATTACACGCCGACACAGAGACGTTTGGAGCTGAAACGATCCTGGGTAAGAATGTTTGTTATAACATTTGTAGCACGACTAATACTGTTAGGGCTTAATCGGGGTTTGAACAACAGGAGCAAGACGTTTGCGGCGGCTACCATGGCGAAATCGAAAGCACCTGACAATATTTGGGCGATTGAACTTGGAAACGAGCCTGATCGTAAGTCTCTCAACAATCCATTGAACAATGCCGTCCTTGCTGATCTTAGCTTTCAGTCTTTTACAAGTATTGGCAGTACCCTGTTGCTCAAGCCCCGTGGAACGAGACACAGGAAGGATCCGATGCGGCCGACTGGGCACAGGACTTTGCAAACCATTGGAAGAGTCCTCTCCCCATTCTTGCTGGTGGTGGATACGCGATTCCCTTCCAGATAGAACCTGGATGGCCCAACCTACCATATCTGGTCAATGAGGCCTACAACCAGACTGTCAAGGCAGCGACGAAGGTGTACAACGGACATTTGTATGCTTTCTCGAATGCAACCGAAGATGGACTAGGTACTGAGATGGCACACCAGAGAACAGTTGAAGACCTTAAACTTCTGCCTATCTCAACTGCCAAGTCTGTCGGCAGTCCGTACATCATTGGTAAGTACATGTCAGGCTCAGAAGCTTTTAGTATTTTTCAGATGACTGACCTTTTGCTTCTAGGTGAAACGGGCTTTCATGGATTAGACTACGAAATGGACGCCACTTTCGGCTCTGCCATACAGATGATCGACAAGACCTTACGTGCTCTGTCTATTGGCACTTACCGACTGTTCTACCACCAAGGTACTGTCAACCAAGGTAAGCCCGTCAATCCCATGAATGTTATCCTGCAAAAACCAACGAAACTCAGCTTTCTTCAATTGGTGGCGAGGTAATCAACTCAACGCCAATTTCTACGGCGCCTACTTCGGAGCTCTTGCTGCAGCAGGCGGTGATCACATCGTGGCGAGCGACGATGGTAGCGACCGGTACGCGCAGTATATCATCTATCGAAAGGGCAAACCTTTCAAACTTGTCCTTGTCAACACCGATTACTACTCGGGTATCGGCTCCCGCTCCACGACAAGTTTTACAGCTACCGGACTTAAAAGTGGTGCTGTGAAGGCGCTTCGCATGACAGGACCAAGCAGCGAGACTCTAGTTCCCCTTAGACAGACCAATCCCAGCCTTGAGCCCAGTATTGGAGGTAAGCGCTTGTGCTCATCTCTGTTAATAGTTCACAAGTACTAATATTTATTCAGGCCAATATTTCTCGAACCAGAACTGTGGTCTTAAAGGTGCTCAGAAGTTTGAGACACTCAAGGTTAAGAAGGAAAAGCTTGTTGTAGATCTTAAAGCGTCGGAAGCACTTGTTATCTACCTGTAATGTCTGAATTGTCTCTAGTAGCTTTTGTGGCCCCTCAAGGGTTAGAGTACATATATCGAAAAGGGCCCTTAGTAGTCTCCAGTGAATTTATAGGAATGCTCAATAGTTAGTAACATAGCTTTATAAATGTTTTGCAATGCATGGCCTTAAATTAAGTACTAGTGAGTTACAAGACATGAGATTTGCTATTCTTTAGCCTAGCTATAAGAAGGGACGAGTTATCTTGTTATTGACTTCTGGTTAACGATAGTTACACATTTGTCTTAAAGCGACCGGCCGTCGGCCCTATACTACTAGGTATCTATAGAAACTCAACTACAGGTTCCCGCAGTTGGTCGCCACCAACCTTACGCGACTGGATCTGGATATGGAATTTTATCTTCTCTTTGTTATTAAGACCATCCTTTAAAGTTTCCATCGTCTTGTTATTAATAGAAATGAATGAATTCTCGTCTAGATGGTTTTGGCAATTGTGACAAGCCCCAACGTTCCATCGGCTCAGGACGGCTTCACGTCCGGCCTCGACAGTGCTACCATCGGCCATCTTAACATGAGTGCGGATAATAAAAGAGCTGGCATAGTCGGAGCATCTGACGTTGTGTACGCGGGCAATACCTCCGAGTGATTCCTTAGGTGGGACGTACCGACCTGGTGCATTAGCCACATTAAGTAAGCTAGGACCATAGCTGTAACTAAGCTCCTTAATATCTGTTACATTCTAGGAAGTGTAGAACTTACTACTAGGCGCCTTAAAGGGGTCAAGTGGACTGTTTATATTAAGAGCAGTACCTACAGGGAAAGTTAAGTTACCTAGGCTTGTTATACTATTTTTACTAACCTTAACTATTAGGCTACTAGCAGTAGTACAGTTATAGTAAAGCTACTACTGCTAAAAGGTATAGTTAATAAAGGTATAAAGGAAATAAAAGATAGAGTTAAAAGCAGCAGTCTTATTCTTACTTATATTACTATTAGTACTATAAATAAAATTAAGATTATAAATACCTTTTTAAAAGAAGCTATTAAAAGTAAGGTAAATAGTATTATATAGCTTTTTAAAATAACTTTATAATAAGGCTAACTAATATTAAGTAGTTAAGGTAAGTTAAGATAAAAGGGTTAGGGTTAGGGTTAGG